ACAATGTGTTTACACAGGGCAGAAAATATATCTTATAAGCTTATTATAAATGTTTGTTTTTTCACATATTACCTCACAGTGACTATAACGGAGTGAGTGAAGCCTACGAGGCCATGAAGAACGTAGCCAGTCTCATAAATGAGAGGAAGAGGAGGCTGGAAAGCATTGACACTATTGCTCACTGGCAGGTGTCTATTCTGCACTGGGAGGTGAGTTTGGGTCTAGTTAGTGTATATAATAGTACGTACGTTATAATACATCTACACGTTTGTCTGTGTGACTCATGAAAATGTTTTGCAGGGACCAGACATTTTGGAGCTCAGCTCTGAGCTTATTCACTTTGGTGAAATGACTCGAATTGTCCGTTCTGGCAAAATGCAGCAGCGCAGCTTCTTCCTGTTTGACCACCAGCTGGTATTCTGTAAAAAGGATGTTCTGCGCAGAGACCTGCTGCACTACCGTGGGCGCTTGAACATGGATCAGACTGAGGTGCTGGATATGGCAGATGGACGGGATTCCGACCTGGGACTGACCCTGAAGAACGCCCTGCGCCTGAGAAACGCCTTCACACTGGAGTTCATGTGCATGCTCTGCTGCAGAAAGGCCCAGGAGAAACAGAGGTGGCTAGAGGCCTTTTCCAAAGAGAGACTTAGGGTCAAGGAGGACCAGGAGATGGGTGAGTGAGCCTAGATGTTTGTGTAATTAAAGTATCACTGAACACAGTTTACTGCAAATGTATTCCTTTATCTTTATCAGGAATGGAGTTCAGTGAAGAGCAACGAAAACGGGCCATTGTGAATGCCAGAAGAGCCAAACAGGGGAAGTTTAAATGTGAGCCACATTATTTCTGATCATATTATTTCCTCTTGTTTTGGTAGTAGTTACTGTTTTCACGTTCACCCTGCAGCTCTTGGATACTCATCGCCTCATCACCAGAACATCCTGCCCCTGCATCAGCGCCACGTCACCATCCCGCCCAGCGTGCCCCAGCAGCAGGTCTTCTCATTGGCTGAGCCGCCCAAGAGGAAGCCTTACCACTTGCTCTACAGCATCACCCGCAATGCCTTTTTCCGAAAATGAAGATACTTTTGTTTGTCCTCCATCTTTATCTGTACCGTCCTTGAAGTCACATGAACACTTTATATTTGTCGATTTTGCCTGTGAATGTATGTGAAGTTGTGCCTTAAGTGTTGTCTTTTTGTTGCTTGTTTATGTCCATTTTACTGAGAAGCTGCTCACACGCCCCACACATACCCCATCCTATGTCTTATTATTAACTCTAGATGCAGTGTTTTAATGTTGTCCTTTGGTTTTAGTGTATTTTACGAAGGCTGGATCCTTTTTGTTGTGAGTTTTCAGCTCTAAGCAAACCAAACAGCCAAAGGATAATCAAATTACTTAATAATGGTTAACATTGTAAATAAAACTCTTGTACAAACATCATTTGGTAAAAGTCTCTACATTTTACACTTGCCAGAACAGCATAGTCTTCCTCAACATAAGTATAATAGCAACATAATATTATTCTCCAATGCTATACCTTAATGAATTAATTATTAGTAATACGACATAGGACTAAACCAGCTAAGATCTCTTTCCCTGTTACCTGGCTGTGCTGAGCGATCAGGTTTCACACACCCGTTACAAGTTAGGCTCAGTGTGCTGTCTGAAATCACCCAGTCCACACGGCTAATAGACGATCAAGATCCTAAAGCAAAATATAAGTGTAATAATGTTGCTGGGGTCTCAGTGATGAAAGCGTGAGGGTTTTTGTGTCATGTCTGTGTCATGGGTGAGGAGAACGAGGAGAACAAAGAGAAAGCAAGTGGAGGCGAGGATACAACTTCACAACAGGACACAGCTAGTGTGAGTACTGCTACTATCACAATGTATTATGATGTGTTTATAGGTTACCTCAAAAGATTAAAGGTGCACTATGTAACTTTGAGGGGAGTCTGCCACCTGCTTGTTTCCATGGTTATATTATTACTCTGCTTGCAGTGTTCCACAGTATTGCTACATCTGTTGGTCTGTTGGTCTAAAGGTGAGCAGGCTCACCTCTCAGCAGATCTGAGCTGCAATTTGTTTTAATATGCCATACTGTGGAACATTCTAGACAGAGCAATAGCATCAAGTAGATGGCAGGCCCTCCACCAAAAAAGTTAGATAGTGCTCTTTTATAATCTAAAAAGTAACATGTCATGTAGATGTAATCAACCAAAGTCTTGAAATGCTTGAATACTATAGCAGTTGGTAGATTTTGTTATAGAGTACAAAGATGACCATCTTATAATGTATTGCCACTGTGCCGTTTGGGATGACCATAATTGAATAATACATGATTGTAACTCAATGAGAGGTGTATTGCACTTGATAGTTACGGTTTGCTATTGAGCTTTCTGGTTACAAGTAACTAGGGATTAAGTCACTGGTAAGGTTGTTCACATAAAAACAATTAGAGACAACAGTTGCATTTGGAGCTGATTAGTATTGTGTGCAGCCTACTGTAATGCTACTGTCTGGCCTGGATTAGTCACTGTGATAAGACCAGAATGGAAGCAGCCAGTTTATGCTCCAATAGGCTTCAGTAATCCACTTCATCTAGCTTTCAAAGGAGATGGATGACCTTTGAACCCTGTTATACACAACTTCCCTGTTAAAGATGCCTGGTACTTGGTGATAGTAGCATCAGCTTTATATTAAATGGCAGTTATATTCAGCAGAAATAAAGCTGCCTTTTTTAATGCCTTTGTTAAATGCAGTCTAAATGTCATTTCCCATTGCATAATATTATCCTGTTTGTCTCTACTGCTTTAGATCAAAGATGTATCTGTTGAGATCTCCACCGTGGATCGGGCCCTGCAAAGGTTGTTCAGGAGGAACAGGAGGCGCAGACGGAAACCAAGCAAAGTCCCAGAGCTGTGGCTGCGTCTGCTTAACATCCCCCACATCGCTGTCATCATTGCAGCAGTCATGTTTGTGGTGGTGGTCATCATTTGGTCTCTGCTCTGGGTCTTCATATGTAAGCAGTATTTTTTATCAGTACTGAAAACCGACAGCTTTTACTTTTGCATTGTTCTCAGTTCAAATAAAATAGTGCTTTTCTTAAAGTTACTACATGCAAAGTAAATTATTTGTATAATTGAATTAAAAAAAAAATTATAATAATAATCATCATCATCTATCTAATCTTATATGCTTTTTCAGAGGCCCATTGTCGCTTTACAATTTCATGAATTATTTATTCATTCCATACTCCATAACCCCCTCCGACAAACACCATTCACTTAGGCAAGGTGGGTGAAGTGTTTTGCCTAAGGACACAGCAACAGTTTGCACTAGAGCAACTGCTGCCTCTCTTCTTGTAATGTTTATGGTTTACAGATGTGAAAAACAAAATGTATTAGTAAACACATATTATGAAAATATGCGTATTAGTCTTAACTCAAATGTATTTATATTTCTGTGGTTTTGTACATTGTTACTGCTTTGTTATTGATTGCACACTAAAACCTTACTTAACTTAATGTAATATATTTTAATAATAATAATGCAGTAGTCCTATATAATGCTTTGTTTGCATGTCTGTCCAGTTTGCAGAGAAAGCAACAGTGGAGCATATTTCGCTGGCATGTTTCGCGTTGCCAACGTGGAGTTCATCCCAGAGTACCGACAGGTCGAGTCCCATGAGTTTGCATCCATGGCGAATAAAATACAACATGTGGTACGCACTGTGTGTATATTCATTTTATGGCTGTTGCTGCTTGTCCGACATGGTTAATTGTTGGTATGTTGTAGGTGAGTTATGTGTACAAGCAGTCCTCCGTGTCCAGACTCTACAAGCAGGCTGTAATTTCAGACCTCAGGTACAGCAGATGGTAATTTTGAGTTGTCATCTTATGGATCCACCTCCCTAAATGTTGTTTGTCTCATCTGTGTAGTAACAACAACAAGGGTGGTGTCCTGGTGCATTTCTGGATGGTGTTTGTTGTTCCTCGTTTGAAGACGCCAGCCGTGTGTGAAGAGTGTGTTGGGGCCATTTTCAGGGACTCGGTCTACACCAGCCTGCAGAACCGCTCCTCTGTGGGCTATCTGCTTGGCCTACCAGTGGATCTGGACTCCATCCTCATCAACGGTACCTATTCTGCCAAATGTACTCTTACATTAAACAGTACAATGGTAGATATGAATGACAGTAGTTATTATTAGTGCTGTCATGCGATTAAAAAAATTGAGAGATTAATTAATTATGATCTGTAATTAATTAATCTAATTAATCTAATTTTAATCTCACCTAAAAATTGCTGAGAAAAGCCTTCAATTTGAGGTATTTTCATTTAAATTCATTATTACATTATTGTGGCAGATCAAAAGACTGATATAGAACAAAAAAAAAAGTGACTTTATAAAGTCATTTATTGTTTAACAAATCTCTCCAAATTGTCTGTTGAGCCAAAGTCTCCATGAATAAGAAACTGTTTGCTGTAAAGTAGCAAAGACTAGAAAATCTGAACATAATACCTTTTGTCTACTTAAAGACAATAAAAAGTCCAGTCTTTCCTTAACCATATTAAAAATATTATTGATAGAGAAATGTTTTATATATGAGATCACTGGTTTTAGTCCTTGTTTTAGTCCTGGTTTAGACCTACTTCAGTCCTAGTTTAGTCCTGGAATGGATTAATCCTGTTTTAGTCCTGGTGTTAGTTCTGGTTTAGTCCTGGTTTAGACCTGGTTTTAGTTCTGGTTTTAGTTCTGGTTTTAGTTCTGGTTTAGTCCTGGTTTATTCCTGGTTTAGACCTGGTTTAGACCTGGTTTTAGTTCTGGTTTTAGTTCTGGTTTAGTCCTGATTTAGTCCTGGTTTAGTCCTGGTTTAGACCTGGTTTTAGTTCTCGTTTTAGTTCTGGTTTAGTCCTGGTTTAGTCCTGGACTGGTTTAGTCCTGGTTTAGTCCTGGACTGGATTAGTCCTGGTTTAGACCTGGTTTTAGTTCTGGTTTAGTCCTGGTTTAGTCCTGGACTGAATTAGTCCTGGTTTTAGTCTTGGTGTTAGTTCTGGTTTAGAGGCGCACAGGAGGAAGCGCGGTTTACGCCGCGTACGCGAGAAAACACGATCCACACGCGGCTCACGGGAGCACGTCGGTGTCCACGCAGTAACTACGGAAGGAAACGTGGTCCGCGCGTTCTCAGGTTAATGACGATGATGAAGGTGTGTGTTGTGTGTGTGTGTGTGTGTGTGTGTGTGTGTGTTTGTGTGCGTGTCCCCTCATGTGGCAGGTCACTATAGGACAGTAGTGCAGACATCATGAGCCTATGCAGGTTGTTTTCACCAGTGACATTTAAGTTGTAGGCGATTTTATATTTGTTATTTTCTTTTATATTTCACGTCGAGAGAATAATTTCCAAGACACGAATGTGTTTTACCTGTGCACTGCTGACTCTTCGACTTCGTCCATTGTGCGACTGACGCCGCCAACGTTAACATAATGTTTACATCGCTCTTACTGCCGCGTTTTGTGTGGGTTTCCGGCAATGAGTGGAATTACCGAAATAAAAAAAATTATAAATGTGTTTTTTTGTGTGTGTGTGTGTGTTGTTGTCCCAACAACACATAAAAACAGGTTTTATAATAAAGCAACTCGCATACAGAAACAGTAAAGTTAGAGATTAAAAATGAGATTAACGCGATTAAAAAACATAAATATGACTGTAATTAATTAATCGCAATTAACGCGATAATTTGACACCTCTAGTTATTATATTTATTTTAGCGGTTCTATGAGCGCTACTTCACAGTAAATCATGTTTTGAATAGGGATGGGACAAGATCTCATGCCATATGATCTTGCAAAATAAAATTGACAGAAGATTGCGCACACATCTGGAAAATGATCTTGTGATATTTTTTCCCCATGTTTCATTTGCTTGAACAAAAAGTGTACACTTTGCTGAGTTACACCTCTTTAGAAGCTGTAATACCAAACCTCAGTGATACAATGACAGCAAAAATATTAATATAAATAGATTTTACAAATGTGAAGTCAAAATTGTGAATTGTCTTGTCTCATCTCATGAAAATGATGCATCACTTTGAATATATAGAAAATACTTTTATATACATTATTATTATTTATCTTTGCAGCTGTCCAACGCTCTGATTATACATCCATTGCAGCAGGTAGATTAAAAAACATTGGAATAACAAACTGAATCTTGTTTTGTGTTACCAAGTTCTTCTCCGCATTCCTAGGTTCACAGTGCGTTGAGAAACTATATGCCAACCTTCCCGGAATGAGGATTCCTCTAAATGTGTTCTCGTCATGGGGTGGTGTCAGTTGCCATGTAAAGCTGACTGCTGCTCCTGGGTTTCTGATTCGACTGACGGTCAGCTCTTTCCTCATTGAGCCAACAGACTGTGTGGACGATGGGCTACTGGTGTACGACGCCCTGCTGCCCATGAGGGGGCGCATTTTACTACGGTCAGGGGCTTATCACATCACATGATTATTTCAGCGTCAGTTTTTATTGTTGGTTGTATGTATGTGCTTCAGGTTGTGTGAGCCAGTGACCAAGGCTTTCTCCCTGGTATCTACCTCCAATGTGATGTTGTTGTCATTCTCTATGACAAGTGGGAACAAGAACTTCAGGGGGGACTTTGAGGCCATCAGTGAGGAATGTATGATGCAACAATCCCTTTGCACTACTGCTCAACTCCTTGTTGAAATGCATGTGGGTGTGTAGATGTGATCTTCTGTTTTTCTTTTATTTATAGTATGTTTGTCTCATATTGAGGTCAAGTCACATCCTGACTTCACTGGTGAACTCTACAGCCCATTCTACCCCAGTCTACTGCCCCCACAATGCTCCTGCACCTGGACATTTCAGGTACTAGAGCGCTGCAACAATACAGTCCAAACTGTTAACTGCTTTTAATGTTGGTTTATTTTCTTTGTATTGTAGACCGCTAGTTCAGCTTTGGGAGTGGCTCTTCATTTCAAAAACTATGTATTAAAAATGAAAGACATGAAGGCTTGTGACCAAGGCTGGTGGAAAGTCAATGAAATAATGTGAGCATCCTAACACATATACTATAAAATATCTACATACGCAATATGTAACCAATAGATTAATGCTCATGTTTCTCTCTATAGTTACTGTGGGACCTATGTAGACCACAGCACAGTGTTTCGGATCAGTAACCCCAGTCCAGAGGTGGAGTTTCGCTGTAGCTCTCGTACTTCAGTTCAGCCTTTTGAGGCATCTTACACCAGTTATAACATTAGCCAGCGTAAGTGTCACAAGAATGATTATGTACAATATTGGTGGGTCTAAATATAGCAGTGGAATGATTGCTGTTGTGTCCGTTAGCCTGTCCAGAGAGCCACTTCCTGTGCTCCACTGGCCTGTGTGTGGACAAAGTGAGACGATGTGATGGCCTGGATGACTGCCAAGACGAGAGCGATGAAATCTTCTGTTGTGAGTTTTAATAATCTAAAATAAATATAATAATAAATATTATTATATAATAACTTTACACAAAATTGACTTTTATGGGCCTTATCATGAGTAGCCTTCTCATTATTACGTTACTCAAAGTTATAGTCATATACATACATTTGAGTCAACTGGTATTTTCCTATATTTGAGGCTTCACCCACCTCTGTACTTACTTGTGATTATATTATGTCTTCGTCAAGTGCCATAAAAAGCATGTGTCTTCTTTCTTAAAATGTTTTGTTTAGACTTGATAGTATGTGTTTTAATTGCTTATGTCTTCATAGCAAGACCATCACCTAACTGTGCAGGCAGTGGTTTTCTTCACCCTTTGTTTGTGTGTAATGGAAAGAGAGACTGTTCTAATGGAATAGATGAGATCAACTGCACTCAAGGTACAAACCTAACCTGTTTAGTGCAGTGAAAACTTGCATATGTGTCTCTTAATACTGTTCTACATTCGTCTAGAAACCACCTGCTCGGCCATAAGCTTCCATTGCAGCAGTGGGCCCTGTATCCTGAAAAAAAATGCAAAATGTGACGGTGTTTTGGACTGTAGAGACCAAAGCGATGAGAGAGACTGTGGTGAGACCTCTCTTTCATTAAGTGTGATGATGTGATGGAGCTATGCTGTTTATGTTCAGTCTGATTTAAGCAACAATGTTACTGGTCCTGGGGACAGACTGACTTTGATGACTTTTGTTGAAGGCACAAATGGTCTTAAAAAAATTCCATATAAACTTCTACATATGTGATTGAGTACTTGTGCAGACAAAACTTAGTAGTTTGAACTGATGAGTATCTCTGTTGATTGCTCAAGATTGTGGCAACCCCTCTCCGGTAAAGAAAGAAACGTCATCTTCATCTGAGCGCATTGTTGGCGGGGTCAACTCTGTGGAGGGGGAGTGGCCGTGGCAAGTCAGCCTGCTCTTCTCTGGGAGCATGTACTGTGGGGCCTCAGTGCTCTCCTCTGATTGGCTCCTGTCAGCTGCCCACTGCTTCAGCAAAGACAGGTCAGTCAGTGCTGCTTACACACACACATCCTTTCACTTAACAATATATTTAAATAACACACTTATAAATAAGTCCTTTTTATTAATTGCTCACAGGTTGTCAGACCCACGCCTCTGGAGGGCTCACCTGGGCATGCTGAGCCAAGGCAGTGCCAAGCATGAGGCGGAGATCCAGAGAATTATAGTTCATGAATATTACAATGCATTTACCTTTGATTATGACATCGCACTGCTGCAGCTAAAGAAGCCCTGGCCACCCAGCCTCAGTGCCCTGATCAAGCCTGTGTGCTTGCCCCCTCCATCACACATGGTTACAGACAGCCACCCCTGCTGGGTCACTGGGTGGGGCTACCGCTCAGAAGGGGGTGAGTCAGCTGTATGCTGTCAATATAAACAGTACATACAGTGTATAGACATACATTTGGTGCACTAAATAAACTACAAATGTTGACGGTCACAATCATGCATAGTGTGGAGCATATATGGTTATACTACCAGTGATGCAATGATTCAGACATAATCAGGTGTGACGTAAAGATTTACTAATCATATGTGAAGTATGTGTCATATTATTCATTCACTAGCTAGGACCACGCCACCAACGACATAGTGCGAAGAAATGTATTGATAATGTACGAAGCAGGGCAGAGATGGCTGGGTTGAGACTATGGGTGGGGGCTCCGTCTCAGTCTGCAATTGGCCCAGCCGGAACGGGACCCCCAAAAGGTTAAAAGAATGCAAGATAGGATGGGCTGGACAGAGATCGTTGAGGTCATAACGAACGTAGATGAGATAGGCTCTGGAGGCCCGGTGACCGAGGATCTGAGTTTTCGGTCAAATGTGCCCGCGCCGATGCGGAAAGAGTGGATGGAAAACGAATGGGAAGATGTGCCGGAGAGCATAGAACTTATCGGAAATATTACTGAACCAGAACCTGGTACCCGGATGGACAAACGGGTCAAAAACGATTGACGATAAGAGTGAATTCGGAACAAGAATTGGAAGGCCGAAGAAGGCTGTGAGGAACATGCTTTCAAGGGTCATGTCCTCGGACGGCGAATAGTATTTGGAACGAAGTGTGAGGATACGAGGTGGAGGATATCTGAAGTAAGTGGTAAGAGTTTAGGAGGGAGACAAGGTTTGGACTCAAGTAGCCTTTAATCAATGTGGAAACGTGGCAGTGAGACAGCGAGAGAGATGGGCGGTCCTTGAGAGATCTTGTAATGATGTTAACTCCTGAGAGATGCGCCTGGATGGTGGAGACGCAGATGTTCCTGGAGTGATGTGAGAAGGCGACAAAACTGCAGATGGCGCTAACGTTGAAGAACTGAGGAGAAGCTGATGGAGACTGAAAAGAGCTTGAAGCTATTCCACCCGGTCAGGTAGGTAGAAAGGGAGCTCAGGGCAAGGTTGTCGAGGATAGCAAGTTGCAAGATTGAGACGAGAGGGGCGAGAGCGGGGTAGCTTAATTGACCATCGTGGCCGAAAATGGGGAACTGGAATAAGCTGGACGTCCGAGTACGGAGCCAAGCTTCTGTAAAGTCACAGAGAGAAAATCCGCAATGGAGTTTAAGTAACATGGAATATGAGTGGCACGAATGACAAACTGATTGTAAGCGGATACTAGGTGAGCTTTGAAGGAACTGAGATGTGAAGGAGCGAGACCTTCCCCTGTTGATGATGTGGACTGCAGTGTCGCTGTCGGAATGGATAAGAATGCACCTACTAGACCACTCTTGCCCCCCAGAAGAATGGCTGCGATAACAATGGAGTATAGTTCGAACAAGGCGGAAGAACTGTCGGCTGGTCTGAGAGAGGGGAGCTTGGAGGGCACGTGGAAGCGAACCGCTTTGCTTATAAAACCCTCAGAAACCAACTGAAGGACCTGCGATGGTGAAAAGCTGGATATCTTCGGGAAAGACGCGAAGTCGAGATTCCATTCCAGGAGCCTAGGCAATGCTTCCATAACGCATGGCGGATGTACACGCGTAGATCGGTGGTATAATACTCTGAAGGGATTCGACTGATGCGGCTTGCGTGAGGACGGAGATGTGAAAGAAGGGCTTGCCCAGAGGGATGGTGCGGATAGCATAGTTAAGGTGACAGAGAAACGCAACAACGAGCTGTCTCTTGTTGCATGAGGTTGCGAGAATGAGTTGGAGAGGAGCGGGGAGATTCGCTGGACCTTTTGGGAGAGACACTTGAAATGAGATCTAAGTGTAATGCCAAGAAACTCGATGTAGTGCAAGGGCTGAGGGTCTTTAGGCTTTGATGAGTGACAATAGGCTGGAACGAGGGGAGAAAGACGCAGGAGTCGTGACCAGGATGTCATCTAGGAGGTTAGGGCGTACGGGAGTTTAAAGTTGTTGATGAGAGTCTGACAGAAGATTTCGTACAAGGAGTCAAAATTCTAGGGCTGCTGCGGCAGCCAACGTCGGGTGTACAGCGACGTATTAAAACCCTACCCAGAAGACTCCGAAGTAACACCAGGAATCTGGGTGGATGGGCAGGACCTTGAAGGCACTGGTGATGTCCACTTCAGAGGGCCACGCTCGACGGCCTGCAAAATGAGTGAGAGATGACGTGATTGCTGGTGGCATACTGCACGGAAAAAACTGAGGCGGGAATGAGACTGCTGATGCTGGGAATGTGAGGGGGAGGATAGGTCGATGGGTGAGACATTTCTTCCCGGTGTACTTGCGTGTGGCGATGCCGATGGGGTTGATGTGGAAGTCTCGAGAGGAGGACGTTTGAATTGGCCAATCATGAACCCTTCGGCAACATCCTTCGCCGGAAGGTTGTCCACAGCGGTGGGATCTGCGAGTGAGGACTGAGGGTTTCTACATGATTGTGAAGTGACTGGCAGAACTTCGATGCCAGGGTGAAACTGTCGCTGAAACCACTGAACAGAAATTAATGAACTGATCGTTAAAATAATTGCAGATCATCCTTCCTCCCCGATAGAGGATGAAGCATTGTGGGATCACTGCCTCTACTGATGGGTATGATGTGGTGGGGCGGGCTGAGGAAGCGAGGAATCACAGGCAGAGAGGAAGCGGTGGAAGACAGGCAATAAACCACTGGGTTCTTCGAGGCTGAGGTACAATTACGGGAGGGCGTGACCGCTGAGCAAGGAAGCAGGATGGAAGGGAGCTCCGTGGAGGTCACACTAGAGAGAGGCATGCGCTTTGAAGACCCTGCAGTAGAGCTCGAAATCCAGGACCCCCCAGTAAGTACCATGGTTGATTTGCTGGAGCCTGCCTGCTGCTTGGGTAGTAAATAGAACGTCATATGTGTGGCACCCGGTCTTGCCGAAGTGCAGCGCAAGATCAAGGACCAATGCCAGGTAGGCATCCAACTCCATTCTCTGGTTGTCAAAAGCGGAGCGGATGGCGTTGCAATATAAGGAGAACACGAAAGCCAATTTGGTGGGGGTGAGATTATTGGATTGCAAAGGAGTGGTGTGTAGTATTAGCAGGGTGAGGCCCTGGCTGGTTGGTATATCCCGTAGCTGGCTTGCGATGGAAGGAGGGCTGGATCGAATGAGCGAGATTGTTGTAATAACCGGTAATAATCGGCTACCGGAGAGATGATTGAACGAAAATCGAGGGAATGAATATCGAGGGAACGAGCGATGAACAATTGATGGAGGCGACGTAGAAGACACGGTAGAAAAAAAACATTTGAGTGTTGGGGAGGGGGAGGGAGGGGAAGGGATAGAGCAGAAGAAGGAAACGGATAAGAGTGCTCTGCAGCTTGTAGGGCTTGCAGGGCCATGGGTGCTGCCGAGGAGATTGTTGAAGCTGCTGTGGTGACGACGGGTGGCGCGCAAGAAGCAATCTGACTGGTAATGGCTGGAATAAGAGAAAATAAAGGAGAGATGGGGGAATTAGATGTGTGTGCATGGGGATTTAGTGCAGCCTGCGCAGACAGGGATGAGAGAGAGACCCGTCGGTCCAACACAGAGGAAGCAGGCACAGCGGACGAGACAACATGCTCCCCGTGAGGGGGAGCTGTGGAGGCAGACTGAGAGGCTGGGGGCGCGCCGATGAAGTCGGCGGCTGGAGCTGCGCGCGCCGGTTGAGAACCAGGAGGACTGGGAGCCCGGGGAACGGGGCTCGGACCCGATCTACATAGTGACGGAACAGCTTGGATTTGTTATCCTGGCGGCTGGAAACGATGCCTTTCTTCTTCATTTCCTGATGGAGACCGGCCACGGTCCGGCTTCTAATGTCCAACCTGTTGGGAGAAGCCCGCGGGGAAGCGTGCGCGGGCGCAGAGTCGAGCTCCGGGAACCATCTTCGTAGAACTGCTGCGAGTGTGAGGAGACGGCGGACTGCGACGCGCCGAACAGGTCAGAATCCGAATCGGACGGGTTAATGATCGGCTGTAAAACGTGTCTCGTGCTCTGTCGAGTCAGCCGAGACAAACTGGGATGATGGGAAAGGCTTCTGGGAAATTAGAGGCGTGGTCGAGGTGAGTTGTGGTTCGCTGGTGAGAGGAGAGGGCGGCTGAGGCGTGGTCCTGCTCCTGAAGCTCAGCTAATCATATTAACTACATTAAGTGTGTGTACACTACCTAGAAAGTCACCACCATGATTTAACTTAATTGTATGAACGTATTTTATAATAAAAAAAATAATTTAAACGTATTTCTCTTGTGTATGTAATTAAGTTGCAATGTTCTTTCAGACAAAATGCTGCCCACAGTGCTCTTGAAAGCACAGGTGTTTATCCAGAGCCAGACAGACTGTAAGAAAAGCTACAGTCTGGCCTCTCCTCGGATGCTGTGTGCAGGAGTGCCCTCTGGAGAGCAGGACGCCTGCCGGGTCAGTCCAGTTTCACAATGTGATTATGTGTCAGTGTTAGTCTGTGTTTAGGTTGTGATTTGATATTTTGATGTGTGTTTCAGGGTGACTCCGGGGGTCCTCTCTCGTGTCAGGAACCTGGTGGTGGCCGATGGTTTCTCATTGGCATTGTGAGCTGGGGGCTGGGCTGTGGTCGACCCAACCTGCCTGGAGTCTACACCCGGGTCAGCAAGTTCACCTCTTGGATCTACAGCCATATCAGCTGACACTTCTAGACCATGCATTTCCACTATAAGATCTGGTTTTGTCATATTTTTAAGAAAATGACCAAATAAAGAAACATTATATTTGACTAGTTTTATATACCAATATAAATATGTGCATTGCTGTTACAGTGGTGGATTTAATCTGGGTTGTTTTGCTTTGATCCAAGGGCACAGTAGCAGAGTTCCAATTGTAATACCTTGCACACGTTTCACTCAAGCACTGTTTTGTTCCCTGTAGCCATAGCCCTATACACAAGGAGTAAGTTTGCCCACAATATCTGTCGCACGGATGGTTGTCCGGATTGTACCCTTCATAGTGCTCTCATTGTGCCGCGCTGCATTCTGGGGCTCCGTGTGACACCTGCCGCCCAGGTGAACGGGAGGCGGTGAATGCCCACCGCATCCGAGACGCTCAGGTCGGGTTTCTGCGCTTTTTTCTGAAAGGAAGCGGCACCGGGGGTTTCCTCTCTCCCTCTGTCTCCATCATTTCTATGCCCAGGCTTTGTTGCCTAGTGCCTCTGTGGAGCTTCACTGGACAGTGCTATGAGGACTCTCCCTAAAAGTAAAACTTGTAAAGTCTACTGCGTCTCTGAAGATGGACTCTCAAGCCACACCACTGCTCAGGTAAACTGCAAAATTTCTCTTGATGCTCATTATGATGCCTGCCCATTGGCCTCTCACCTGGAAGTGACTATATTGTTAAATTACAGGTGGGCTAAACTCACCAATGATGCCGCGTACAGAAAGTGTAGTTTTTAATTGTAAACCAGTCTCTAAGGGATATGTGCACTCACTTCTTGTGAATGCATCAGACTGAGCCAGTTGATTGAGTGCTGACATGGCAGAGCCCGGCCGTGGGAAAGCAGACCCCGTCAGCCACGCTTTGTCCTTTGCTCCAGGGAGCCCTGCCAGCCCTTTTAATGTTGCAGAGACCTTTTCAGCTCCAGCGTGCTCACCCTGCACTCTGTAAATCACTATGCAGCCGTAAACTTCATTGACTTTATCATATAGGCAGCATTTTCTTTACTGCCCTCCAGAGACATCAACAATTAGGGGGAACCTAAGCCCAGACATAGAAGTATGATACTTGAGTCTTGTTCTCTTTTAATTTAGGGAGAGGGGAAGTTGAAGGAGCCCACCCAGACACCAAGCCCCCCCACGAAGCTGGAGCAGCAGAGAGCGGATGGGGGGGCTCCAGTGTGTGCATATTGGAGGAGATGGCTGTTAGGTCTTTCGCTTCTTATTCATTCAAGTGTAGCCATTGCACTGACACTCCACTTTTCCAGATGTAAGTACTTATTCATGGGCATCAGCTGTTTTCTAATGTGCTTATTTTGACTGTCTCGTCACTGGCCCTCCAGCTCCTCCCTCCTCAGTGTTCTTTCTCGGCGGTTGTGTGGAATTCACAAACTTGAGTTTTTCCTCAGAGCTCGTAGACTCCACATCTGCTCGTTTTCGCCTGCAGGCTCAGGCTTTAAGCCATTTTGTAAGTGTCACACTTTATCTATTACATATGTTTGATATGAGGAGGGTGTACTGTATTTTGCATATTGGGGACAACTTGGATGTCTTTGCTTTTTAAAGTCCACTCTGTCCATTCTGTTGTTTGCCTTTGCATCATGATGTCTTTTATTCTGTGTTTTTTACTGTTTCCTCACTGTCTCTCTGTCTCAATGATGGTGTTAAATGCAAAGCTGAAACAAGAGATGGGCCCAGTGTGTGTGTGAGTCCCAGGACTCCAGGGAGAAGGGCTTTTCAGACCTGAGGACAAGCCGGCTGTTTGTGAGCTCCGACTGGACCCAGGCTGCCACAGTGAGAGGAAGAGCAGCTTCAATAAAAACATTGTCTGTGGCTTTCACACAGTTGGCTGCTCTGTACTTCAGCATGGATCAGGGTTTAGACAGAGATTGAGGAGGTGGGACAGTGAGCAGCAAGGGGCATACTAGGCCCACTGTAAGATTATGAGGAAATTCAAAAAGTGTTACTAAGAAATCACTACTGATATTGTCCCCATAATTTGTGTGTTAGTTAACTGGTCATAGTATCAGGTCATTAACAGAAAAAGGCCAGCAGTCCATCTCTACACACAATAGTGGTGCTGTGCTGTCCCTAGTCAACTCAGTTAGACACAGAGCGTTTGTTTAGCCCTGAGTCCAGAGGCCGATTGCCTCATGTGCCCACAGAACCAGAGACCTGACCTGACCTGTACCTCAGCCCTGCCCCACACAGCACCTGTGCTCTGACCTTTCCTCTGTTTTAGTTTTCTGAACTCTATGAATCCACACCATGGAGCACTTACTATCTGGGCTCAGGAATCACTGCCTTCAGGTAGGCTATAGCCTCTTGAAGTTTTACATTTACATTTCAATATAATCATTAACACTGACTTTTTGTGACAGCGAAGGAGCAGCAGGACTTAATGTTTTCTATTGGAGTAAATTTTCTGCCCCGGAGGATGTTGCTATGGCAATTCGTAAATCCAATGCAGGGAGATTACAGCGTCGACTTCCAGGCATCAATAAAGTGCAGGACAGTCGCCATGAACAGCGCTACTTTATGGAGCAAGACCCAGACATTCTTCACCTGCTTGGTATACACTCACACTGTGTCTCACACACACAAACACACACACACCTTCTCTTTCTCTTACACATACATGTTCACACACTGCCTCACACACACTGTCTCCCTCTCTCATGCACACACACACGTGCATTTCGCATGATGTGTCTGTAATGCAAAGTCATCACTGTGAATTTAGAATTACAATGAACTTATACAGAACTACTCATTTGTAATTCATTGTTACAGTACCAAATTTGCTCTTTTCCTGTTTGTTTGACAAAATGATGGCTTTCAGGTCTGGATCCTGATGACTTTGAATCTGAAGAGAAATCAGACAAATTCAAGAATCCAAACAGCATCCAGGGTGGAAAGTGGCAGCTTGGTTTCCAAGGTGAGACTACACTAGCTGAAGTGTGCGATGCTCCAGGGCTCAGTTTAGTGCTCCTCATCTATTACCTTATAAAGTATCAAATGAACAATAGCCTGATTTATTAATTACTGTGTGATTTTAGCTATGTCTTTCGACTTATATGCCAAATATGGGAACAACCGGACCCTCAGCCTTGTGAACCCTAAGAAGCCTTACTATCAGTGGCGTCTGCGTGTGCCATCAGGGCATGTGGTCCGGCTGGTGGTTCTCACCCTTCAAGGAGCCACTCCAGGCAGCTGCATTGCACACAAGCTATCTGCCTATGACTTTTTACTCCCTTTACAAAACAAGATCATTGCAAGGTACATATATTGAACATATATGGGAAAATATTTATAGCTCTCTGACCCTTGTTCTGTCTGTAGATGGTGTGGACTACCTGTTTCTGGTTCATCTCCGGTCATGAAGCTCATGTCGTCTGGAAATGTAATGTTGGTCACCTTTTCCTTTAGTAGACAAAGAGAAGGAGCAGTCTTTAAAGCTTATTTCCAGGCCATTCCCAAAGCAGGTTTGACAACTCTTTAACACCCAAAACAAATACTCCTCTCACAATGCATATTTGCTTAATGTTTATTTTTAGGACTTGTTGTGTAACTTTTGACCATTTGTTTTAGGTTGTGGGGGGTCAATATCATCCTGGAACGGTTCAGTCTCTTCTCCTTATTACCCATCCTTCTATCCTCCAAATATAGAATGTACTTGGACAGTACGGGTGAGCCTTCTTTGTGTTTTATCATGACAAAAATGAAACTCAGTCATCCCTGTGTAATCTTGTCTGTGCGCATTCCAAGCATGAGTTGCTATACTTTACTTGACTTTGTTTTTTAGACCCCCATGCCTGGATATCTTATCTCCATGACAATTGTGAAGTTTGACATTCAGGATTCTTCCTCATCTGACGGCTGTGAGAATGACTGGCTGGACATTGGAGGGATCAAGTGAGTGTAACAGTTTTGGAGCAACTATAAGTACTTAATTGGATTTACATACTGCATATATTTTGCTACTTGAGGCCAAAAGTAGTTGACTCTCATTACCCATGTCTACTAAATTAATTACTAAAGATTAATTATTTGCACATTCATTCTCTTGAGTCCAGAGAAAACGTCCTGTAGTCACCCACAATCCAATAGCCTACTCTATTGTAATGTAAATGTAGCACTTATTTTAGGCGCTTCAACGCTCTACTCTGGTTAAATTATAGACACATTACACAACTGTGTAGAGCCCTCTGCTGTCTATTTTATGTTATTGCAACTGTTTAATTAAAAAATAATTGACATTTACTTGACATTTTGAAGGCAAATCGAGAGTAGGGTAGTAACCTCATTAATAAATAAAACAACAGAACATTAGCCATAAATTGTCACTCAGGTGTTAACATGTAAATTTCCCTTTGGTGTTTTTTTTTTAACTATGTTTTTCTATGTGTTTTGTAGACTGTGTAATCCTATTCTGGAGAGCAGCAAGAAGCGTGTGTTCTCGTCTCCACTGTCCATCCAGTTTCACTCAGATGAATCCATCACTCACCCGGGCTTCTATCTGATCTACAGAGCCTTTTCCCCAGAGGGCAGTGAGTAGAGATTAGTGTGTGGACAATATGTAGGTGTACTGAATTAAAATATAGTTTAGAATATAGTTAAATTAAAAGAATTTGCAACTATTGGCTAAATGTGCTGCAAATTAGAGCTTAAATGTTTTTGATACTAAAATGAATTTTTTTTAATATTACCAATACCATGTGGTCTGACTATTCTAAACCTATTCTCTATAATTTTTTTCCATACTAGTTTTAGTATTGATAATTAACTATCTACATACAAAAAAAATAGCAGAGAATGAAATTTCTTTTTGTTTTCCAGTGAATATTTTTGTTTTTGTGTGCAGCGTGTCCACGGCAATTTCGCTGTGGAGATGGGCGCTGCATTCCTCTGAGAAAAGTTTGTGATGGAGTACGGGACTGCTCAGATGGACGGGATGAAGCTAAATGCAGTACGCCTCCTGGTTAAATCAATGAGTAAATTATTTTGATTGAAGCTATGTATTTATTTTTGTATTGATAGATTCTTGCAGGCCCGGGGAGGTGCAGTGTGCCAATGGACAGTGCAAGTCTCATAGCAGTCAGTGTATGACTCAGAGCACCTGTTCAGACAGCAGTGAGGAGGGCACATGTGGTGAGCTGACACAATAGTGCAATTCATGTTTGACCCAAGATTGATCAATGTTTTAGATAATCTCCATTAACAGGCAGCAAGTGCTACCATGTGTGCCCAAATAAGCAGTGTTTACCAAAGTCTTCATTGTGTGATGGTGTTGTTGACTGCAAAGACCGAAGTGATGAACTCAACTGCACTAGAGCATGTAAACTGCTATTTAATCATTTTTATAGTGTCTAGTATGCTGCCTGTCGTGCCCTTTTTAAGTATCTGCTCTTTATAGATGTGAAAGGCTGCTCTTCGAACTCTTACAAATGTGCCAATGGAAAATGTGTGAATAAGGTCAATCCTGAGTGTGATGGAGTCAAGGACTGCTTTGATGGATCTGATGAACTGCGGTGTGGTAGGTAATATTAATATACAGTATATTGCATAATGTGTATGCAGGTCAAAGAATCTGTAATTTTATTTGCCACTATGCCAACTATTGTTTCCAGCCTGCGGGACCAGGCCTAGAAAGCGCACCAAGATTGTGGGAGGTTCTGACGCGGGCACGGGCTCCTGGCCTTGGCAAGTCAGTCTGCAGATGGAGCGTTACGGCCACGTGTGCGGGGCCACTCTTGTCGGTAGTCGCTGGCTTATTTCAGCTGCCCACTGCTTCCAGGACTCAGATGCAATCAAGTGAGTGACACAGCAGCGCCTCTACATCTATATTATTAATTTGATGTATATACTAATTTACTGCCCTATATAGATATTCAGATTCTCGTGCTTGGCGGGCATTCATGGGAATGCGTGTGATGACATCAGGAATCAGTGGGGCAGCCAACAGACAGATCCGACGAATACTTATTCATCCAAAATACGACCAGTTTACCTCAGACTATGACATTGCCTTATTGGAGCTCAGCATACCCATCTTCTTCAATGACCTAGTGCAGCCAGTGTGTATCCCTGCTCCATCACACTCCTTCGCCACAGGAACCAACTGCTACGTCACTGGCTGGGGTGTTCTCATGGAGGACGGTAACAGTAATACCACCCGATGCTAAAATGTCATTGTTTTTGGTATTAAGCAATCTCAATGTTGAATGTTGTAGGTGAACTGGCTTCTCGGTTACAAGAGGCTTCTGTGAAAATAATAAGCAGAAATACATGCAATAAGCTGTATGATGATGCTGTCACTCCCAGAATGCTTTGTGCCGGAAACTTACAGGGAGGGGTAGATGCCTGTCAGGTGAGTATTAGGATCAATCATACAGTGGTCAGTGAGAATTTATTTGCTAACTGCCATGCATTTTTTTGCTATAACCACACAGATAGTCCGGCAACAGTTAATCACTGTTCTATATCACTATGCTGTGAGCATCACCATAGCAAAGAAGAAACAAATTAACTACTGTTAGGAGGGTCTAGCTTCAACTAAGAAATAACTAATGCTTTGAACATCCACAGACAGCTGAAAGGTTGTCAGATATAAAAGTTAACTATTTTCAGTTGGTGGGACCATTGTATAACCAGTATGTTACGCTGTTTTAATGTGCGCCATGGAGAAACACCGGACTCTGAGTTGTTTAATCCTTACATACAACTCTGTATCACACACATCCCTATCTCAGTGATGAGTGCATCAGTGATGTTGTGTCTTCTCTCCTCAGGGAGACTCGGGGGGGCCTCTGGTGTGCCTGGAGAGGGGCCGACGCTGGTTTCTGGCTGGGATCGTGAGCTGGGGTGAGGGCTGTGCCAGGCAGAACCGACCAGGGGTCTACACACAGGTGGTTAAATTCTCTGACTGGGTCCACCAACAGACCAAAGGTCAAGTTTGATTCAAATGGACACAGGCTCACACTGAAATGGAGCATTCTGGATGAATTATGGACATTCACCACCCAGTGACCTCCAGTCCAACTGAAGCAACTGAAACAGGGCTAATCTCCAAAAAACGTATCACTGAATGACTTATTGACAACTGTGGCCCTGACAGATGAGCTTATATATATATATATATATATATATATATATATATATATATATATATATATATATATATATATATATATATATATATATATATATATATATATATATAAACTGTACCTCATTTTTTTATTGCATTGCATGTTATGCTATATGAGAAGTGTGTTTAATAGTAATATATACATTCAAACATTCATAATTAATATTCTGCTTGTTTGAACAAATAATACAACAGCAGCCCCAAATCCCCATTCTTGCTTTTTCATGCAGGTCCATGTACTGTATGTGACTTTGGTACTGTAACAAACTGTATTTGTATTTTATACTTTGAGTTATAGAAAATAAACCACTGGAATTTTCAATCTCCCTGAGAGATTAAGGATGGGGATGGATTGTTTTTTTACTGTATTCTGTTGGGAGTAGGCCTTAACTGTGTAAACTTTGTGGGTTCCCTCCTCAGAGGTCTGACAGTGGTGAGTCGAAGCCTACTCATACTACATTCTTCAAATAATCTGGGTCCTAATAGTGCAAAGTATGTAGATATTTTTGTTGGAAAGGATCGCGAATTGAAACGAGAGACGGATTATTGCACTGTCAGGTTATTAATCAAGGATCAAGACACCACCCGTTTCCCTACTGCCTACGTGCTTTAAATCCCGTGTGTGCCAAACAGAGTACGTGCGCCACTGAAGAAGCTGCGCGCATCCTCAGAGACTTGAAGTTCACCTTCACAAGTGAACGAGAAAACCAAAGTCCATGGTTTAATATTATATTAGATTCTCATAAACCATATAGGTCTTGCTCTATAGACTATCTCTATCTGTGCGGTCCGGGTTTAGGGACCATGGGTGTGTCAGACACGTCACGGAAGCCTGTTATCCGGTGGTCAAACTGTGGGAACAGTATAAATCCTCCACAGTGTCCGAAAGCATGGGAACAGTTTTGACGCGTCCTGTTGCGTGATCTGAACTCCCGTAGTTTTCCTCAGGAAACACCACCTCCATTCACAGCATTCGCTCCAGAGGCAAGAACGGAGCAGCAGGGATACACTTTGAGCTTCATTATACCGGCACTATGGACCTGGCACTTTTTTGCGTTATATGTGGATTGTATTCAGTTCTGGCCAGAGGTGAGCATCTTTAGGTTTATGACACCATGTAACCACAAACACTAGCTTATTTTATGTAATTGTCTACTAGATTTAAATATCTTTATCTCTGACAATCACTTCAGATTAATTGGATTTTGTTAGCATGCGTATCTTTAATTTACTAATAGATTGCGGATTTATACACTGCAGTGAGCAATTACGCGCGCTCAATTCTGGCGCACGTTTGTATGGCTAAAAAAGACGCTCCTGACGTCGGATGGACGTATGCGCGTTATGTCCTGACACTGATGGGGTTGACAGTCATGGTAGGCCTACATGATGGAGAAGTCACGACCTTAGAGGATCTTAATCTGCTTTAAAGACCGCCACCTTCGCGAGGCATGCGCTCGTCCACCTGCTCCGTGTGACACGGACAAAGCGCTGCAATTATTGAATTAGTGGCCTGCTAATGAGTTTATAATATTTTTTGTAATATTTTGTAATTTTTTGTTTAATCTTTAGACGTTCAGGGACCAGGGCGCTACAATTAATAAACAACTGGGCTACATTCCCACGGAGCCTCACATTACCTAGAGCCTTTTGTTAAACATTTCGCAGGCAAGCGATGTTATTTTGTTGACGCTGTTGTTTAGTCTTTCCCTCTCAAAATATGTGTAGAAATAAACAGTCAATGCCTAACCAACTGAAATAGGCCTAACTAGAATAAAAATCAATGTTAAATGGGTTGTGAGCAGGCCTGTCTGTTTCCTTTTATCTTTTTCTTTGGGTACGGAATATAATCAATCATATACATTTTGCTTGTGTGATATGGCAATGCCTCTTTTAATCCGTGTGGTTCCTGTATGGGACTTAATTGGTGAGGCCTATTAGGCCGACTTTTACTTCCTTGTAGAAAATTAAAAAATGTTTATGCATTTCCTGAGTGAGTCAAACTTAAACAACTGTGGTATTTTGCATTTGCCAAGTACTTTGCGGCTTGTTGAAAGGAGGAGATGTCTCACTTCCCTTAAGTCTCTAATGTTGTGCAGTAGCTCCGTGCGCAGTGAAACATTAGGAAATAGTAAAGGAAGTCCTGGCAGCGCCTCTGATAGTGGATGTGCTCAATGAGGCATCCACAGGGAACAATGATTCTAGCTGTAAATTGTGATAATGATTTTGTTACAAATACGTTTATTGCAGTGTAATTAACAGAGTAGCTGTGTTTTTAACAATAGTCAGCTGTATGAATAGGTGAGTGCAGGCACACTTGAGAAAACACTTCCCTGAATGATGTTTCCTTGTTTTTCGGAAGGAAGGGTGGACAGACAGTGGCCTTTATCACTCATTAATAAACTTTAGCTATGGAGTAGAGAAATGTCTATATTTGATAAACAAGAGACTGTGCTTACGCACTTCCACAGAGCTATCAGGTGTCCAGATGTGAAGGGGGTCACATACTCTACTCTTTTAGCACAACCCTATCGCCCTATCAGGTTCATTCAGTTTGTTCAGTGATGGAACCTAGAGAGCTCTTAAACTCCTTAATCTTCACAGTGGTTAGAGTTAATAATCAACGCCATTGATTAATCAGCATTTCTGTAAATATACCACAGTTAAAGAGAAAGCGTATTTTGGATAGGGTGTCATCATTCAATAATTAATTTCAAAACTGAGTTTAGGTTATATGTGTAAAAAAAAATTGTGTATATTGTCAATTATGGTCATCTATGAGTACAGTATTTTAACACATTGTATTTATTATTTTAGAGGGAAGGTATAGTGCACCTGTCTTGGATGTGAAATCTCAACAGCTTGTCCTGGGCTCAGACCAAACCCTGTTACTCAACTGCAGGTAAGTTGAACACTCTTGAAAATATGTGTATATGTTTTACTGTGAGAGGCTCATTGCACAGTGCTCACCTCCTACCTGTGACAGGGGTCGCTGGAAGGTGATGTGGGTGCACCCTCTAGCTCTGACCGCAGAACAGGTTAAAGTGGTAAACTCACGCTGTGGAAGGACTACACAGCATTACTGCAGCCTCCTGACCATCACCCACACTAAGACTGACAACACAGGCTTCTACAAGTGCTACTATGAGCATCGTCCGGAGAGGAACACATCTGTGTACGCTTATATCACAGGTAAGACACTCACTCACTCTTCACCTCTGTCATTGTTTCAGAGCGCATCTTAAACAGGATACAACAAGTGCTAAATACAGACCAATGCCAGAGAGCCAATTATATTTAAACACACTTTGCAACAACAACACATCCGTCTAAATGACTCTGGCACAGTTCTACGCCCCTCTTCCCCTCTCCCTCCCATTTATGTATAATTCCCTTTTTACTTTCGCTTACGTGCTACCTCTGGGCCAGGAATAGCTGCTCTGCTCCGGGCAGAATTTCCCAGGGCATCAGCCTTATCTTCTGGCCTCAGCCTTCAGTGAGCATCCTGTGCTGGGGGACAGGCAGGGAGGGGATGTGTCTGTGTCTACAAGGTGCTGTGTTTGTGTGGAGGACAGGGGCACAGAAGGCACACAATCGGCGTGCCCACTGACTCCGCCCAGTCCTTGGAGGGTCGGCGTCTGTACCAGGGTCAGAGCCACTGTGCGGCCAACGGGACCCTCGGGGGCCATCAGCACTCAGGTCGTCATGTCCATTAAATGTCATTCCTGGCTCAGCACAGCACTTGCACTGTGCACCTCCTACACACAGGTTGCAGCACAAAATCAAAGCCCTGGGTCTGCTGGTCCTTGGGGTACTTTTGTTCAAATGTTCAGACATTTGCTTTCTCAGAATAACACCAGCAACAAACAATGCAGACAACACCCACAACTTTTAAAGTCCACAGTCATTACTGTGGTGGACATGGGAGGTAACACACAGAAGAGAAGCCGTTTCTCAACTGCCTGTTTACAGCAGCTGATCACTGCTGGCTCAATAGGGTTTTCAATGATAGAGTGTGGGAAGTGCAAATGTGTGTATAATTGTGGCACAAATTAAAATGATGTCTGAAAGCTTTATGCTGGCTTATCAAGTCATATTATGCAAGACACTTGCATTATAATTTTTTCTTCTATATAAATACTAGCCATAACTACAGTTAATCGCTGACGTTAAAGATGTTGACATTTCCCTGATCGCAGTTTTTGGGTTTCAGATAGCCATCGGCCATTTGTGGAGCATTCAGGAATGAGCCCAAATGTGCTGTACAAGAAGGAGAAAGAGCCACTCATCATCCCTTGCCGCGTCACCCACCCAAATACTACTGTCACTCTGGCCAAGGTGAGCAATTATAATAAAGCATACAATTAAATGTGTTATGTAATCATAACATGTGAAGCCAAATGACAAACGACAGCCAAGTATAACTTAAACTCAATGTTCTGTCAGTATAACTGATTCAGACATTGTCAGGGCTCAGGAGATGGAGTGCCCCTTGGCCTCTGTCCAGTAGCATTTCCACATGTCATCCTCCACTTTGTGGAAGTCTGAAGGACCAACCGCCCCCTAATGCTTTAAACAGCTGCAGGATCCTGCTGAATCTAAAACATCAAAGTCAGCGCACTTTGTCTAATCACAGCTCATCACTGACAGGGCACAACCTACGTCAGTGAGAGAGGTTATGGACATTACTCTAGATTGCAAAAACTTATTTATGTATTTACCAACATCCAGAGTCATATGGTGAATGCTTATGTTTCCTGACCTCTACAAAAGGGTCTTCCTCATGTAGCCAGTCCAGTTGATCCAAAAGTGTTTTTTCCTGAATGTATTTGACACTTTTCCTGTGGTTCCTGAATGAATGTGGACAAAGCACATGAAGCTTTATATTTACTGGATCTTTATATATCCTACACAGAGCTGTATTTCTTCAGCACCATATTTGAAAAAGAGAAGCTGTATGGTGATGGTAGGAGAGCTACATAAGGAGGTGAATGTGTGGAAGTGCAAGGGCTCACACAGGGGTCCTAGAGGAAGTTAGTGTTTGGTGAAAGGGTCTACCTGCTCCCCTGAGAGAGGGCGGGGGGCTTCAGCATGTCACACAAACTAGTAAACACTTCCATCAGTTTTGTCTAAGAACCACTCACAAGTGTCTCTATCAAGGTTGCTTCACCACTGAGGCCATTTTTCAAAACATTTTAATGCAGTATTTTCAATTGTGTGTAGCACAGTTGTTTATTTATGAAAATATCTACTTAAATCATTACTCCCTCTTCTTTGACAGTTCCCAAACGGGCAAAGGCTGAGCCCAGATCAGAGGAACATCCTCTGGGACAGTACGATTGGCTTCACCATCCGCAGTCCCACCTATTATTATACGGGGCCTTTCTTCTGTGAGACCTCCAGAGATGGTGCACCTCTGAAGTCACGGATATACATTGTACATAGGCCAGGTCAGTGCAGTAATCAATCAATGACAATAGCATTGAAACTTGAACATTTATTTTTAATTTGGAGTCGTAACATTAAAGATGCATTGCATAACCTTTCTGGTGAAGAGTCATTCAAATGCTTTTTTCCATGGATATGTTATTGCTTTGTCTGGAATGTTTCACAGTATGTTATTAAACCTTTCTATCTTAATGGAGACCAAATCATTCTGAGTTACAGATCAGATCTGTGGAGAGGTATTTTTGACATGTTAAACTACCTGTTATTGAATAAATTTAAGGTAGAGCTGTTTAATATCATGCTGTGGAACATTCCAGACAGAGCAATGACATATCCATAGAAAGGTTTCAGAATGCATCTTTAATTTTCATATTAACATACATTTAACATTTAATAGCAATGATAAAAAACATATATTTCTGCTACAGTGAGCAACATCCTGGAAGTGTACCTGAACAGCAGCGGGTCGGTGCAGGCGCTTAGGGGGGACAGACTCGTCCTGAACTGTACTGCCACAGGGGAACTGAACACCAGGGTCAACTTCACCTGGGACTATCCTGGGCAGGTCAGGCACGATGCTACTGTGAAACCTTTAATTATGAGCATAATAAATAAATAAGATTAGTGTTGTATATAAATATATAAAGCCTATTGTAAAATGATCACAACACAGATGTAATATTTACATAATTAAACAATGTATGTTCTCATTCAGAACAATAGTTTAAACTCCATCACAAAGAAGATCTATAGACACAGCAAGCACATCTTGTTCTACAGCATCCTGACCATCCCAAAGCTGCAGCCTTCTGACCGTGGCCAGTACACCTGCCGCGTGTCCAGTGGAGACAACGTCAAACAGCAGAGAGTGCCAGTGACAATTTATGGTGAGATCATTTGTGCAACTAAGCTATGAAATACTGTTCTTAAAGCTCAGCATATAGCAAATTCATTGTCTTCTTTTAGACCATCCATTCATCCGCCTTAAGCCCAGACAAGGATGCTTAATAGAAACAGAAATTGGACAGAAATCCTACAAGATCTCTCCAAAACTACGAGCATTCCCTAACCCAGAAGTCATGTGGTAAGACAACACATTTTCATTGTGGTTACCTTAGTCAAATAACATGGGAGTTTTGCGTTGAAACCTTTTATTCTTGTGAATCAATTTCAAGTTTTTATACTATTATTATTGCATTATTATTTGGCATTCATATTAATACTTTGTTAATACTTTGTCCTATAATTTATCACCTTAGGTTAAAGGATGGCAGAATTGCTGCAGAGCAGTGTTCCAGATATCATTTAGAGGGGCACTCCTTGGTCATTCGGGATGTTGCTGAAGAGGATGCAGGAAAATACACTATCCTGGTACGAAACCAGGAGCATGGACTTTGTCAGAACCTAACACTCACCCTGATGGTGAAAGGTGAGTGCAGCCTGCATGGCCATCCTTTAGTGTGTGATAGTGTTCACGTCTGATGTCTCTGATCTGTGGACATGTCGCTGACAGTGAAACCGGAGATTGGGGAGAAAGCGGTGTCATTACAGGACCCTGGTCCTGTACCACAGGGGAGTAGACAAGCACTGCACTGCACATCACATGGGATACCCCCACCTCACATCCACTGGTCCTGGCACTCTTGCCCTCCAAAAAGCCTGTAAGTAGATCCTTCACTGGAGTCACTGACTTTAAATAGTGAGAAAATTTGAGTTGCTTAAGTCTCTGATTAAGTTAAATAACCATATTATAATCTGTAGTAAAGTGTACTGCTCAGTATGGTCTGGCGCACTCAGGGCTGTGATTATAAAGGGACATGTTTTGTCTATTGCAGCGTGAATTCAGAATGAGTTTCCTCTTTAACCAGTACAGCTTCTTTTCATGTTCATTATTGTGTGAGACCATGTTTACTGTATGTGTGTGTGTGTGTGTCTGATCCTTCTCTCAACTTTTTTCCATCTGTCTGTTCCATGTCTTTCCTTATGTTTGTTTAAGGGCACATTATTACTGAGGCTGCAACTAACAATATTGTTGTCAACTAGTCAAACGTGTGCAGTTGGTGTGCGTGTTAGATATGTTAGGAGGCCAAAACACACCAGTGTCCAGTGTACTAATCTGGAAAGGACATGCTTCAGGATGAACCGTGCTATTAGTCACAATTAGTTGGTTTCCAAATCCAGTACTATAATTAAATGAATTTCCTGTACAGGACACAGGGTGAGAGTTCTGTTTATTACTGAAAGCATCCTGTGATGATTTCATAAATGTCACACACAGGCGTTAAACTGTGTACGTGAAGTCTTAAGAAATGGCCCTACCCAACATGTGAGGGGCAGTGGCTCAGTGAGGCTGCACTCACAGACTTGACATTCTTGGAAAAAAACGCAGTAGAGTGAAGGTCACACTTGTATTGTGTTGATCCTGAAGAGTCGTAGGTTAAGTATCACCTGAGAGGGATGCAGACCGACCACACGCTCCTCAACAGCCTCTGACATCATCACAGTGATTGACCCCTGACCCCAACTTTAGCGCGGCGCCTCAGTGCCTCCAGTGGCTTTCATCTCTTGTGCCAACAGCCGGGTACAGAGCTATTACAGGCATACTGTGTTAAATCACTTAACTTCAGTGTTTGCTTGTTAACCTTTTTTGTTCTGGAATCATTTAAAGTTTGTTATAATTTATAATGATCTAAGTCATTCAGCAACCAGAAATCACATACAAAGAAGTGATTTATTTTTAAATGGAAAAACGTACCTGCACTATGCACCATGTATTTGGCATTATATTATTTGTAGAGATCTGCTCTGGGGTTTTTTTGTTTTTTTTTTGTATGGAGTGTTTCAGTTGTTTGGCTGGATCCTGACTCGGCCTTGTTCTTTGCAGCGCGGTTGCACCGCGAGCCTGACGCCACTCTGGAGGAGACCCAGAGGCAATGGACCGTCCTGGGCCAGGCTGAGGAGCCTAGTGCCTGGGAACTGCAGCACTCTTATCTGGCCCAGGCAGGAGGTGCAGTGAGCTTCCTGTACAAAAATCAGAGCGCTTTTCCTCTTGTTGTTTGGCTTCCTCTTCGATGCGAGACGCTTCCCAGCAGCGTGATTGTCCCTTCTTCTTCAAACGTGGCACAGTCCACTTCCTCAAGAGCTTGATCTATTCTGGAGAGCCCCACCACCCACCTCTGCCTGTTCTGCCCCCACATAGCCCAGCACCAGCTCCTGTACCTCCACCTCTGCTCTGTGAAGGAGCTCCTACTGCCCCCCTGCAGGGGGCTGTTCCTCCCAGACTCTGCCTCTACTTCACAGCTTGTGCCTCACCACTGTCGCTCTGGGATCTACTGGCCTGAACGAAACACTGCTGAGCAGTGAGGACCAAAGTGCACTCGAAGGACACTTCTTTTTATTTATTTATTCTTCTTTATGGCCAGGTCTCAGTCCAACCCATCCATCCCTGCTGTTTCATAAACAATTTGAGCCAGACAAAGTGCAATTGCACCCACTACCCACATTTCTGGAGCTGCTTTGCCTTGTGTCCTAGAGTGGTACTATAATGGGTGCTTCAAACTGTAGCCTTCATGTGCCCAGATCTAATTCTGATATCCACAAAAGCTGTGAGTTTATAAAACTAATGTAGCCAGCAGAAGTGTGCTCGCTTGGATGGGTGAGAAGACAAGCTTATGTTCACTGTGGGATGCAGCAGTTCTTTATTTAAAGACTATTGGTCCAAAGATGCCTACTATGTAGGAAGTCTTACAGACTATGTCATTGCCACATGTGTTAAAATGTGCTTTAAATAATGTATAGTATAACAGCTATTTGTTTTGTTTAAGTGTAAGCCAACCAAACGCATGTGTAATAAGCCATGTAAGAAATGAGTGAAACTGTGTGTGCATGTGAATGTTCTACGGGTGACTCTCACTGTGATGTACTTCTATACAGATGTCCAATGAGTAATATATGAGTCTAATATTTAATAATTTTATACAACTAACTTACATATGACAATACTTGCCAGCATTTGTATGAAAAATATTTGTTTAAAATGTTATATCTTTGTGAGTGTTTTGCATTAAAGTTTGCTCATATTTGTCTGTTGATTTACCTGATTGTGGTTATTTTGGGCTTGAGACAGGAACGGACAGGGACAGTACAGACTATTTTAGGCACTCGGACAAGACGGAAACAAAAGGAAGGAATTACCCCCACAAATCACAAATAGTCAATTCCTTTTTCCTCATCTCAAACACGTCAGATGCATGTGAAAGTAACTGTGTGTCCCTTATACTTTAACACCTTTGTGTCTTCTGTTTCTGTCCCACTCTTTTGGGCCTAAGCATTTCCTGGGAGAATGAACCTGTGAGTGTGATGTGTGCTACATGTGCCAAAGGACAGTCAGGGACAGGGACATAGGAAGGTGTTAACTGCTTGAAAAAATACTGCAAATACTTGATTTAATCTGATTTACTTACATTCACTTGCATTTTAGATGTAATATACACAGTAGACATTATGCTTTTTTTGCATATTATTCTGAGTTAACTTTTATGTTTGTGGTTGTCTCTTACTAATTCTATAGCACTTTTCAGTAGAAGTTTTTTGTGGGAACAACAAACATAAATCTTGTAAATCATCATTTCCTAAACATACATCTAATGTCAACATTGTACAAAATCTGTTTATATGGATCAGTACACTGATTTCTGCAACCACAGGCTGCTATTGTCAGACATCAAAGCTCATAAACAATATGCTGCATGAGTAAGGTTATTTATTTTCTGAATGCAAATTTGAAAAGGTGCACTGTGGCTTGCATAAGTCCCAGTTCCCACAGTTACTGGTGTGTAATCTATGGATTTAGACTTGTGAGAGAACGACAGGAACTCTGGTCCTGGAAATGTGGGATGATTTGTTCTCAATAGAAGGAAGTGGATGCACAAGATGACAAAAGCACCTCAGCGTCCTCCAGAGATTAACAATCAGGCTGCTCATAGCACTCCAAAGACTGACCATTGTCAGCACAGAGGACAGACAGAGGATGTATCATTCTTTTATAAAACCACTGGACGGAAGATGACGAGTCATGCGTAGGATATTATCAAAATATCAAACGGAGATGATCAAGGAGTTAGAGGTGTACCTCCCACTGAGCACAGCTGAGTTAAACAAAACCATCACACCTGTAAACGCTTGTATCAACACAGCTGAGACCTGTCCCTGCTGCAGGTGTCCCCCATCCTCCCCATGGACCCCTGTAACTGCAGGACAGAGGGCCACGTCCACACGAAACCACATCCTCAGTGTGTCCCAACACCACCAACTACTCCAGGGAAAGAATAAGGTGAGAAGCACACACATCTACAGTGAAGAAATTAAAGAGAAAATATGTGATATACTAGTGCTGCCCATCCCCACTGATAAAACATACATGAAAATGTTTAGCTTCACACTTAATCATCACTTAAAAATGAGGTAACTGACAGCATTCTGGCTAAGAGACCTCTGTTGTTCCTAAATGGTTTCTGCCTTAGGTGGTAAAGGTGACATGTTTGTGTGCAGACTGTGGGGGTCCTGACTGTGGCAGATGCCTCTGTTTCTGGAGTGTATCGCTGCATTGCCTCTAACTCTGCGGGCACCGACCAAAGAGACATCCCATTCTACATCACAGGTCAGTCCTACTCACTCCATTTAAAATGATGCAGTATAAACTTCCATATACCCTATGTGCCCCTTCATAAGGTGAGTCCTGAGTGGAGCTGTGAAGCTGCATGAGTAAAGCAGGAACCTGCCTCTCTTATCGGTCTACTTCCCTCCATCTGCACTTCCTTGGACTGGCAGCCCGCTTTATTTCTGGGGCCTTGGGGTGTTTGGTAAAGATAAACACAATCTGCCATCTGGAAACTCTTGTGCTGGCTCTATAGGAAGTGTCAATTGACTTAAGTAAAATAAAACCTTTCCACTGTAATCCAGTGGCTGATTTTACCTACATATTTTAGTTGAATAAGCTCTGCATACTTCAGATTCAAATCTCTTAGAGCTGACTGACTATTCATGGTCCCTTGTCTGCTGTTTAGACATAAAGGGAGGCTTCAGTGTGATCCAGGAGGAGAAGTCCTGGGAGGGTGGAGACCTGCAGCTCACCTGCCGAGCCAATAAACACCTGTACAGTATGTTGTCATGGAAACAGATGAACAATACACACCCTGCTCTGGCTCAGCTCAGTGTGGGGAAGTACTCTTCTGCTCTGGTGCTGCGGCGTCACAACCTGAGTGCTGCAGATACAGGGCTGTACAGATGCTCCGCCCACCACCTGCTGACAGGACAACAGGCTCACCTGGACATACAGGTCAACGTGTCAGGTGAGGTCACTGCAGTTAGACCACTACAGTAACAAGCTTTTGTGTCCACAGAAAATGTACAGAATATACACACAGAAAGTTACACTTGTAAACAAAAAAAAATTATTTTCTAATCATGTTTCTAGAAGACCTCACAGTTGAACAATGTACCCTGCTGTGCTTACTATATGTAGCTTGTTGCTTTCTGAGGCATACATACAAATAAACAAAGAGCTTCTCAGTTCTTGAACTGGGTCCCCTGCACTTCCTGGGGCCGCACCCAGTCTTTGCTCTGCACCCGGGCCCCGTACCTCTTTCACGTGGGAATGAGCGCTCGTCAGGAGGAAGAGACACAATGGCACTTCCCACAATGCCACATTTACAGCCCTGCACAGAGCCGGACGAACAATCGACCAATCAGACACTGTCAAGCCCCAGCCCCACACACAATCATCAATTGTTGTTTGGGAGGAAGATAGGGGAAACAACAATCAGACGCCTTTGGCTAAGTGACTTTTCTTTATGTATTTTACTGCTGTGCTATTCAATCAGGCCCCCACATCCTCTCATGGGACCCCTACGGGAACTACTCGAAAAATGGGGAGCACTGACATCAAATAATGGGGGACAGAATCATAAACACGTTCATAGGATGACTAAGAAATCATGTATCTTTATAGGAGTGGGAAAACCACTACTCTTTACTACTAAATAAAATGCTCAGTTGTCATTGGTTTTACAAATGCCATTGTGTAGGGCCCAGCTGAGTCACAGGGAGAAGCCAGAATTAGACCAAACTATGTCATCACCAGCTTATTGTCCAACAGTGGCACCCGTCCAAAAAAGCAGCAGTTTTGCTTCATCACATTTTCATTTATAGTTGAATGTCCTGAGAGTCAGCAATCTATTTTTATAATAATGCAGTCAATCTTATCTCTTACTGAATTCAATCAATGCTGTGGAATTCTATGGTAACTAAATGCTTGAGGAATGGATTTTTATAATTGGATCTTGTTTGTTCATAAACAACAGCACTCATACTTTGGCACATTTGTTTTTCTTTTAGTTTTAGAGCCGCCAGCGCTCCTGAATAATTTGACTGACCGCACAGTAAACTCCAGCAGTTCTGTGACACTTAAGTGTGACTCCCGTGGTGTGCCACCTCCTACAATCACATGGTACAAGAGAGAAGAAGCTCTGCTTCAAGGATCAGGTGAATATACTATCCTATACCATAAATGCATTAGACTTTGCTCTATATTTACTCCTGTATTCCCTCAGGCATTATGATATCATCAGAGGATGGTACACTCCACATTGACCGTATCACTGAAGAGGACCAGGGCCTGTACACCTGCAAAGCCACCAACAAAAGGGGCTCTGCACAAAGCTCCGCCCACATATGGGTCAACAGTGAGCGTCACAACCTTTACACACTTTACTTTACAACTTTTAACATGCAGCGCTGTGTTCTATAGTACAACTGTTACAGGGCATGTAAAAGGCTGCTGCTACTTCTGTTTTCATAAAGTTAAATAATTTTAATACCACAATGTTTGCCTTTTTTCCCTTGTAAGCAACCATATTTGTTTTGATACAGACAAAGACTGTGTTTCCCTTAATGGCTAATCCATCTGTCAATCATATGCTTCTGAGGGCGATTCCATGGTAACCAGACCAACACTGTAAAGTACTTCACAAGCATTCTCAGGAAGACATAGTGCTACAATGCACCTTTTATACAGTTACTAAAACCATTACTAAAACCATCACTACTATTACTACCACTGCCAATTACTGCTACATGTATACTCTACACATTTGTAAATCAGTATTTATTGGTGTCATGAATTGGGGAGTACAAGCCAAAACAACTACTATGGTGACTACTAAGAGTAGCCTTAGTGTGTCCCTGTTGTGCGGATGCAGTTCCTGGTCCAGCCCTGACGACAAGGGCTAAGTAAGTGTTGTTGTGTTCTGATCCTTCAGGAAGGAACAAGTCTCCCACTTTTATTTCCTGTGGAAATTGGCATGCCTGAATCTCCAAGTGACTCTGCCTTTAGCTTGATCTTGCAAATGAAGAAGAGATTAAACAGATAATTATTTTGGTTAGTGTTGTGTGTGTGTATATATATGTATATGTATATATATATATATATGTATATATATATATATATATATATATATATATATATATATATATATATATATATATATATATATATATATATATATATATATATATATATATATATATATATATATATATATATATATATATATATATTAGAGCTGGGCAAAAATAAAAATTTTTTTTATCGCGATTAATCGCATGAGTTCGAGCGATTAATGGCGATTAATCGCATGTTATACACAAAACCAATTAATGAATTAAAAAGTAGAGTATAGCGCTCTTTTATTGTAAATGTAAATGAAAGAGCCATACATTTATTGTGCAAACAGCATTTCTTTCACAGGGGAACTCTCAGAGCCTTCAATGTATTCAGGGAAGGCTCAAGAAAAAATACTGAATGGACGTTTGTACTACAAATATATTTATTGAATATTTTTTATGCTATGAGTAATGAACACTACATTAGTAATAATTTCTAGATCAGTGTTATAAACTTGGACTGATATTTCTTAAGAAACAAAGGGTTAATATAATGGGATGGAAATGGACCAATCACATTTTTTCTTCCAATCTGGGTAAATCAGTTACTCCAGCACTGAACTAAAGAAATAAGATCAGCTCAGAGCCGGTGTAGCGTTTTCAAACTACCCCCTTCAAAAATTTGAAATTACCGGGGGTTAGTGTTAGTGTTAGTTGGGGTTAAGGGGGTATCTTGAAACCGTTTTCAAATTACCGGGGGGTAATTTGAAACCAGCTTCAAGCTACCCCCCGGTAGGTTGAAACCGGGGGTAGTTTGAAACGTTTACACCGGTGTCCGCGGCTGAACCCGCGGCTGAGTCAGCGGCCGGAGCCGGAGCCCGCGGCCGAACTCGCGGCCGGAGCCGCGACGGGAATCGGAGCCTGCGGCGAACCCGCGGCTGAACCCGCGACCAAAGCCCGCGGCCGGAGTCGGAGCCCGCGCCGGGCCCGCGGCTCGCGGAGGCTCGGGCACGTTGCATCTCACGTGGTCAGAAAAAAGTGAAAAAAGTGTAAAGAAAAGACGTCAAACTTAAGGAAACGCTCACGGTGGACTTTTTCAAAATAAAAGCCGGTGAGAAACAGACGTTTACAATAAAAATAAATAAATAATAAAAACTGCGTTAACGGCGTTAAAATAATTGTCGGCGTTAATGACTTAATTAGTTAAGTAATATATATATATATATATATATATATATATATATATATATATATATATATATATATATATATATATATATATATATATATATATATATATATATATATATAATATGTATGTATATATATGTATGTATGTGTGTATGTATATGTGTATTATATATATATTTTTTCAACCTAATCTTGTACCATATGGAAGAAAACTATATGAAGCAAATATTCAAACCAGTTTGTGAAGGATATGTAAGTGAGAACCAGTAGTTATCGCTGTTTGTGTTTATTGCCCAAAAAGTGCTGCATATTTCATTCCCTCCGTTACCGAGATGAGTTTTTTAATTTTTTGTCAACAACTTGAAATAATATTGCAGGTTCAACTTTATCTTGTTGGAGTGTTAACTCTTTCCTACAATCTAATATCTTACTTATTTCAATAGTCCCTCTAGTTTCTGAATAAGAGCTATTTGAATGTAAAAAAAAAAAACTGCCCCTATTTCCCTCCGTTAACCGCTTGACCGGACCCATGTATATGTGTGTGTGTGTGTGTGTGTATATATATAACTTTGTTTGCAAAAATATGTATATGTTTGCATAAATTTGTAATATTACACACACAAAACAACATTACAAAGAGCATTACATTCATCTTGTTCTTGTTTTTTTTCTTCTATCGTTTATGTAAGGTCCAAACATTTGTGAAACCATAGTTGACGCTTTGCGCACCTTGTTCCACCTTTGAAAAATGCCTCAAAAATAAAAGAATACACGGAGAGTGATCTAAGTGCAGTTAAAAACTCTTTACTGAGTATTCACATAATTGGGACATACAAAAACATACAAAAAGGGGAACTTTTTAACATACAGGTGACAGGAGGTCAAAAAACCTCCACTCCACACTCCCATGGTGCACCTGCACTCGCCTTAAATAAGACCATAGACCACAAAATAATACAAAAAATAAACTTTACTTAAGTAAACTTATGATAACATTAGCAATAATTAATTGAAAGAAAAATGTAAATAGATGCTATTTCTTAGCAAATAATCAACAAATAATCACGTTAACCATAAAGCATTACCAAAATACCAAAAATCATGCATTTTAAGTAAATATTAAACCAAACAAAATAAGAATAATTATATCAGTAATGAAAAAAACTACAAAACTGGGTTTAGGCTCCCACAGATTATTATATGTTTGTTGATGTGTTTTTGTTTGCTATGCCCTTTGTGTTTTTAGGCATTTCAGAGTTTTCTTTCCTGGAGGTTCCCACTCTGGCCTGCACCTGTGTCGTGGCTACGCTTCTCTGGCTCCTGCTCACACTGCTCATTCGGAAACTAAGACAGGTACAAACTATTACTTATTATTGTTATTTACTGCCATTAGCAAAGTATTTAATAATAACTGTCAGTGTTGTCATTCAGTCTGAAATGTGAACATTTTCCTTTATTCTTTGGACCCACAATGTTGCTCCACCAGCTTTGTCTTGGCATTTCCATCTTATTTGTCTTATAATAATGTATTTAACATAAATTTTATGGCTTACAGTATTCAATAATGTAAACTTGCCAATGCCAAAATAAAAAGGACCTTACAACTATGCTATGTTTAACTAATCTCACATTTATTTATTTATTTAGTTATTATTTAATTTTGTCTCTGTAGAGCTCACACACAAAGCCAGAGTACCTTTCAATCATCTTGGACACTGGTGCAGGGCCTCTCAGTGAACGGCTGCAGTATGACGCCAACCAATGGGAGTTCCCAAGAGAGCGTCTCAAATTAGGTACAAAGCTTACAACGTATTTCTCTTCAAGGTTCAACGGGGGCGATAATTCTGGTGTGTCTGTAAATAACTTTTGGAATGCATAATAAGATGTGGATGCGGGGAGGCGTGTGTCCGATAGCCTATAAGATACTGGACTTTCTCATAGCTCTTATCTGGTATTATGGGGAGTAGCTGCGGTTATCAGGCTCAGTGATGAACTAATCAGCTGGATGTGGATGTATGAAGCGTGTTTACTGCAACTAATCAGTGCCCATTCACTAACATAGGCCCTCCACTCCGTCCTAATCTCGTGTTTTGGAGGCTCAAATTAATAAAATGACTCATTTGAAAACAAAAACACTCATTGGTTTATTGTCTCAGGGAAACCTTTGGGCCGAGGAGCTTTCGGTAAAGTGGTCCAGGCCTCTGCTTTTGGCATTGACAACGAAACCAGCTGCAGGACTGTGGCTGTTAAAATGCTCAAAGGTACAAAAGCAGGTCATGTAGTTTTGTTTAATTGGGCAAGCCTCTGTGTGACAGTTTTCTATATATCCACTAGAGGGAGCCACAGCCAGCGAACATGAAGCTCTTATGACTGAACTGAAGATACTCAACCACATTGGAAACCATTTAAATGTGGTAAATCTATTGGGAGCCTGTACAAAATCAGAAGGTATGTTTAAAATAATAATTAAAAAATTTATTTATGTGTAATATATTTTCTGCACATGCATTTGTCTAGGTCCTTTGATGGTCATTGTTGAGTACTGTCGCTTTGGAAACCTCTCCACCTTTCTCAGAACTAAGAGAAGTGTATTTGTGGCTTACAAAGTAAGATAAAATCAATTATTTTCAACATTGCAAATTTTGTCAATGTAGACTGTCATTTTCAACATGACGCCCACATTTTGTTCACACTTACATACACCAAAACTTCTCGTTGTGGTTCAGACCCTTACAAAACTGTACACTTCTGCAATCTGTCTACATCTTAAAATGACTATTTTCTCTAAAGCAGGACCTTGACTTCCTTATTTTTGGTCACAAATTACAAAAAAGTGTTGATGTTCTTTTCACAACTATTGGCACTTCACAAAATGTAATGACTAATAAGCAAAAAATACATTATTTTTGTTATATGTGTATATTTGAAATACTAATAATGTTTTTTGTTCAGCAGAATCAGTTTTATAATGGAAAGTCTGGTTTTGGAAATGCACTTCACAAACAAGAAGTTACCTATGATCAGAAACATATGAACAAGGATGGTATGAGTTCAATATTTACCCCCCTAAAACACACTTATATGCAATTATAAAACGTATTTTTTACCGTTTTGTACAGAGCAAAAGTCAGTCCCAAATTCTCCTCTGTTCCTGGAAGATCTTATCTCCTTCAGCTTCCAGGTGGCCCGAGGAATGGAGTTTCTTGCCTCACGCAAGGTGCTAGTCCATGTACCTTATTGTTAGTACCAATACATATGAATATATGTGCAATATATGATCAATAAGAGCCATTTGTCTGTCAGTGTATCCACAGAGACTTGGCTGCTAGAAATGTGCTGCTTTCAGACAACAAAGTGGTAAAGATTTGTGACTTTGGTTTGGCCCGGGACATTTACAGAGACCCTGACTATATCCGCAAAGGTGATGTAAGTATTCAGCTATAGGCTACATCTTTTTCTTTTTCTTGATACAATGTGTGTGTTAGCCACAAGCTGGAGAAATCACAGATGTCACAAAGTAAAGCGATAGGTCATATTTTATATTAAATTGAAATAGCACAAATGCATTACCCTGTTTGAAAGGCCCGTCTGCCTCTGAAGTGGATGTCTCCAGAGTCCATCTTTGACAAAGTGTTCACCACACAGAGTGATGTCTGGTCCTATGGCATCCTACTGTGGGAGATCTTCTCTCTGGGTATGAAACATTCATGATGTCAATGTCATAAAAGTAAAGTCCTTAAATTGACTGCTATAACCATGCACAGGAGCGTCTCCGTACCCTGGACTTCATATTGATGAGGAGTTCTGTCACAGGCTCAAGAGGGGAACGAGGATGAGAGCCCCCGAATACTGCACGCCTGAAATGTACATTTTTGTTGTAAATAAACATAATAATTGTAATACAGGACACATGCAGTTCAAAAAGACTTCACAGTACAATCCATAGTTTATAAACACGTGTATATAGGTTATGTTTACATGTAAGGGTGAAAAAATGCATAGCACACTCGGTTGGCCGATGTCCAAATACTTTTTTATTAACAAAATAACGTTTGGTCCAAGACAAGAAAAATATCTGATGAAGGCTTTTTTGCCAAAACATTCTTTTGTTAATAAAAAAGTATTTGGACATCAGCCAACCGAGTGTGCTATGCATTTTTTCACCCTGGTCTGGCTGCTCCTTGCATTTGCACCTCTGCAAGAATCTTGGTGTGCGTTTTCTGTTTCTTTTGATATGTTTACATGTAAGACATGTATACATTCCCAGTCAGGTGGTCAGTCTACTGAACAAAAAATAACTAAAGATCAGATCAAATCTGATTTATATACCTCAAGAAGATGATCAAATTCTTTACCAACAGCCCAATAAAGTTCAACACAGTTCATGCTCATTTTAGGACAATACTGTAATATCCTAAAATAAAATCTGATTTCACCGAGGTTCAAACATTGGGGGCTTTGAAATAAAACAATATGCTGTTTTTGCAGTTACAGTACAATGCTGGCCTGCTGGGAGCCTAGTCCTTCAGACCGACCTACCTTCACTGACCTGGTGGAGACTCTGGGTGACCTCCTCCAAGCCCGTGTTCAGCAGGTCAGAGCTGTGCATCAAAATAAATCTCTGCTGTAAAAGTATCATCTGAAATTTTTTTTATTTTTTATTACAGGATGGAAAAGATTACATTCCCCTTGGGTCATTCAAGAATGGACATGCAAATTACAACAGTAGACTGAAGGAAAACCCACTGGCAGTAACTAACCTGAGGTATAATACATTGTTTTGTTTTTATCTATCAGACCTCAAAATTATTAGATGTGTAAAATGTGTGATGGACCAATACAATGCAATGCTTTCAGGAAATCACAATGGGCAGATATTGGCCTCTCCTTGGGTGATGAAATAGTGGGAATAAAATATTCTATTACTCTTTTGAATGATAAAAGTCCTCAAAATGGCATTCATAACAGGAAATCATGCCTATGAAAAGGCAATTAACTGTAGTTTTACCACTGCAAATTAAGTGAAATTAAAGGTGCACTATGTATCTTTTCTGCTTATCTCCATAAATATTGTAATGATGTGATCATTTCTATTTAGTTCAAAGTCACCACCTTTTGTTCTTGTAACTGTTTATGTGTTGTTGTTAATGTAACTTCTTTTGTATGTGACACTACACTTTGCCAAAGTGTTTATGGGAAGATTTTTCTAGCTCTAGTGAGTTGAGACTGCTGCTGTTTTCCTTTTCTTTTGGTGTGAGTTACAGCCTATAGTAGTTCAGAAAATAAACAAGAAGAAATTTGGTTTTACACAAGTTGAAATGGCCCTTGCTTGTGCTGTTAAAACCACAAAGTATGACAGAAAGGCTGATTGACAGGCATTTTATGCACAATTTGAATTGCTGACATTGCTGGTAATATGTACCCATAGCAGTCAGAAAAGTGAGCTGCTCTGCACTAGTAGATACCGGCTCCTCAGATGTGCTTGGAGGTATAGTAGCTATAACTCCTACTTCTGTCCAACTACAAACTGTGACCATAGACGGTATATATATTCTGTGACTGTTACTGGTGAGAGGGGCTCGTGTGGTTCGTGAGACTACAGTGACAGTGGGTGAGAAATTACTCAACTGTCTGTCTGGTATGGGTTGCAGATTTGGTCTTTAAAACCTGAGGGTTTGCATAATTGACATGAAAAAAGGCACTTTAAGGGATATGTTTCCTTACACCAGAATGCTACAATATGTTAATGTCTTGGCTGTGGTGTGCAGTATGGTATGAGGTTTTTAATGCTTGAAAAACATCTATTCTTACTGTGAGCGAGTACACCTCCTCACTGATCTGATGTGTAACTTACCCTGGTGGTGTTTACTGCCATACTGTGAGAAAATCCAGACAAAGCATCTCCATGGAGAAAGGCAGGTGGCGGACACCCCATCTAAAAGGTTAAATACTGCACCTTTTTAAAAAAAAAATGTTTTAAACCAAGGGCCAAGATTGTTTAGGCCAATCTGAACCCAGTTGTGAAATGTAGGGCATTCCTTGTGTTTTAATCTTGTGCTTTTAGTTACATGAGGGGTATGGACTCACTGCAGACATTTGAGGAACCATCACTAGAGGAGCAGAGCTGCCCAGACGTGAGAAAACGCCTCCACTTCTGCAAACATCTGATGGCTTGAGATAAACACCTTTTTGACACAAAAAACTGTCATGTTTTTACAGGAAGAACAGAGTGATAGCGGCATGGTCCTCCCCTCTGAGGAACTGAAAAATTGGACTGAAAATAACAGCTCAAAACTCAACAGGTGAATATAAAACAATACACATTTAAGTATTTATGAAACCTGATAGCAAATAAATATATTATTTCTCTTATTTAAGGTTACTAAATTTCACTAAAATCAAGATTAAACATGGGCCTATCAATGACATGAGCCATGGCGACAGCTCTCCTCCGCCAGACTACAACTCTGCATTTCTCTATCCATCTGTATAGCATCAAATACAAATACTGTGACACTAAATGTTTCTTATGCCGTAAAACCAAAGAAGCCTCCTTGTCCAGTATCAAGAAATTAAACATTCCCAGAAGAATACACAGGTGTAGTTGCCAGAGCAGATGCACGAAAATTTGAAACAAAGAATTGCACTCTCAGGTTGCAGATGTCAAAACATTTTAAATTGGATAGTTGCTTATCACAATTTCAGGGCATCTATAAGAAAAATGCTCATTACAGATTTGCATGTCCCCCAAGGGTGAACAAAGCCTCATTTCATTCCCAACCCCATGTTTTTAACTTCTGTTTTCATGGGTTTCAGTCTCACCACTAACTTTTTCCTGTGAATACTATTTTAACAGCAATGTTTTAAAGTGGTTATTGGCTGACTTTACACCACTTGAAGCACACATTGGGGCAGCCTATCACCCAAATACAAAATATTGGTTGCTGAGGTCTTTGCAAACCTTTCAAGAGCAGCTGTATTCTCAAATACTAAGAGCTTAATGTATGGAATTATTTTTAATCTAGATGCTTTCTATACAGGTACCTCTCCCTGAGCTTCTATGCAATATAATGCTGTAAGCTTTTGTATGCTGGAAACTGTCAGTATATTTATTTGATCAGTATGTCAAACTGCATTTATATTTTAATATAGTGGTATTGTCACTATTTGTTTAGGTATATAGACCAAAGCTACACCTAATGTCTGTATTGAACTAATGAACTGTAAATACAATGTACTAATGTAACCAAGAAAAAGTAATGTAGTAATTTTGGTATTCTTTATTAAAATACTGCTGTACACACAAATATTGCAAAATCTGAGACAATGAACACAAGAGGGTCTTAAAACGTACTAAGATGATGATTGTAGTAGTGTGATGTGGGGAGAAGGTCATCGCTAACATTATTGGAGTGCATTGTTAATGAAATGAACTTTGTGTCCGACAGGAGTTTGTGTCTTTGAGGGTTTCTAAAGCACCACATTCACCAAAGATACTTATCTTTTCATTAATTTTGCTAAAAAGGTAGAAGTAGTACATGATCTAATATAGGAAATGTTGCCCCTAAGAACAGTGAATACCCAACAATGTGGACACAGATTTCATTATTATCATAAACTTATAAACATTATCCTTATGTGGACAAAGTGGTTGATATAAACAACTCAAGTCTGCCTGAAAATGCCATTTGATACAAGTAATAAATAAAATGTTACACTTGATTCTGCAGAATATGCAATGTACTTAAGGGCAACATAAAATCTTTCCAGCATGATCGTCACAAAGTCATTCGCAACAGCAGATGAAGTCCCACCCACACCACTGTAGCAGGCCAATCAGACTGGGCAAAGGACAACCCAATGACAGCTAAACACATTCAATCATTGGGGCCCTCCAGCTGTGTGTCATCCTGAGAGAAACCCAAACCATTACAAGCCAATTTGTCTCCAGCATGGTCTGCATTTCATGATCATAAAAAATTCAAATAAAACAAAGATCTGTTGGTGTCCTCTGCCCTCATTTCATTGACTCTCAAGCAAAACCCCCTAAACTAACCCACATGGAATTGGTCCACAAAGAAAATACAGTTCGAATGTGGGAAAACAAAACTGCACTCCTGTAACCAATCTTATGTTTCTGCACAACTGAGCAAAGTGAAATTCCAGATAGAAAAATAATTCATAAACCATCATTTCTCTTAAACAGAAAGGGGGGGCAGTGATGGAACGTGAGGTTTGGGTAAAGGCTGAGAGAGGCGGATGGGGAGGACAAAATAAGGACATTCCACAAAGAGGCAGCTCTGGGTCCACCTCCACAGAAGCCCTGCCCATAAACCATACCAAGTGCTGCGCATTATCTCCCCCCAATGCAGTTCTGGTCACTAAAGTGTCCCATTATTCATGGTGGTCGCTACATGTGTAACAAACACCTAAAATTACGTATTAAGAGAAGACACCCCTTCTTCAGTGCTGGATCACATAAACACGCCCAAAAAACTACTCACAAATGATGCCTTACCATTCTGAGTCAATGTCTATCCTTGAATCATTTCCTGAATCGTTTGTTTTCAGACTCGCATTCCACCCAAGTGGTTTGTCCTTTTGAAGAGGAACCATCAGCCAGGGCAAAGATGGGCTTGGTCTGTAAAAGCACCAACCTCCCACAAATGCCTCGAATGATGTGTTCCGGTTCCTAGTGCGTCAGAATGAAGGGGTGTCTCCACTTGGAAGAGGTCAATGCTTTGTTAAATCCGTCTCTTCTGGTAATAGTCCCATGTGACTTTTGTCCCCTTTCTGTACATCCTGTAAGCCACACATTCATAAAAATAAACAAAATTAACAAAAAATTAAAATCTTAGTGCATCCGCTGCAGAAAAATAACCCCAACAGTAGAATTAAACAATAAAAGCAGGAAAAGTTTTTTTGTTTGTTCCCCAAATCTAAAAAAATGTCACAGCTTCTGCATGTCCTTTTCTTTCACCAGTTTAAGCTGTGGGGTTCATGAAAAAATAAAAAAGATACACTTTAGAAAAAGCCTTCCTGATGGACAGGGTCAGTGTATAAGACTGAGGTTCATGAAGCCCTGCCCTGCTGCCTTTGCCATGCTGATGTCACTCCACTCGCACCGCGCCTCCTGCTCCTCCACTGTAGTGCAATAGTGTGCTCTAGAACTGGAACACCCTGTCCCAGGAACAAGGGGGCTACAGAGAACCAGAGGCAGCAACCTGCAGCTCCTGGAAGGTACTCTCAAAGCAACGCTTCAGATCCGAGTAGGTCACCACCAGAACACTCTTTTCATCCCGAGATACCAGGCTGATTTTCTCAGGAACACCAGCGTCCAGCTGTGTATGGTAGGAACAAAAACATTTAGTAAAAAGAAAGGAAACGTGTTTAAACCTCTAAAGTGCACTGACTTTGTTGAGGCAGGAAACAATGTGGCTGAGGTCTATCCAGGGCGTTCCAGCTTCTGTGACTTGGTGAAAGAGGTGATCTCGGAAAAGTTTCAACAGGTAACGGTCCCCTGTCTCTGACCAAGTGGGATCTTTCTGAAACCTAAAAGTAAACCCTTTTGTCAGATCATGAGCAAAAACATCTGTGTAGGCTGGAATCAATCACTTACTCTGGTCTTTCATTGATGGTGCCCAGTTTAGCAAGCAGGCGGAAGAGGCGGCCATTTTGAACTTCCTAGAAACAGAAGTAGTAATAGGTGCTTTGTGTTTCAATTGACATGAAAAGCAAACACTTCCTTATAGCGCATTCACATTGTCGCCAACAGGTGAGGATAAATATTTTTAACATTCAAATCTCACCTTTAGCCTTCAGATGCATAACTTATTCCTGTCCCTCCCTTCTCTTCTTCTTTTTTGTCTGTCTCACTATGTCTTCTGCATTGGACAAAATTTTAATTACTCAGCTGCTAAAGTCCATAACTTCATTATTAATAAAATTTGTGTTTCTATCCCTGTGTGTTCTGGAGAAGTTGTTAAAATTAAAAAGTTTTGAAGGCACCAAAGCTATGTCTTACACCTTTTGATGATCGATACTTAATTACAGAAGTACACTTTTTAACTTTTATCAGATGTAACTTTGTGAGTGTAACTTTAAAGCTAAGGGCAAAGCATGTAAGAGTCTATTAAAACTCCAAACCATCATTACTGCATGTCTCTATGAGCATTTTGTGAACCTAACTAGGGCAAAGATGAACAACAGCAGCTGCACTGGCGCAAAAAGGAAGTTGAGGTGGCAACATGAAGTCATGATCAATAATTTGCTCACTGAGCCCACATCCTACTCTCATTTTAGTCCCTAACTGCAAAGAATTAAACAGAGTGTGAATTTTCAGTTGGTCACGTATAAAAACAAAACAAAGAAGTACTTTAGACATGTGTTTTCTTCATCTGAGTTGTTGCAGAACAATGGTACTGTCTTGTAGGCTCTCAAAGGCCATAGCAGAGGGAGACTTATGATTTTGTGCTGTCTAGTCAAGTTTTTTTTAGTCACTCCTCCCTCGGACCCAAATCTTGCTGCAGCCATTGACCTGCATGGCTCTGAGCATCTCCTGCACTCTCACAATGCAGCCCAAAGATGTCAGCCGAAGAATGGTTCAGTGTGCGTAAATTGTCCATTTCTGGATGGAAATGTGTATGTTGATGGATTTCTTTTTAGAACTAAAAGCTACTTATATCACAAAAGTGAAAAAACTGCTGACATATGTTAAATATTTACTACCTGGATTAAATGATGTACAGACCATCTAAAAAAAAAAAAAAGAATGTCATGAAAAAGTTCAATATTTTGATTTATATTCAAAAATACAAAAATCTTATATGCACTTTAACTATGCAATATGATGATTTATTTGAGTGCCAAGATAAAAAGACGAAGTTGGCATCATAAAAGACTGCAGAGGATGTGAGGTTTGAAGTTTGACACTGCAGCATGTATGTGAATGGGCAGGCAGGAGAGGAATGGGTTTAATGTTTATAGGTGGGTAATGTTCATTTTTAAAAGGAAAAAGTTAAGGTACCAAAAACTATATTGATAATTGGTGCCAAAAGAGATACTTGGCAAAGCCAAGAACATTGAAACGAAAAAAGAAAGGCAGTAAGTAAGATGGGATTTGTTGCTGCGCTCCTTGTCTATGTTTTTGTACTTCTAGCACTTTATAATACAGACTAATTGACAATGGTTTTCTGTTATCACACTACTACAACTACAATGGAGCGTTTGACAAAAAAGCTCCAACCACAATCAATGCTGACAAATATTTCAGATTTAGAAGACATACTGTCGCTGCTACTTTTGTTTTTCCAACTCCCTTTCACTGCTCAACTAAAAGCAGTAAAAGCAGCACAAGCACACTGGAAATACCACAAAGCTGCATGCTTCTAATTGCCATCTGCTTACTTTTATCGGGAGACATCCACCAGTGCCTGCGCCGTCCCAAAAAACTGACTGAAAATATGTGTACACTGGGGGTGTTTCATAGAAACTGTGTATTTAATTTTTTAACTGCCATAAAATTGTCAAACATTAATAATAATTTTTTAAAAAAATTCCATGAAAGGGTTCTCTTCAAAATGGCATATTGGGATTATAAATTACCATAATTTATTATCCCTTCAGGTGCCAGTTTTTGCAACATACCACCTACTGCCAATTTGAAAAAAAATTTATAATTTCATTATAGTATTTTTTTTTTACTCTGACTATGACCAGTGTGAATGGCTTATCAAAGTGGATGTTCAGTGTGAATATGGACTTTAGGCCAGTCTTTGTTTTTGAATAAAGTGACCTGAAAGGAGGGCTGCGCCACTGTAACATGCGTATTCGGGGTAAGGGAGCAGTTTGAGGTCAGAATGCGACCTGTTGCTTCTGTGGCTAAACTACTGCAGGAGGTTTTGAGACTGGATACAGCTCCTACACTCGCACGGGCAAACCCCGGTCTGCAGTCTGGCACTGGGGGAGGACAGAGGCCCAGACTGTTTATTGTCAAGTTTCACTATGTTCAAGAAATGCTGGAGGTGCTCTGCAAAGCGGCGAGGGCCATCCCTCTGTTCTACAACAGAGACAAAGTTTTCTTTCTGGATCTGCTGTAGCAAAGAGGAGGGGAACTTTCCAAGATGGGAAGGAACTGCTCCATGATTGCCAGGGCATGAGATATGGGATGCTCTACCAAGCCAGGCTGAGGATTTCATCGCCTTTAGGGAAAAAGGTCTTTACCGATCCCAGAGCTGCTAAAGACTACGTCATGAAGCATCTAGTGTAGAGTGTAAGGAGGTACTAAATTAATGGTTATGGCTCAGTCGTGACTTTGAATATACTCTCACTGAGCATTGGTTTATAATCTGAATTGGTATATTTTGTATACTGCAAGGTGAGGGTTGTTTCTCTGAAGAAAAAATTTTGTACTTTGATACTATATTTTGTCAGAAATATTTTTCTAATTCTAGTTTTTCCGTTATGGGCAACTTGTGTTTAACAGCAGAAGAGTAGGGATTGAAGCTCTATCCAAGCTATTTTGGAGTCTCACCTTGTTTGGGGGGAGAAGAGTCAACGGGCAACTTTAGAGTTTTTTGTTTTTTGAGTTTTTTTGTCCTTTTTATTTTTTATTCTATTTTATTTATTTATTTATTTATGGCTGCAGTTTTTCACTTATATTTCTATCTTTTTGTACTTTTATATTGTTGTGCACCCACCATGCTTGCTTTTAACCAATGTAGATGTTTGCCTCCCCTAGTTTAATGCACACTCCTGGGCCCCACTCTACAATTTTAACATGGAATGTGAAGGGGCTTAATAACCTGGTTAAGCCTAAAAGATATGCAAATGCACATCTATGGGCCTTTAACCCGGATGTTTTCTTTTTACAAGAGACAAATCTGTGCTCTACTCAAACAAGTTATTACATAGTTGGTTTTTGCTTTGATTCGAAAGCTAGAGGCAGTGTTTCCCGCAGCAATTTATAGTTAAGGCTGTCACCTTGACAATAATTGCCTCCCACCTTGACTACGTCCCTCCAAACCATGTGAATCCTCTCAAAACTACGGTCATCGTGCCCCGATCTTCACTTTCGCCAGCATGGAATCTCTGCACTTAATGTAGATCAGCAGTAGTCATTTGATAGACCCATATCTACTGCTGAAATATCACAGGCAATCACGCAACAGCAAAGCTCCAGGTCCAGATGGATTCTCATGTGATTTTTACAAAGCATTTGCAAATAAGCTGAGTGCTTTACTATGTGAGGTGTTTTTAGAAATCCACACTAATAATAATTTACCACCAACGCTATCCCAAGATCTGTTATCGTAAAAAAGGATAAAGATCCCTACAAAATGTGAATCTTATCGACCTCTATTTAATGTAGATTACAAAATTCTGACATAAATTCTTGCACTTGCATTATTCATGAAGATCAGACAGGTTTTATTGCCCTTCACCAATCTTACTTTAATACACAGGGCTTATTCAATGTTTTGTACTCTGATTTTATATTCTAAGCCACTCACCTCTGTTCACACTAATGGCATAATTTCAGACTACTTTCCTTTACATAGAGGCACTCGTCAGGGTTGTCCCTTGAGTCCTTTGCTTTTCACTCTTGCAATAGAACCTTTGACAGTAGCACTGCTATCAGACGTGGGGATCAGGGGAAACAGCAGCCACCACCACTGTAACATTCTGAAAAAGGATATGCTACTGGACAGTAGTAACATGGCAATCTTTAAAAGGGCTAGTCTAATTTATAAGGTCCTAGACTCCGCTACACCACCGCTGTTAAAGGGAGTACATCAAATGCAAAGACAATTCAAAGAGGACCACACGAGCCACCACCATAACCATAGATGGACCACCTTTGGTCAAAATATATCACCTGTCCAAGATGGGAATCTGGTGATTAGTCTTTCACTAACACTGTGAGAATGCCCTTTGCACAGCTCTATTAAAGCTCAAATGAAAGATTTGTTATGGTGAAACCAAACATGTTCTTATGCATAGCTGTATTGTGATTTTAATTGATTTTCTATGGACACACATTTGCATGTACGGGGAAAATATATATTGAATGCCTGGCCAAATTGACTGCAAAATAATGGGAATTGTGCAATGACTGGACTGTGCAATGAATGGAGTGTGCAGTAATGGGAGCTATGAAATGAATGGAGTGTGTAATATTTTATTGTTTGGCCCCTTGTGACACCAGCCCTTTGGGACGTCATGTTTTTGCATCATGTTTGTCTATTAACATGCACTGTCCCAATCACATAAATAAATTAATTTAATAAATAAGCCAAGGTGCACTCAAAATGCTCTGTGAAACGAAAATTAAATGTGTGTCAGTCAGTGACTAAATAAATACATTTGAAAAACACTGCACCAAGACAGGTTAGAGAAAAGGTTGAGTTTGCAACCCTCTATAGCGCTTATTGTGTGTACCTTTGCAAGGTCTTCCTCGATTACATCATTTCTCATCTGGGATGCATCCAGCTGTGTGTAAAAGCGAGCTCCAATCATTGGCATGATGTCGTTGACACTGCGCATACGTGACTGTTCAGTCAACAGGTACCTGCCCATGCACAGAAAAATGGGCCATTCTTTACTTTCAGGTGCACCTTGTTTTTAATAAACTATTTTATCTTGCAGAAAAGTTGAATTGATTGTTGTAACATTTGAAACTTTTGGATCTTACAGAATAAGATTCTTGAGATCTGAGGAGTAGTTGATGGACACCAGCTCCATTGCTTTCTGCAGGTTCTCTCTTTGAATTCCAGCCAGAGAGTTACAAGCTAATGCCAGCACCACTTTCCCCAGAGAGACAAGGTCTGCTTGCTAAAAACAGGCAGAAAATTTTATTATTACCACTGAGTGTGGAGAGTAGATCAGAGTTTTAACATGTTTAGGTGAACTACTGTACCTGATACTGGGGCATTAGGGCCAGATGATTGGTCTGACTGTTGTCAAATGTTAAGACATCAAACACTCCTACACAGTTCACCCGTAACCTGCACCATAAGAGACCACAAACAAGTTTGTTCTGTGGGTGAGTTGCGAGGACTCTTCTCAAAGTTCACTTCCCCTCTCAATTAACAGTCCTACAGTACACTTTACTTAAAAAGGGGGAACTCTGAATACCTGGTCTTGCCAGTAATTAGAATCTTGCTGGGATCCATAACTCGACAAGCCAACCCTGCAGTGTGGATTGTTCGCAGGGCAGAGCTGAGCTGGACAATGTATGCCCATATTAGAGACTCAGGCAGTAGACCTGCATGTTGACGTGGAGGGGGAGGTTCATGTTGCCCTGTACAAACAAACATTTTACAATTTTTAAGAAAGTAATTTCAATATCTATTGTATAACACTATACATGAGACACGATGGTGAAAAACTATAACTTGTCTCAGAAGTGTCATGGGTTTTGATGACATATCAGCCAGCAAACAAAACTAAAACCAACCTTAGCACAACTGTCTGCCCACATAAAATCTATTTTTATAACTGAAGATAAGATGAAAGTTACCACAACGATATGGCACAGAATTGCAGAAATGCCACATTGCCACACTATGAATTTGATGAGCCACTGCAGGACATACAGCACTGCATCTTTATCTAGATTCTTGCATGTTAGCCAGCACAAGCACAGCACCTGGCACCTGGCCAAGGATCAGTTTCAGCCACAGTTTCCTTTAGGCCTTTATATACGTTTTCTGCAATCCAACTGTCAGGGCATTCCAAAACCCAAACACACTATTTGTTTACAACATTACTAACAAATATTTAGTGTTAAATATTCTATATACGGTAACTCGATACAAATGCCATCAGAGTTAATCTCTTCTGATACTTGATGACCTTGGAGATTTCAGTTTAACAAAGACTTAAGGCAATATGAATTAATACAATATAATGATCCAAAAAATAATAGTTTGGTTGAATTTTCCTTTGTGTAAAAGGACCAAAGGGTCAAAGGGGAAATTAATAAAGCACTTTGGATGAGGTCCTACTCACCCCACTTTCTCTTTGTGAAGAAAGAGTCTGCAGTTGGGTCATTGAAGTGCCTGCTGTACATGGTCTCTGCACCCGCATGGAAATCATAAGAGAACACCAACGCTGGAAGAAAACAATGTGAAATGTGGTCTATGAGTCAACATTAATTACATAGCACAAACTGCTCCTCTCAAAACTTACAAGTCATTGGTTTGGTTGTTAGAAACACCTTTATTTACTATTAATTACATGTTAAGAGATCTTAAATCTTACAGTGGTCCCCAAAAGCTTTGGTGGTGAAGACCTCCCTCAGTGTCACAGAGTTCGAATGTTGAATTTTCTTCCACATGTCCACAAGCATCATGCACTTTGTGTTAACAAGGCGGAACCCTAAAACATTTTATGACAATGCCATTACATTTCTGTTGTTGTAAATGTCTTTCTGTTTAACAGTGCTTTTTACCATGTATTCTCCTCAAACAGTAAGGAAGATCATCCTTGCTGTTGACTGCTTTGTAGCAGGAGGTGATATAGCTAAAGTTGCTGGTCTTCTGCATGCGGTTTGGAGGTGGGAGAGGCTCTAGTGGAAAAAGGCTATGGTAGCTGTCCACCTCAGAAGGGACATCTACAAAAGACAATGGTCGGAAAATCAAATGAAGCAGTTTATTTACCCTCCAGCACTAGTGAGAGAAAACAAGATGTACAGATTTTTCTCTGCATTTGCTTTAATGATGGATTTACCTGGATTCTCTGAGTGGTCAATCTGTGCCATTGTTATCAAATGTCTATTTATCAACTCCTAAAGAAGAAAGCACAGCATCAGTTTACATTACAATGCACTACAAAAAGGATTCTATGCTAAGGAAAGTGAAAACTGAAGATAGTGGAAATACCTGTCTGAGTTCATCAGCCATGAAGAAGGATGGAGCATTGGCTTTAGGCTGCATGTAGGCCACATGGGGTGCAGTGGGGGGATAGATATGATAGGAAGGAAACACCTGGCGCAAAAACACAAAATCACATGGGTTTCTTTTTATTACTAGGTAATCCAAATGAGTTTCATCACAAAAAACTATTACAAACAACATTATAACACATAACAGAACTTATGTTGTTGTTCCCTAAGAACAAATCTATTTAAATAAGATGTCAAGCATAAACAAGTGGCTGAAATGCCAATACTCAATTTAAAAACAAACAATACATACCATTCCAGCCATTGGAGCTGGTGTGTTGTCTGTGTAAAAGTAGGTGGTTCCTCCCACAGTCTCTTTCTGTATGATGTGGGAGGCCGGGTCAGTAGCAGTGCTGGGCACCATGTAATTGGCCGGGTTTGGTGTGTGACTGCGCCGACGAGGTGCAGGTGAGGTGTGAGGTGTAATTTTGGGAGAGTGAAGAGGAGATGATCCTGCAGATAAAGACATTCCTGAAATACAACAATAGTCATGTTTATTAATACAATATTTTCTTTGGTACAAACTGTCAAAGTAATTATTATGATAAATAAGCAATTAAGTATTTTAATATGTAGCTATTCTGACCTGGTGCCAAAGCAGCTGCTGTAGAGCTGCTAAGGGCAGGATGAGGAAATATAGTCGAGGGGAAAGCTGGGACAGTAGACTGAGCCATAGTAGTCATACGTGGCGTTCCTTTAGGGATGAACTCACTTGCTGCCGGGTTAGGAGTCTGAAGATAAAAGAAAAGCTTAACTTTTGTTTGTACTAATCAACAGGCACAATTTAGTAAGGCATGAACATTACCTTCCTCCTTTGGGAAATGTTAAGAGCACCAAAATCACTAAAGAGTGATGATGTTGGAGAGTTTACTGGATCTACAGCATCAGAGTAATTAATAAGTGTAATATTCAATGCATTCTGAATGATCTATTATTGTGAATAACCTACCATGACTGCTGTGGCTGAAATTCTTGGCACCATCGTTAAGGAGACTTGGAGAACTGCTGCTGGTAGTCATACGCTTCAAAAAGTACAAGATATTTTAGTCTGATGAAAGAAGATAAACACATTTTGCTGCAAAAAAGATGAGCACTGAATACCTGCATCATAGAATACTTTGACTCTGCTGGACTTCCAAAACCATTTACCCCAATAAAGCTGCTGCTGAAATAGGAGTTGGTGAGATTGGCATCACTCAGGTTTGCTCCCTCCATCCCAGGGACTAAGTATGACAGAAAGTAACAAATAAAAATACAGCATGATGACAATGGAAACAAGACAGGCTGAAATTACAGGGTTGTGGATGAACAGTCAAAAGCGTGAATAAAAGGTAATAACGTTCTCAATATATTAATATCGGCAAATAGTAGTAGTAGTAGTAGTAATTACATTATTGTAAATATGGCATGCAACGTGAAATTTACGGAGGATAATTATATTAATATAGTCCATGTACTGAAAGCACAAAAGAATAACTTTTTGTTGGAGTAAGCATATATAAACATCATGTTTACGCTCCAAATGCTAGGAAGCACTAGCTACCGAAGCTAACGATGAGGGTCGCAGCTTGTAGCCTAAATGCAGCTGTCATTAAACATTAGGCCACTAGACAACGCGGATGACTTTACGTTTAGTTCAACTTTACATGACTACGTAAACAGGCGTGTTCATTGGTAGTGCGTAGGTAATTTGAATACGCATGGGAGTAAATGGAGGGTTAACCCACATTGTTTGGGTTTTAGGCCTCTGAATCCCCGGGCTAGATTTTAAAACGGCCACGCAAGGCCCACGGTAAAGTTCCCGTCAGTACTCCAGCAAAGGGCCCGGGTTGCTACAGATAGTATGGGACTCACTCTGTAGCAGCTGTCCGTCCAGAGATGCTCCAGTGGGCCCCAGGTTCTCACTCTTTTTCGACACAGTTCCGCTGTTCGGACCAGATGCCGCTGATCCGCTGAGCGCGTATCCCGCAGGCGTCGCTCCTCCTCCGGCCATGGACAGAGGGACGGGACTGCCGCCACCGTGAAGTGGCAGGTTGGCCATGGACGGATCTTCGTGCAGGAACTGGCACTCGTCTCCATAAAAGCAAGTTTTGTCCTTTGCATAGTATCTGCAAAACTTAACCTTTATGGGTATCCCGGGACCTCCGAGCGGAGCGGAGGCTGGGAGTCCACTGTTCATGGCACTGCTGCTGCCGCCACTGCCGCCGAAAGACACTCAAACATAGAGACGAACGGAGCTAACAGCTAGCATGCAAACTGTCCCCTCAAAACACAAGTTAGTATAAATTCAGCCCCCAACAAAAGCGTGGACGCAACAGAGCTCACATCATAAGGCTACCGTGCATTTTTGTTTCGGAATGGTTACATTACAGCGCTAGGATCGTGCTGGTCGTTATTTTCGGAGTCATGCAGCTACCTGCAAAGTGGAAACGCTAGCCTGTTGTTGTTTTTGCTCGCAGTCTGATTTGCTCAGGTCATGTTAGCATGGCTATGCATTATGGGTACTTTTAGGTACTTTTTCCCCACTTATTTGCAATCAGTACAGGCAATACAAAGTACACTGGTCAACAATTAATAACAGTTAAACTTTTAAAGACTGACCTTTTACATAATTTTCTACTGAAAAAATAATGTGTTAAAATAAGGGTTTACATTTTACATCTGATATCAGACATACAGTTCATCACATTCTACCATTCAAGTTTGAAAAGGGTTCTAATGTAGCTACAATAAAAGAAAAGACCAAAATGTTCAAAATTTCAGTGTCACGTTTGCAGAATGTAACCTTTATGGCAGTATCAGGCAGCCAAACAGAATGTTTGTCATTAAAACCGTACCATAGATTGATTATTTTTCTTTGTTATGTTTTATGTTTAAAAGTGATGTTCTTTTCCATTCTTTAGATAATACTATACTGTTAGTATAGTAGTATTTTACTTCTCTGTTTATGGTTATTGCATGGCTATGTCTTTATAGGATGGACATTAAGGGTCATAATTTTACATTGTTAAGGTTTAATTGTAATCTTAATGCTCTGGAGAATGCATCTACTTCTGTTATTATTGTAAGAATCTGTTCTGCATTTTTAGATAAGGTTTTGCAGTAAACAAGGATGGACACAGTGACCTGTGTCAAAAATTAGAAATCAATGAGATCTAATTTTGAGTGAAGATCCCGAAAAAAAAATAGTGAAAGAGGACGCAGTAGCAGCGCCACCTCAAACTTTGTTTTTCTTTGGGGCTTATGAAAGCCCGGCCATTGTTCCAAATCAGTTGGCTACTTTTTTTTTTATTGATAGCACTTCTACAACTATACAATAAAATGCAGGGCTGTGCCTATTCTAACTTTTTAGACTTAAACTTATACAAATCCTATTGATCCAGAGAGGAAGTTATTTGGACACAGTCACTCGCACATCACAACATTTGTAGCAAAAATGGCTACTTCTGTTAACTCCTATTTCTTTAAAATTTGGTTGTACTCTCAGCAACTAGAGACAGTGAAGTGTTTATGTGTATATTGTATAAACCAAGTTAATGTAACTGATTATAATTATATTCATAATTATAATTAGTTAATCAAAATAATACAGCATTTATTTATTCATTTTCAGTGTATATGTTATGCTGATATGTTGCTAAATATATACAAATAATATAGTCTAGATAAGACAATGTGAAAATGTATGGCATTTTATTCACTTCAATAAAAAAAACCTTTCTGTTTTCAAAAGAAACGTTTCTGTTTTTATGGGAAAAGTTATTATGAACATGAATATTTGTTTATGTGAATATTTCCCAAAATAATTAATAGCCTCATAAAATAAATTTATGTTATGAAACTAGTATTTTGCCAAATCAATATAAAAATAATGAAATCTACTGATAAGACAATGTGAAAATTAGATTAAAATATAAACATGAATTGCAAGTAAAATAAAATAGCCAGTCGGGCGCTACGTCATATTGTTCCTCTTTTTAAAAGGTAAACCACAGATCTTAGTCAAATAGTTTCAGACACAGCTGGTGGTGAACATGTCATGTGAATTTAGAGAAACTGAGAGATGATTGCCGGTAAGTCATATAATAATATAACATCTTATTGTTTTTGGTTAGACCTAAACATACTTGTATGACTTTAGAACACAATAACACAAACTATTTAAGTAATCATCTAATTAATCTAAGTGAAAGGTCTAGTGAAAGACTGGTATTTAGGCTCAAACATTGCACTTTTTATAATTTAAAATTTAAAACTTAATTAAAAGTAGTATTTCTTTAAAGGTGTTCTCCTGCTGTTTGCTGCCAGAGTGTACTCTTCTGACAGTCAAGTCGGATGTGTACCCAGTCATGAGGTACCTCGTATTATTATGTTATGTCGTATGTTATGAATTCTTTGTGATGTTTTTACATTTTTTACAGATAAAACAGGAGTTTATATTGAAAGTTTAATATGCTTTTTAAATATATATTTCCAGGTTGAATGTATTACACCAGCTGATATTCTAAACGCTTCTGGTCATGTCAACATATACGCTGGTAAAAAGCTCTCCATTTTCCTGGAAAATGGGCATACCTGCCAATGGACTCAAAGGGAAATCACTATATTGTCAGTCAAATATCAAATCAGTATTATTTCCATTATGTTAAAACTTAAGCAGAAACGTTTCCTTTTCCTCAGAAGGGGCAGCCACATCCTGAACATCCAGACACTGTCGGAGGCAGACTCTGGGGAGTACACTCTGCTGTGTCAAACCACAAACAGCACCTTAGCCTCTGTGGCAGTGCATCTTCATGTGGTCACAAGTGAGTAACAGCTAAACCTTTGTTTGTGCTTGAATTTAAAGCTCTGTTAGAGTTTAGCATGTTGAAATATTAACATTTGTCCCTCAGAACGTCCCACAAAACCAAAGCTGATCCTAAATTATATCAGCCCTACTTCATCACCATGGTTTAAATGCATCACTGATGGTTTCCCAAAACCTTCACTTGAATGGTCAAGGTAATTTATTGATCTGCTCTGCATAGATGGTCCATACAATACATATGAATCTTTATATGGTTAATAATATTTATTTTTTAATAGTAATAATGTTGGAAATCATATACCCACAAATGATGGAAGTGTTCAAAGCAAACTATCTAGCGCTGTCTATTTTCAAAAGGTTGCAATGTGTTGTGCTTCCAACATAGCTGGACGAGAGTGCAGCCAACTCTATGATTTTGGTAATTCACAAAATAATAAATGTGGTGTGTGTGTTAACACAAAATGTGCTCTATAAAAATTGTGAGACATTACATTTATGTTTTTTTAATAGATTTTACAAAAACAAACAGCCTTTATAATTTAACCCTGAGCCCTGGACAATCTTTACTGATGCGGTGCAGTGCAAGATATGACAAAACTTTAGAATGGCATAAAGATAACAAAAATGTTACAAGTTCATCATGCGACCTTAAACACAGCAACAAGGTACTGCAATATTTGAAATACTCACTATTTAACTTGCATTTTTAATTTTGGTTTACTTATGCATTTCTATTTTACGTTTTAGACATGCATGTTAAAAGATGAACTTTATGATGATATCATGTTGTACTTCTTTATACCATCTCTCAACACTGGCGACAGCGGCACGTATACATGCAGAAGTGGAAGCCAAAACACATCAGTTCATGTTTCAGTTCAGGGTAGGTTGAAATAATGAATAACTTTTGAACTGATGTAAATTTAAATTTTCTCAATAAACCTATTCCCACAGCTGAAAGCTTTTTATCGGTTGATCTGGAGGAGCAATTGATCATAAAAACAGAAAATATAAACAGTTCGTGCATGCAGGCTAATCTCTTTTACCACCCCTTTCTTCAAAACTGCACATGGGAGACACCAGATAAAATGAAAAAATGTGATACAAATCCATGGGTTACAAAGCATAGGTACATTATATATTTATAATATATTAATATATATATATTAATATAAACCCAATAATGGGTTTGTATATTGTTACAGGAATGTGAAGCTGTGTGAGCCTATAAAAACAGGGACGTACAGGATACATGTTGAGGCTGGCGGAATAAAAAAAACTAAGTCCTCATCAGTGTGCCTTGCTGGTGAGATTGCATTTTTACTTACATATAGGTAATGTGCATAACTTTAAGTGTGACAATCTTGATTTCCAGACACACCTGATTTAAAGATTACCATAGTTAATGATATATACATTGCAACTACCATGAGTGTTGCCCCAGCCAATTATTCTTGGATGTCCTGCTCTAATGACAGGTATGTTCAGTGATGATATATCAATATTCTTAAATTTTCTATTTAGTTTTTCATTGGGACATTTTTCCACCCAATTTTAGCTGTGAGGCAGATTCTTCTTGGGAAGTGATAGCCCAAACCATAAAATCAGATTTGAACGTATCCTGTAGGAGGTCAATTAAGAGTTTTTTGAGTAGAGAACTCGTGTCTGGACTTTATGTGAGGTTTTGTGTCAGTAACTCTCTCGGACAATGGTGTAAGGTGCGACCCGTGCATTTTCCGCCTGCAAACATGGCCTTCACTGGTAAGAATTTACAATCACTGTTCAGAAATGTCACCTACATTTCAACAAAAAAATGTTTTTTGTATGTTTGTTCATCAGGTCGCCCATATGATGAAAACAGTATGCTTTTGAAAACAGGCAGTGTTACTTTACTACTTGTGCTGACAGTTGTTACCATTCTTCTGGTTTATTTTATCAAAAAGAAGGTACAGTACTGTTTATATACTCATAGATTTAAAACATTTGTCTAAAAAAACAAATGTTAATTGTTGTCACATGGTATCCAACAGAATCCAAAGTATGAGCCTCAACTTCAAATGATCCAGATGGTTGGACCAAATGACAATGATTATATCTACATAAATTTTAAGGATTTTGCATATGATTCAAAATGGGAATTTCCCAGAGAAAATTTAGAATTAGGTAAACAGCATTGTAATTTAAATGTATTTGTTTGGAGGATAAGCCCCTTGAGATGTCTCGCCATCTCGTTTTCGAGGGGGTCCTCGTGATATAGATGATGTAAATATATTCAGAATTTAACTCACCGTTACTGGCTGCAGGTAACGAGTTAGGTTCTGGTGCTTTTGGCATGGTTGTACAGGCTACAGCATATGGTATCAACAAACCGGGGGTTTCACAACAGGTGGCTGTAAAAATGCTCAAAGGTAAGCGAAGCAGCAACTTCTCTAGTAAAATACATATTATTACATACAATAAAATCTTAAATATTATGTTATTACTATAGAGAAACACCAGGCAGTGGAAAAGGAGGCTCTCATGTCCGAACTGAAGATGCTAACTCACATCGGTCATCATGCGAACATTGTTAATCTACTGGGGGCTTGCACAGAGACAGGTAGGCTACTCTTAATTTATTGATCTTCTTCACTTAAAGGTGCACTAAGTAACTGTTTAGTGAAGGGACTGCCACCTGCTTGTCACAATGGAGAAATGCAGGTCAAGTTATAGGTCAGGTGTATGGCAAGGTGGCGCCACTCTGTATGAGAATGCATGTTTTGCAAGACATCTTTTAACAATAAAACCCCCTGTAATCTAAGAAATGCCAGATAAATAAACATAATGTCATATTGTGGAACATTCCAGGAAAAGTTATAACACCTCCGTGAGACAAGCAGAAATGGCACTTCAACAGAGTGTATCTTTAAATACCATACTGTTTTTTGTTTTGTTTTGTTTTTTTGTTTGTTTGTTTTTTTATTTGCTTGTTTGTTTTTTGTAGGCCCTATTTACCTGATTTTCCAGTACTGTTGTTACGGTGATCTGCTGAATTACCTAAAGGACAACAGTCAGCGCTACCACAAGTCTGTGACTGATGCATTCATGAAGGACCGCTTCAGTATCCTGTACCACAACCTGCAGCGAGGCCAACCAGCCAGGTACAAAAATCATTCCATCACAGAAAAATCTGTGCTTCTGTAGTTTATATAGCCTAATATGTGAGTAATGTTTATTGAAGGTTTTCCCACTAAAAATAATAAAAAATTCATGTTAACGTATTTTACAGAGAAATGCCAAGAACAGTGGACAGTTATGTGCCAATGCACAGCGCTACCACCAGAGGGCAGGAGAATATTGCCCTGCTGACCCTTAACTCTGCTGATGACATGGACTGCTTTGAAGGTCAGAAACTATATATATATATTAGCAAGTGTTTTTCTATCCTAACTGTCTGAAATGTGTCATTAGACACAGATAGTTTTGAGAGCCCAGATGAGGATCTGCAAGCCCTAACGTTTGGTGACCTGCTCAGCTTTGCCTATCAAGTGGCCAAGGGCATGGAATTCCTCTCCTCCAAAAATGTAATAATAGAAATCGTTACGCACACACACACAAACACACAAAAGAAAAATCGTTGAGGTCAAGTATTTTATTTTTTCATTAGGAACATTTTGGTGACTAATTAAATTCAGACAAATTACACTAATACAAAACTAAATTATTATCTCAAATACAGTGCATCCATCGTGACCTGGCAGCTCGAAATGTGTTGGTCACAAAGGGTCGAATGGCAAAAATTGGGGACTTTGGACTGGCACGAGACATTGACAATGATTCAAACTATGTTGTACGAGGAAACGTATGTACACTCTTAACTACTTCCTATTTTCATATATATATATATATATATATATATATATATATATATATATATATATATATATATATATATATATATATATATATATATATATATATATATGAGAACATAATATGAATGGACATGGGTTTTAGGTGCGCTTGCCTGTGAAATGGATGGCTCCAGAGAGTATTTTCCAAGGAATGTACACCATGCAGAGTGATGTTTGGGCTTATGGCATTTTGCTGTGGGAAATCTTCTCGCTTGGTACACTCACACAAAAGATTTAGAAACATGCAAACAGTAATCATGTTAACTAACTTTTGAATTTGATTAGGCGTTACTCCATATCCCGGAATGAAGGTGGACCACACTTTCTATGCCATGATTGAGAGAGGATTTAAAATGGAGTGTCCGTATTATGCCAGTGAATCTGTGTAAGTCCATTTGTGTTCGTATTAACAAATTACATGAATATAAAAATAACATTATATTTATCTTGTATAGATACAGCATTATGTGCAAATGTTGGGAACTTGATTCATGCAACCGGCCATCCTTCTCCAAGCTGGTATCTTTTATGGCTGCCCAGTTGACAGAGATAGAAGAAAAGGTTTGCACCACAGTAAAAATAATAATTATGTTAAGAAATGTGCAAAATAAAAAAAGATTGTTATTCCCCCTTCAGCTTTACCACAACATGCTTGACTCAAACTCGAATGATTACCAAAACATAACCTCTGTCATGGACATCACCGCATTGACCAAACAGACAGAAAACAAAACTGCTAAAACAGGTAATGATTACTGCCCATCCTACAAGGCAGAAGAGAGTGAGGGCAAAGTATTTAGTACAGACACAGCCGAAGAAGATGGAAAACTCCTGTAGATGTGATGCTAATGTTATTTGTTGTAAGGCCTTAATTTATGTATATGTTTAGAATGTATCTTTCCTCTAACTTCTTAATAAGAACCTCTTGTGAACTCCAATGCACAAGGCCTATACCACAGTGTAACACGATAATGGTCATGCAGCTTGTATAGCTTATGTAAAACTTGCAATAAAGTGATTTAACCCTCATATGTGCAGCCATTTTGGTGATCTGGAAATCAAACTGCTTAAAGGTATAGTATGCAATCGTCTTTCTAATAGAGTTAAAACCACATTTGGAGAACATTCTCCATGAAGACAGATGTCGAGATGCAGCTTTGCTCACAATACATACGCGTGTCTCTCTAGTGCAATATACATAACCAAAAAAACAAAAACAAAAAAACTTTTCGCTAAAAAGTTACATACTGTCCTTCATACTGTTTCTCTGACCTTCGTGCTCAAAACTGAATATTTGAAAACATGAATATTTACTTAGCCTAGTAATATGGGGGTATTGGACTCTACAGGTCATTAACCTGTTATGTGCCAAAGTAGCCAACTTGACAAGAGTAAGCACACATCAGTTTGTGGTCCCTGCAAAGCGGTTTCAAACTATAAGCTATTAGCTTAAATCCCTTAACATGGACGTCGGCGCCCTAAATGCTCTGGGTTACGAAGATTTTATGAACATTTTTGGAAACATTGTAGAGAAATGTCCTTTAGTTGCTGCTGCTGTCTGGTCAAAACGCCCGTTTGCCAACGTGTCTGCTTTAGAAGCCGCTTTTTACGAGTTTATAGATGCGCTTCCAGACTCGGGTAAGTCACTTATCAAAAATATTTAATTCGGACATGTTCTTACTGTGCCATTGCAGGCAAAGAGGGCATCCTACGTTGCCACCCAGACCTTGCAGGAAGGGACCTTCAGTGCGGAACGTTGACTCCCGAGTCTCGTGAGGAGCAGGCTCGAGCTGGGCTGGATGCTTTGAGCGCTGATGAAGCATCGCTTATTGCTCAACTCAACCAGGACTATAAAAGGCGCTTTGAGTTTCCATTTATCATCTGCGCCAAAATGAATGACAAAGCCACAATTTTACGACAGCTCCTCGAGCGCGTTGACAATGATCGCGCGGAGGAGAGTGCGCGCGGGATAGAAGAGGTAAAGAAGATCTGCCACTTGCGTCTCCAGGCCCTCAAGCTCCATAAACTCTAAAACACATAGCTGTAGGCTTTGAGCTCGAGCTATACAACCCTCCCTGTCCTTTTAAAGACAATTGTAATCATGTTGTAATCAACGTATTGGAAATTGTGTTTTAATATGTTGAGCAACACGAGGCAAAATGTGTAAATGCCTGAGCCATGGGTAAATTAGGCAACGAGGAACCTGTTGAGTGGCTATTGGTTTGGCTTAATGTCACCTATAATGTGTATTAAAATAGCATACAGCCTATGTAGGGGGATGCAATAAGTAGCATGTGTCCTTTGTGTCCTCCCTCTCTATGCCGTGGTAACAACAGTGAGCCCCTCCGTTGAGACAGGGGATGTGGGCCTCTGAGGTCCACTGGAGGAGATGGCTCCTCCAGTCTGGTCTCCGGATGAGATGGAGGAATCCTGGTCTGCACCCCGAGCCCGACGACGATCCTCCTCCTTTTTCCATTTCATACGTCGGTTCTGAAACCAGATCTTGATGTGGCGCTCTGTGAGGCTCAGAGTCAGGGCCAGTTCCACGCGCCGAGGCCTGGAGATGTAGCGGTTGAAGAGGAATTCTTTCTCGAGCTCCAGCAGCTGTGCCCGTGTGTACGCTGTCCGCGTGCGCTTATTCTCCTCGGTCTCCCCCATTACATAGGGCCCTAAAAGAGAGGGTATTGGGCATGGACTACATTTTCTTATACTTCAAATTAGCCTATAGTTTAAAACTTGCGTTATTACTACTTACGTCCATTATTTTTTATTTTTTTTATTTTTTATCTAGATCGAAAAAATAGATCTACCGTCTATAAACATACATTATAAACATGTTGTAAATGGTTGTAAACTTGCCTGCCCATTGGCCCCTCCATGTATGTGCATGAGACTTGGTGGTCTTCATCCAGGGAAAGGGGAACTGGTACCTACATTGATCCATGGGTTCTGTGAAGGCGGCGGGAGCCTGCTGAGGTTGCTGTTGGAGCACCTGTGGGTGGTGGAGCTGAGGCGCTGCCTCATCTCGGAGCGGTGCGGAGAAAGAAGGTGATCCCGTCGGCATACTGGCCTGCTCCAAGCCTCCCATAGACGGAGGTGTGTACACTGAGTGTCCATGTCTGTTCATGTAAAGGCAGGGCGGTGGGCTGCTGTTGTACTCAGCCCCTTGGGGCCTCTGGTACGCACAGGAGTCTTTAAAAACATGTGAGGGGTAAAAATGATCTTCCCGATGCATGACTTGAACCCAGTGTCACAGAGCTGGAGCTTCTGCACTACACCTGGCTCTTAGAGCAACTGCGAGGGCCAAGCAGTGCCACACAGGTGTGTCACCTAGATACCACGTGACTACCCAAGCGCAGGTCATTGGCTTCAGGGCGCCCGTGAGCGTTAAAATCAATCCCTCTCGGTAAACACCGCTTTAGCTACAACAGACAAGTAAGCATGGCGGAATCTGCGAACTGCAGCCAATTTGTCTTTATGGAAGAGAGCAAAAAAAAAAAACCAAAAACGCAGGTCGCGCGTAGCCTAACTATCGACCACAGTCTATTCCTAAATGTGTCTTTTATGCGCCGGAGCTGATAAATCGATATGAATGGGCGCATTGTTGGCCTGTGAGATAAGAGTTGGCTGCGTGGAGAAACAGTCGTCTTGGAAACTCATGATGGGCACTAGACCTTTTTCCCCAGTTCATTTTAATGTTCTCTATGATGCTCTCACTTAGGCTGGTAACTAAATTGTACCCATTAAACTTCTGCAAATGCATCATTTAACACCACTTAACGGGCGTGGACACAAGTCTTTACAGGACAGGCAGTGACGATAACAAACATGGAGTTGCTGGGTCGCATCGCGCGCTGCACTCTGCATGTTTGCTGGCCATTAGCGTCTGGTGGGTCGCGCTCGCCCCATTAAACTACGGCTCTTGCAGTAAACCAATTAGTTGCAAAAAAAGAAAAACAAAACGCCATGCTCACGTAAAAGAGAGGCTGAAATGTTGGAACAAATATGTTATTTTGAATCATATGTGGGCTAACCACAATGTTGGTAGGTTGGTCCAGAATTTATATTGGCACAAAGTTCTTGAAAAGCAATTATGGCACTTTCCACTAGACCTATATCTTAATGGGGCACTCAGCAATGCAATAAAGTTCAAGTAAACCAATTCTACACAAATCACCTCCTGCACTATGGCTTAATGGTGTTTATATTTGATCAGTGTTGCAAAGAGGAAAATCACAGTTAACCAAAGCTATTTGCAGCGAAAGCCTGATTTATATAGCATGATACACGTGTAAAATGCCTCTTAAATGAATGGCATCATATCCAGCCATATGTTTACTTAATGTAATGGAAAAAATAAAAATAAATGATTGTAAAAGTGTACTATATCCTAAAAACTAGGGCCCAACAACAGCTGATGAAATAACAACATGGTTCGTGAAGTTACAAATTAGATTTATTATAGCCTACTAGGTTTCCTCCCGGTAGGCACAAAATCAATACAAATAGGACTGCCGTAAACAGAAACATGTAAATTATTATTTAAATAATAAATACTTGAAAATCATTTATAACAAACTATTTACAATAGCTTTATTTGTGCCAAGGAACAACATTTTAAAAACATATATGAGGAAGGCCATGACTAGATAAGAACCCATGGTAAAAACTTGTCAGGTAGTCCTTTTCCTGACAGAAAAAACTCTGTGAATCAGCAATGCTCATTTGTGTCTGTGTTTTTTTTTACCGCCATTTTCTCTTGCATGTTTTCTCTCTCTGGCACTTAAATCACGTCTTTCCTCGTCTTTCTCGCGTCTTAAATTTGTCATAGAATTTTCTTCCAGGCTGAATTTATCTCTGTGACTTCTGAGTCGCTCACCGTCCCTATGTGGTGATCTACTGCGGTCACGTCTTCGGTCAGGGGACTCACTTCTGCGGCGCCCTCTGTAGGTGGATTCTGACTGGGATTCGTTTGAGCGTCGCTCCAGGCCAGTGGAGCGCAATGTATTCAGAAGAAACCGCTTGTTTGTGCTCTTGAGAGGACACTTTAACCTTCAAAACATACCAAAATACACATTATTAAAATCTGAAAGATTTTCGCAAATTAATCATGTTAACAGTTACAGCAATTACAACAAAATGGCTGTGATATTTTGTTGCAGTTCAGGATAAAAAAATATATTTTTTTTCCCCTAATGGTCTGTACAATTAAGATGTGTGAGAATTATATAATCCACTGGGCTATATAATGAACCCGAATGCAACAGTGATGTCGTGTGTGCCGTGTGATGCTCGTTTGTGTAGTCTGTGGTATACAGGCTGATGCAGATGGCATAACCTATGCCTGGCAGCTTACCATCCCGCGGGTCCCATGGTCTCTGCCCTCACTCTGGCTCGGTCCGTTTCCCTCAGGAGCTCCTCTATTGCACGCCTAGATTGACAAAAGACAGCCGTGTTATGGAGATGGCACAAGAATTTAACTGTGTAATGAACTTTTGTTAAAAGTACATAATCACATAGTGCTTGCTCGCCGATGCAGTTAACGTTAATTATCTTTTTACCAAATGTTGCTTTACTAGTCATTTTACATCAACAGTTTAGGTTTTAAAACGTCCAAACCAAAAAGCTACAGCGGGTTTATGCTAGCAAAGATAAACCAAACCGATACAAATAAACACAGCGTTATTTACTTTTCAAGATCATTGTCCTCTGCCATAGTACAGTCGTTGTTGTATAGAGTAAGCTACGGTGTTCACACCAAATAAAACCATAAACTATAAAGTGCTTTTTGTTTATTTATCTTTTCCCTTCCTGCCTGGGGTCCATTACAAAGGACCCTACATAAGGTCTGGCTTAACCAATGCCTGATTCATTTCTATGAAATAAATAGACATAGTTTCTGAAGATAATTATAAATATGTGTGTGCAGTTACATACTGAAAACCAGTTTCTGATATTAACTGTGCGATCTGTGATGAATTTCTTAGCCTTGATATTAGGCAGGCATTAATGAACTTGCTCGTCTTTTTCCTGATTGACAATCACAACTCCCGCCCACTCACATTGACGGACACCCGTGGGCGGGACTTGCGCCTCGACAGGCACGGGGGCGTTTACGTGCGAGTTTGCGGAGCGGTCTGTTGCGGTGAATGCGTGATTGAGGTCCCGCAGCGAATCGTGCCCTTCTGGGGCTGGAGTGCACGATACCGAGGAGCAGTCTGAACAGGTAATACAATAAAATACTACCTGTAGGCCTGCATTTGATCAGTACGGCGGTGGCCAGTGTCACTGTGTTTCAGCTTTGCACTGATAGGTTACTATTATCGCTACATCAGTGCGCGAAGGATGGAGCAATGGTTGAAACTGGCAAAATAGTATAATCAAACAAAGAAACGCAATCTGGGACCTTGTGTCTCTGTTTTTCCACCATTGCCAGTTCGAGACCGACAGCTTTTGTCATTGGATGTCGCTGTCATGAATCTATAAAACCCAACCACATAGGATATTCGTATTTCTATTCAAATTGTAAAATGATTAAATCAGGGTTAGGCTACATGTACGCAGTCTGCCATGTGGCACAGCTTTGTAGACGCTAGAGATTTTACAGTCCTATGAAATGTGAACTATTCATAAGACCAAAACATAAATGTCTCTAGAAAATCCAATTCCCACAGGCCAATACGCAGCATGCCGCTTTGTGTTGTCAGACTGGACTATGGTTATACAGTGGCATGTTACACTAAACTTAATTATCCTGTGTTATTAGGGTTGATAAAAATATCCTGCAGTGTCCTGCATTGTCGAAAATAAATTGAATTTGCCCATTGCAACCAGAATTGGAATCCTGCAGTATTTAATAAAGCCAATGTCAACTGAATATTTGCAGCGTATTCACAGGCCTATACAAAGACTGCTGTACATGCAGTGTTTACTTTTGTGAATCAGTCTGTGGTCGATGTGGTGATGTCACACCTTTGTTACAGAAACAGAGGAGCCTTGTGTCCTCATGTTTAATTCATGTCCAGCTGCGGGATAGAGACAGAAGCAGCCAGTCACACGCAGACAGAGGCTCGTCCCTAAAAGGAGGCTGGACTCGGTCACTACCGGTCTGGTCGTCAAGGAGACAGAGGAGACAGGTTGTCTCAGAGATGGGTATCCAAGGAAACAGGCAAAAGATGCAGCGAAAAATAAACGAAGAATGAGACTCACATTGTCTCAAAGGCTTTGAGGCTGTACCAGAGAAGACCAGAACATCCTGTCGAGAGAAGTGCATCTGTTGTGTGGCTACACTCTGAATGTCAAGCCCTGCTGAGCAGCACAGGCTCCGGTCGTCATGGAGACAGAGAAGAGCTGAACAGAGGCAGGTAGTCACGAGAGCACGCTGTGGACTGAGGCACGCCCTCTGCTGTCAGATAAAGGCATCGCCAGGGGTCTGACTGGCTGAGGTCATAACGCCTTTTGATGTGACTATTGACAAGATGATCAAATTGATCATAAATTCTCAAGACAATTTTAGGCACATCTCTTATGTTCCTGATTATGAACAACTGCTCATTATGCTTTATTTTGGTTCTATTTTGCCTTAATTTCCTCATCAATCCTTTCAGGGGCGACTGTGCCATGTTTACTTCAGCTTCTTGATGGACAAATCTTAGTTCCCCAATCATCTATCTGTGTCCTATCTGTGCCTCAATCCAAGATAATTCCCTCTATGTGGAATTGGAAGATTGCTGCGGGCGAGAGCGAAAGAGAGATTATACTGCCAGATTAGAGGACAGGAGTGGCAAACCATAATCTCAACGTACACATTCAGACACAATTATCCACATGAGCAAAGCATGTATTATATAAATATGGTCAAAATCTGGCACCTGTATTTTCCACACCTGTTTAAACTATGCTGTCTTTCTGTCCTGCAGGGAGATGTGAAGTCTATTTCTGGGGGGCATATGTCCTCTCTGCCTTTCATTTCCCTTATGATGCTCATGGGATAGGGAAGTTTTGTATCCCACCACAGCCCCACCATCCTACTGGAGTCTTTTGTGCCAAGATTAAGTTGTGTTGAAGCAACAGAGATGGGCAGCCCAGGCTGTGAATTGGCTCTACCCAAGCCAGTGGAGTTGGTGGTGGACTCTATGTGTTTAGAGTGCGGGCAACTGCATCGGAACAGTGAGAACCACTTGTACAACTATCGTCTGGAGGTGGATGATGACCTAGTGTGCCACATCTGCCTGCAGCCTCTGGTGCAGCCTCTGGACACACCCTGTGGGCACACCTTCTGTGCCCGGTGCCTCCGCAGTTTCCTTCAGGACCGAGACTTCTGCCCCCTTGACAGGGCCCATCTGCAGCTGCAAGCCTGCCGCCGCTCCAGCATCCTGGTGCACAAGCTGTTGGATAAGCTGTCTGTGTCGTGCCCTTTGACCCCAGTGTGCTCTCTCAGCATGCCGCGATGTGACCTGGAGGCTCATCTCAAACACAGGTAACCAGAGAATTAAGCACTGAATAACTAATAATTAAGAGTCTTCTGTGCTGAAATGTTAATCTTACACATTCACAGCATTTGTGTTTCTTTATACCAGCAGTACAAACATTATCTTAGTTAACCAGATCCAGTACCAATGACAGTGAAAGTCCTCCCTAAGTATCTGTCCTCAGGCCCATTTAGACCAGGTGCTGTGAGACCCTTAAGGGATTATTGGGCTGTAGGTCATGTGATGGGGATTAGTGTTTCCCTACCACAGTCATGGGCTAGCTGACCAAAAGCTGCATGCTTTCATTCTGTAATCATGCTGAGCAACTTCAACACCCGAGATCTGTTCAACCATTTCTTCTGTGAGACAGCCAAAGGCAACCCTGGTCTGTGGTAAGTCTTGTCAGAGTGGTGTGTGGACGAAGTGCTATCCTGTAGCTTCTCACAAGACCCTTTATGTTCTGTAAACTTCCCTTTACTTTGCAGAGTTCTTACCTTTAGTGATTGTTTGTTGTGCTCACAATAAATTTTGTAATTAATTTAGAAAGTAGTCATAAATTTAGTTTTACATTTGATTGGCTAAAACATTGTTTTCTTTCTACATAAATCTACATAATGATTGGAATTTGGTAAACAACTGGATTTTTACATAAACTAGTGATGCTGTCATGCCTAGTTGTTCACTTATGAGAGACCACCTATCACCTTAGTAAAAGAAAATGCGCTAACAAGCTCAGACTAAGCTATAGCTCCAAAGCTGTTTAAATGTGGCATGAGTCTGCAGTTTTAAAAGAAGCTCTGTCTTATAGGTGGTTGATATAATATATTCAAGATGTTTGATTATATGGCTTCATATAATATAAGCATATAAATCAGCATGTGGCAAATTATCAAAAAAAAAAAAAAGAAAATGTGAAAGAAAACAGCATGTTGGTATCAAAGCCAAAAGCAAAGATAGATCCTGTGTGGTTATTGAGAACAAGCGTGACATTCTTTAGTAAAGATTAACCCACGTGGTTTGGTCCCCTCACCTGCTCACTAAGATGGAAAGAAAGAAATGTGTGATGCTAGTGCAACATGTCAAAGTCAATTATTTATGGAGGTGATTAGGCAGGTACTAAGGTAAGACAAGGTACTAAGGCAAAGGGGGTAATGGTGAAATGACTGAACTAAAACAATGGACATAACTTTTGCATTTATATTGTAGTTTACTCAAACTATAGCAGTAGTCTTACTTAGATACTTCTAAGAGGAAGGATCAGTTAAATAATCTGACCTGCTAAGAGCTAGCAGTGAAACACTAAGAGCCAATTAAGTGAGTGGGACCATACTGATCTCTTGAGTCTAGTCTTTTGTACTATTTGTACTATATCTATGAGGAGAATCTATTTATGGGCCAGAAATGAAGCCTCTACAAACAAACTCACAAAGATTAGGATGAACCTGCTTTGAACAAGATTTGCTACATATGCAATCAAATTAAGAATGTGTTCTTCCTGCTATTAATATTGTAATTTATCGTTTGATCCGAATTGCTGAAAAGGTGTCCTGGGACAAGGTGCCAGCAGACTAGTGTGGACGGACCACGTAGTGAAAGTGGGGATGAACAAGTAATGGTGCCAAGCCCTCCCAGATCACCACAGTCCCCACAGACTACCATCAGAGAGGGCAGCCCCTCCCCACCCACCAGAACCAGTAATGCCTCTAACAACGGGCCAGTGTGGACTGAAGACGCTGGCCTTGACAACCCTGCCTTTGAGGAGAGCACTGAAGAAGACAGTAAGTCAATACAGTCAGTGTTAAACTAAAAAGGAGAGATTTGGCTTGTCGGTTTGTTTAGCCTCTTTCCATCAATAGGTGTGGTGGGTTTGGAGTGTGTTGTCCCCAGGGTGAAGCGGCCCCTTAGTAACCCCTGCATCCACCTCCTCCGCTCCGTCAGTTCCACCTCATCTGGGTGGGACTGTCCCGAATCACCACCCCTGTCAGCAGAAGAAGGTCTTTCATCTTGTCTTTTCAACCATAATGATTTAGAGTTGAAGGTATATAATATAATATATGTGCTTTAGGCTGTGTGAAGCTGCCGTCTCTTCCTGAAGGGGAGATTACGGCTATAGAAGTACACCGTGCCAACCCGTATGTGGAGCTGGGCATCAGTATCGTGGGGGGAAATGAGACACCCCTCATCAACATTGTAATTCAGGAAGTGTACAGAGATGGAGTCATTGCTCGAGATGGGAGACTGCTCGCTGGGGATCAGATTCTACAGGTAATTATGTAACTATAACTTGACAAAGGCAAGAACACATAACCTAACCAATCCCATAACTATTTAGTCAAAATATAGCATGGAGCATGTTATTTTTTTATTGCACTGAAAAATATGTGTCCTCACCTTCTCCATAAAACATACTCCACAAACCTGACTCTTACTTGGTGTGGCGGGCATCCTCCTGCTTATCTCCATGGAAATGTTTCTCATTTGGCTTTAATATTCCACGGGATGGCATAAAGCTTATCTATCTCCATGGAGACTGTTCCTATTTATGGTTTCATACAGGTGACCTCCAGGCCACCTCCAGAAAGTTACATGGTGTTGATTTAAGATAACACAAAATGAGCAACTATTTGCTTATTGTATCCAAAACGTGTTCTTCTATTTTTAAAAATATAGACACATGGAAATGTTTTGTTGAATAGCAAATATAATGTTGTGATGAGCACTATATAGTCAAAATTCAAGACCGCATTTATTAGCTACTTATTGACTATGTAAGTTGATCAATTCAGTTCAGATTCTTCTGATTATGTAATGTACTTATACCACACCCCAATCTAATCTTTTGGAAGCAAAAGATTAGCAAAAGTTAGAACTGATGATGACAATATACACAGGCATATTCTGTATAGATATTAAACCATTTTTTTCTCCTTTTTCCAGGTAAACAATGTGGACATCAGTAATGTTCCACACAGTTTTGCCCGCTCTACTCTAGCTCGGCCTTGCACCACCCTGCAGCTGACTGTGCTGCGTGAGCGTCGCTGTGTTTCACGAGCCCATCCATCCTCCTCCTCCTCCTCCTCCACCCCTGCTGTGCCCCAGGCCCCCTGCTCCACCCCTGAGGGCAACCCGTCCAGCCCCACCACCCTGAGGATCACTCTGCACAAGCGCGACTCCTCTGAGCAGCTGGGCATCAAGCTGGTGCGGAGGACTGATGAGTCAGGAGTGTTTGTGTTGGACCTTCTGGATGGGGGACTGGCAGCAAAAGATGGTCGACTGCGGAGCAATGACAGAGTGTTTGCTGTGAACGACCAGGACCTGCGGCACGGCACCCCCGAACAGGCTGCACAGATCATTCAGGTTTGGCAGTTTTTGACCTTTATTATTAATTTAAATGAATGCTCAGTATAATTAGACCTAATGCATCTATAGGCAAGTGGAGAGCGTGTCCATCTGCTTATAGGACGGCCAAGCAAACCATCCCCACCACCAAAATCAAACTCTACCAGAGATCTCTACTGCCTTGAACACTTCCTGCCAAGTCACAGCACCTCCTCAAGTCCTGTACCCTCACACCTTTCTCGCAGCAGCACCCACAGAGTAAGAACACCAACTGTTCAAGTGGGAGTTACTGTAGCATATAGTATTTTATAACAAGCTATCTGTATGTGCTTTTACTACCAGGACATGTCCAAATGTCTTTCGTGTAAAGAGAAACACATCACAGTAAAAAAGGAGCCCCATGAATCACTGGGCATGACAGTTGCGGGAGGTCGTGGCAGTAAGAGTGGGGAGCTGCCAATCTTTGTCACCAGTGTCCAGCCACATGGCTGCCTATCCCGGGATGGAAGGATCAAACGAGGTGTGTTTTTACTGAAAGAAATCTGTGTTTTTATCAGCCAGCACATACAACACAATGTTGCTGTTTTTTAGGGGACGTCCTCTTAAGCATCAATGGACAGGACCTGACCTGCCTGAGCCACAGTGAGGCCGTGGGGACTCTGAAGGCTTCTGCAGCATCTCCGTCAGTGCAATTGCGTGTGCTGGAGGTCAGTATGGTGGAGGAACATGACCAGCTGCTTCCGCACTCCCACGACAGTGACTTTGATGCCAACTGGTCCCCCTCATGGGTTATGTGGCTTGGCCTGCCCAGGTAGATTCACTATAAATATAAAGATGATGACTATTAATATATATATATATATATATATATATATATATATATATATATATATATATATATATATATATATATATATATATATATATATATATATATAAAAATAAAGGATTTTGTCTGTATTTAGCATATCACTCCTCTCTGCCATAGTTACCTCCACAGCAGTCATGAAATTGTGCTGCGCAGGAGTCACCCTGGGAGTTGGGGCTTCAGTATTGTTGGGGGATATGAGGAAAGCCATGGAAACCAGGCCTTCTTCATCAAAACCATTGTCCTCGGGACACCAGCGTACTATGATGGACGCCTCAAGTCAGTAATCTCTAATCACTTTTTGTATTATAATATCAGTGATTTAAGTTGTGATAAAATAGTAGAATGCATTTGTATTTTTTATCATTAGTTATTTCCCTTTTTTTTTCTCTTTTGTCAAGATAGAAAGTGTTTGACATGTGAAGCAGTCAATCTGAGTAAACAAGCTTTTTTTTCCTCCAAGGGTTATATACAGTAGTGTAAAGGTAATATATTTAAATAGTCACAAATGTAATATAATATTTTGAATATGCCTATATTGATGCAGAAAATTAACACAATTATATTGAAGACCATTGTTATATTTTAGGAGTGATAAGTGATGTAAATGCACAGTCACTAGGCTTGTGACAGATTTGTGGCTTTATTGCAGGTGTGGAGACATGATTGTGGCAGTAAATGGCCTGTCGACTGCGGGGATGAGTCACTCTGCCTTAGTGCCCATGTTGAAGGAACAGAGGAGCAGAGTGGCCCTTACAGTGGTGTCCTGGCCAGGCAGCCTGGTATAGGCATGGGTCTCTGGTCCCTCTGAACACGGTGGAGACCTGGCTGTGCTGGGTCTTATTCAGGACCAAAAGCATTGAGACTGTTTGAGCCACAGGACGGCATGTCCAGGTGGACCTATTCCAAATTGTGCCACATCAGACTGCATTCACACTTAGCTGTGTTTGTTCCTCTTGTGGGGAGCAGGTAGTGCAACAGTTAGTTTGTGCTGTTCTCATTTCACTGGGCAGTGCAGACCCAGGGCTCTGCAGGTGGATGCACAGCTGACAGAACCACAGACAAGTGCTGTATCCAACCCTGTCAGCCTCACCTGGGGCTCACTGCCCAAAGCCTCATCATGAACCAGCTCCTCACTCAGCTGCACTTTTATACATGTGTGAATGTGTTGTTAATAAAACAATCCTCAAAGGAGCACTGATCTTTTGTCATTCCTCATCCCCTTGAAGTATTGTAATACAATAGACTCATGAGTCAGAAAGCAGGAGAATGAGGCTTTATTATATAGCCCAGTGACAAAACAAATATTAAGGAACAAAAATGTTGATAAATGTGCGGCCACTCTTTTCTACTTGTTTAGATTTGTTTTTGCAAACTTTGCTGCAAGCTTGTTTGCTTCCTTCAATGGCTTCTGCAATTACACAAATTAATTGTGGGAATTTAACAAGTCTTTTATCTTAATACATACCTTCAGCTTCTTTGACGGCTCATGTACTATGCCATGTCGCCATAGGCTTTCCTAACAAATTTTACAAGTGTCAAGTTTAATCATAGAATCAATGAAAAACAAAACCAGAGAGACTTGCCTTCATGGCAAAGCTCTTCTCACATCCAGCAACAGCACAGGTGAAGGCCTTGAGGCCCTCATGGAACCCCAGGACATGACTCTCCAGGTGAAAGCGCCCACTGAACTTTTTGTCACATCCATCTTTGGGACAAAGAAACATCCTTTTCTCCCCAGAGTGGACATGCCGTATGTGCAGGTTCAAGAACCATGCATTACCAAATTGCTTTTTGCACTGCGCACATGGCAACTTGACTGATAAAAAGTTTTAATTAGATAACTGAATGTCACTTTACTCATTTTAGATCAAATTCACCATTAGACACATTACCTTTATGTGCTTTTCTGTGCTTCAGGTACTCTGTCCATGTGTTTCCTTTGAAGAGACATGCTTCCTCTTCACAAGGATAACCTACACAAACCAATGTGTCTTAGGTACAGGACACACAAATGATCTGTGTTGCACTCCACCACCTACCGTTATGCATTTTCTCATGATGCTTTAGTTTACCGTGAGAGGGGAATTCTTTTGTGCAGCCAGAAATTTTGCAACTGTAGGATAGAGAAGGAAGTTAAAAGTTGAACTTACATATTTAAAGTTAACACTTACTGAAAAGGCAGCGCTTTGGTGTGCACAAAAATATGAGCAGCAAGCCGATTCCTCTTATTAAAGTCTTTTTCACAGCCCTGATGGTTACACTGCAATGTAGAAATATAATGTTATGATCTTTACCATGTAACAGTGTTTAAAAATACAGCAATAGCTTCCCTCACTTTGTATCTTTTCTCTTTGTTGTGAAATCTGGACATGTGATTCTTGAGGCTGGCATTGGTGACAAAGGCCTCAGAGCAGCCCTCAACAACACACCTACAATTAAACAAAATGTTAATATAATTTACAGTAAGTTTGGAGGCATGGGTTGCTTACTTGTGTGGTTTCTCCCCACTATGAGTCAATTCATGTCTAGTGAGCTGATAGCGGGTGCAGAAGCTCTTGTCACAGTTGTCGCAAGAGAAAGGTTTCTGGAAACAAGAGACTAAGTTATATGGTGCACAGTGTTTCTTGTTATTGAAATACTCTTACTGCTTGAAATCCACTTACCAATCCAGTATGCTTGCAGAGGTGGGCCTGTAGCTTCCATGACTTACTAAACGCAGCCTTACACTGAACAAAAGAGCAAACAAAACTTTTTTTACTCTGCAACCTCTCCCCCATCTTTAATAATAGATGTCAGATGTGTTGTTATGGTCACAATCAATTAAACTCTGGATGTGCAGGAGTTACAGAAACAAGGATGTAGGACACTTCTGGACCCACAGAGAGCAGCCCACCTGTATCTCATTTATGTAATTGGGCTAAACCATGTGAGGTATTCTCTGGGGGTGCAACGCAGTCACTTTGTTGATTCTCAAACACTATAAACTTGTGACTCTTTCCTCTAGTTGAGATTGATTAATACAGGCTCTAAAAGTGTCATGAAGGCACCATGGCCGGCTGTACTTTTGTAGTCCACAGGAGGCGACGGTCTGTCTCATTCACTGCAAGCAAACACAACATTTACAACTCTAATCTCACTCTTATCAACATTACAACTGTGTTTTCTGATAGATGTGATGAACAGTCAAAAATAAATCTCTACGAATGCATAACCTACAATTTAAAATAATAATTAGGTAGTTGTAGGTAGGTAGAACATAGATCATATTCGTGTAGGCCTAATGTTTCACTTCTTTTTGAGTAAAATTTGTAATAAAAAAAAAACACAGAAATACATTTGAATACAATTTTGTAACCCTTGTAGGAATAAGAAACAGTACTTTACTTTTTTTATCAGAGATGTTAATGTTACTAATAACAGCAGTATGTTTAATGAAGTAGTGTCTGATCCTCAGTTTCATAAATACATACATTTTACTCAATGCATTTGTATGTTAAAGTAATTTTATAATAACTTCTAATCCGGTAAAATCTGCCTAGCTGTTAGAAGAGGCAAAATCAGGTGTGCAATGTGACAGATAGGGACAATGGAATAATACTATCTGCTTGTCTAAACATTAGTGCTCACCCTCTACGCAAATGCCATGCACTAGTGTGAACCCTTAGATTGACCGCGGTGAATGAGGCCTATTGAAAGCTTATTGGGCGTTGACTCTGTGCCCTCCCACGCTCCAGGTAAGACCAGGCTGCAGGGGTTATCAGCCCCCTCTCCCCATCCGGCCCCTCCCCTGTGGTCTGTCAGGGGCTGCAGCAGTCAATACAGCTGGTCCAATATTCACGTATAGAGCCAAGCCTCCCCTGTCACTGATAACTGTGCTGTTATCAGCCCAGCTATCAGGCTCAGGTACTGGGTGCACTCTGTTTGGACTGCCCTGGGATTTCCTGGAGCCTTTGTCAAAGCTTCTGGCAGATCTTAGTCATACTGGGAAAACATAGGTCAAGAGCAGTAGGACTGAGTTAAAATCATAAACACCACAGATCAGGCATCATCCATGTAAGGAAGGTGGGGCACAAATTACAACAAGAGGAAGAAAAAAAAGAAGTAAGTTAAGCACACATCAATTTGTGTTGACATTGGATAGGCAATCAGCAAAATATTATTATTAATAATTAATTTAATATTTTATTTCTTGACACTCAGTAGGCTATAGCACTTGGATCAAAAAAAATATGTACTTTAAAATATATATATATTCTCAATTGTATTTTATAACCAAGAGAATTCAGCTTAGTATATTATGTATTTGTCTATTTGTAATTGACAAAAACAAAATATTCTACATAGGCTTAAAGGCTTCTATGATAACCCTATCTGTTATGCAGTGACTGATTTCGATACAAGATCATTTCTCATATGTCAGATGTCTTTCCTTAACCCTCTCTCCAAGTGCTTTTGTGCGCGACCTGATAAGTGAAGTTAAGTTTAGTTATACAATCATATTAATTAAAAATTATACTTTCCCCCCTAAATTAGTATTATGTTACTGTTATGCCCAATGTCTTCCTTATTGTCTGTTTTAATACAAAACATAAAAATAAATAAATAAATACATTTTACATGGATATGAATAAAGTGACCCATTTTGAATGACTTGTCTTTGCATCATTTGCTGTTGTGGCCTGTCTGCCTATGTCCAGTTATCTCCCCTGTATATGGGGGGTTAATATGTAACAGTCCGGGTCGATACAGCTGCTCTGAGCCACTGGCTAAGCTTACACACTCAATCTGTGAGTGTCAGAGGGCTGTGATTAAGGAGTTCATAGTGTTCTGTCTTTTATCCGCACAGCTTGTCTCTCCCTCCTTCTCCATCTCCATCTCTGCTTGCTTACTCTTCTTGTCTGTTTACTTTCTGTTCCTTCAATCAGTAACCTTTTGGAGTTGGGACACACACATACCTCTGTAACACACACAAGCATGAAAAATCTTACGGTAGACATGAACAATTTATATCACAACATTTCTAAAATATTAGAATTTACACGTTTCAGACACTCAAAGAAGTATTTTATTAGCTAAATTGGTTTGTTTGAACTCTGTCCATTAAGCTGTGGGAACATCAATTGACCTCCAGCTTATCTTAATACGGCAAAACCCAGACCATTTCAATCAATACCAAGGGCTTGAAGACCCAACTGGCCTGTTGACTGATTGCACATTATCATTTCACTTGTTTTTCTCTTAATTTCACCAACTTCTAAACAAAAATATTTTGTGCCAGTCCAAATATAAAGAAGTTTTAGAAAAGTTTTAGTTCGTATCCATTGGTTACAGAGTGATGAAAAATGAGGACCCCCTTGAAAACGAGATGATGACACATCTCAAGCTGCTTATCCTCCAAACAAATAAATTCAAATAAAAAAATTAGGACTGTTGCCAACTGACAACCTAAAACAAAATATCTTGAATGGTGAAAATTTTTGAATTGTTTCCTATAACAGGAAGCTGACACCCATGAATGGGACAGTATAAATTAACTAGAATATGCATATTTTGTTTATTATAGCCTATAGTGAAAAAAAAATATTTTAATGCGACATTTTCTTTGGCATATTATTATTACCATACACAATTCCATGAATTACACAAATCCTAAAAAATTCACACTAGACTGTGTGTACGAATGCGTTCCATGATGCTGTCCTTAGTATGTCTTTGACACAATTGAGCACATGTTCCTGTCACCCCCGTCTCAGTAAACTGGCCTAATAAGTGTCAATATTGGGTAGAGTACTGAGCTGCTCCTGGGATAAGATAACCCATTAGTCACATCAGCAGTCAGGCATTCAACCCCAACTGATTACACACTCAAGTGCCCCACACTCCACTACATCTGTGCACGAGGAAGAGCTATGGCATCAAACGTTTTAAAAAACTTACTTGTTTGTAGAAAAACAACAAAATATGAATGCCTAATAAACTTTGTACTACCATGCTTTCAGGACAGAAGCCTGTGTATTATTATTATGCTTACAATAACTCTCAGCCACTTTCTTATATTGCCTGATGATTAATAAAAACTTGCATAAACAACAGTCATTAGTGTATGGCCGGTGTGGGCAATTATTTTTATATATTTTATATATTATTTTACAGAAAATATTGTGGAGGGTCAGGCCAAAATGCTTAACTCAATTCTGCATAATTAATTGTATTTCTTTATAAAATGGCATTGTTTTGATAAGATGGTAAGACTGGTAAAAGTATATGTTATGACTAAGAAATGAAAAAGTGAGGTTGCCTTACAAAAAATGTCACAAAAAACACCTCTAAAATAAAAGCAGTGCAGCTTTAATACAGTTATAAAGGATGTTTAGGATGTTTATTTTGTCATTCCAAATTATCTTAAAAGGGCTGGTCAGAGTCAACCAAAGGGCCATATGTGGCCCAGGAGCTGTACAATGCCCAGGTCAGGTCTATGGTCATCTTGATCTTAATGTTATGCCATAAAATTTTATTGGTTGGCTGTTTTTTTTTATAAAAAAATAAATAAAATAAAATTGCGAATTCATTTGATGTGGTAAATATTAGACTTAGACATAATTATAGGACTATAATTGTAACAGTGTGTCATTATGTATATACAAATCATGTAAATTAGCATTGGCCCTTCTGTACAGTATGATTACTGGTTGTTGCCTTGTAGGGCTAATTAATAAGACAATTGCTTGTGCACACTGCCCCCTAACGGACAAGCAAAGGACTACAATATTGAGCGGTTAATGAGCAAATATCTTAACCATTGTTTTTTGAATGGTAAAAGATTAGCACCATTGAATAGCGATTGCCAATTCAAAACTAAACTTCTATCTTTTGAAATGAAAAGCCCCCAAAATGTCACCAGGAAGTTCGAAGGCCATTAACACTGGATTAATTCTATATTCTCTAACCAAAAACCAATAATCAGAGTTCCGGCTATTGCGCATCCAGGACTACGGCATCACATTGTACAACCCGAAAACCACCAATATACCGACCCTCACTCTCAGCAACCAATTTAAAAAAACAAAACACATGAGTTTTTTCTGTATACACAAAAATACAATGTAGCACTTCTCCACTGAGTAAAGTTTATGGTTACGCTAAAGATAAAATGGATTATAGAAATAAAACTCAAAAAGCAGATTGTATCTGTACAAAGACTTTATTTGAGAACATTTATGCCATGAACTCATATGGGATGGGCTCCAAGAGCTGGGGCTCGTTCTTCTTGGTGCTGACAAAGTGAGCCTCACGAGGAGGAGCAGGCTGAAGAGACACATGGGATAAGATCAATAGACCAGAAAACATCCACAAAGTACTGTATACATATGAATAAATGTCTATGCATAGTACAGCGAGACCTTTTTCAAATGATGCACATACCTGACGCTTTAGCTCCACCCAGGTGCCCTTCTGTTTGGCCTCCAGTTTCTTGGCCTCATTTTCCTTGACACGCTGGAGGAAACTGTCCCTGCTCTTTGAGTGCTTGACATGCTCAATGCGAACATTTATCCTCTTGGCCAGGATTTTACCCCTTTAACAGTCAGAAACATGGTTAAAGCAAAGTAAATCACATAACCAGCTGGCAATCATGTTTCCTCAAAAACCACAGGTCAAACATGAATCAAACCACAGGTTTTTGAGGAGTTATATTTTTCCCCAGATGAATGACCACTGAGGACAGATGAACGTCCTGGTGGCAAAGTGAAACTGGGGTAAAACTCCCCCCCCTGAAAAAGGTACTCATAAGCAGTAGTATTTAAACTGCTGCTTGATTATGGCAAAAATCAGTCACAATTATTTAGCTAATAATTACTATTTAAACTAATTATTATATTACCCCATCATCACACACACACTTAAATGTTTATTTTTAAACTTTTACTGAAAACTTGTTTTTTTAGATTAGACAAGTGGCTTTGCTCCAGTATTTGCAAGACAACACTTTTTTTTTAATACAAAGGTGTATTGATATTAAATAGCACAATATTTTCTTATCAAAATTACTTTGCAACGTTAAACAGATTTAGCCACACTGTGTGCAGTCATGGTGCAAAGAGCAGCTCCTTTCAGTTTAATTCAACCTGTAATCAAAGTATTGGGCTTCAGTGCTTTACCTGTACCATATAAATGTTATTCCAGACAACCTTTTAATAAGGAAAACAAAACCCTCATCAAACAAAAGCTTAAGAAGTGACAAGCAAATGTAGAATTACTCAAATTTTACACCTTCACATCAGACTTTGCCAGATGTGTGCAATTAACATGGGCATATTAAGTTTGTCCAAATTCCAAGACAGAATCCCAGTAAAAGCAAAGATGAACCTAACGTAACCCTAACCCTGGAGCAGTTACAACATAAGCCTTAATTTTGTGTTACACTGCCATAATGAATGATTGTTACTTACTTCACTTGCTTGTTGACAATGATGCCGACAGCATGTTGGGTTACATTGTAAACTCGCCCGGTCTTGCCATGGTAGCACTTGTGAGGCATACCCTTCTGAATAGTTCCTGTGCCCTGTTCAAAAATGCATAATAATTGTAATCCAAAGGACGACAATGCAAACTGATCTAAATAATCAGAGCTGCTCGTACCTTGATATCAACAATGTCACCCTTCTTGTAGATGCGCATGTATGTGGACAAGGGAATAGGGCCTAGGGGGGACAGATTTGTGAGACATGGTTTATCGAGGACATTCTTCACACAGTTAAGTACTCACCATGCTTGCGGAATTGCCTGCTGAACATGTACCTGGTCCCCCTCCTTTTGCCTCTGGTGTTCGTCATGGTGCCTGATTACTGTCACAGAACAAAATACATTAATACTATTTGAAAAATAAATAAGTCAGTCAATAGTTGCAACCCGTGCAGTCACTCTCAGTTCGCCGGTGAAATGTAATGCATTTTATTTCATTTATAAAAATCAATGGAGGAGAATCATCACAGAGTATCTGCACATTTTATGGATTATGAAACGGTAGTGGTGGGAGACTAGAAATAACGAGGCTACAGACAAGATCTTTAAAGTATAATATTATGAAATTCAACAGCTGGAGTATCAGTGTAGACGTCACTGAAATGCAGTATCTTGAAGAATTGGTCGCCCGTCAATTTCTTCAAAAACTATGAACTCAGCGGCCATGGCTGTAGTCATGTCAAAATGTGGAATATAGACCACATGTCGATAATCTAAAGACATAATCTAACCTTAAAGGGGAATAACAAAAAAGTAAAAAGCGGTGTCAAACATAAATGGCAAACTTATTAGCTGACTACGGCGCATAGGAGGCCCACATGGGCAGCCACGCTGTGGACTCAGCCCATTTCACACGGCTAATCTAAACACATCAAGTATGGTTTTTTGGTATATAAGGCTATGGTTAAATATATAACGGTATTTTTAACATGTACACTCAAAGATAAGGATGGGAAAAGCATGAAAAATGTATAATTTGTCATTTAACACGGAGAGAAGCTTACCCCCGGTATCTACAAGATGGCGGGTACAGCGGAAAGAGAGAGCTGAGGACCCAAGACTCCGCCTTCAAAAACTGGCTGGGACAGCTGCAATAGCGCCTGAACATATACTATTAAAGATTTATTTCAGATACAAATAATCAGTGTCAGTCAATCCAGTCTATTTCGTAAAATCAATAAATCTGACAGAGCAGACTTATTATGGTCTTAGAATCTAGTATTTTATTCAATTACGGATATGAAGAATATTCTTGATGACACTATAGCTGTGTACCATAGACTGTAATAACATATTTAGTAGATTGGCAACACATTTTACATTGTTGGATTGGTAGGTATTTGTAACAATATCATATACTGTGTGTGCACATAAGAGATATTTACTATTTATGGTAATAATTAATTGGCGTATTAAATGTAGAAAAACATAATATGCGTAAAAAGTGTTGGTACTTAAAATTATGTATTTGTTTAGCGGGTGTGTTACACATGCTCAACCATTCTATCGAAATTGGTGAAATTTACAGAGCGTATCAAAAACGAATCCGGAAGTAAATGGTATGTTACTCTCTTGTCTCTTGAGGCCGGGCCCAGTTATAAACAGCACATCGACAGCTGCCCCCTCGGAGCAGCCCACAGTCTTAGCGCACCGAGGTGTAGTGGAAGATGGCGTTAGCCGAATGGAAATCCTAATGACAGTCTCAAAATTTGCCTCTTTTTGTACCATGGTGAGTCTGCTGCTCTTGGTCACTTGTATCAATTAGACTATATACTCCGGGATTATGCAAAAACATGGCCTATTATTACTATTATTGACTCGCAAAGAAATATTCCCAATGAAGTAACTACTGCTGCTGTCTATGCTAGCAAAGCAGTTTTCCGAGCAAGCAAAGCAAGCAGCAACCTCAGCTTCGCCAATCAGTTCAAATGCCACAGTCGGGTTATATTTGCGGTCATTATTGGCTTATTACTATCCTGTCTGTTCAGTGATGTGATGTAACTAAGTATTTCAGCCAAGTGACAATGCACCTGCTGCTAGCTGGCTAACATTGGGCATCTGGAGCTAAACCACAGTTGTAGTTAGCCAGCAAACAACTGGCCACATCTGGTTCATAAAAGCAGCGCTGCCCTCATCAGACTGCGCATTTTGGAGGATTGTGAAACAGTGTGTAATCTAGAGCATCTTATGTCCTTTTGCATTTAGGAGATACAACATTTTATTATTGCAGGCGATGACGACATGGTTTATCATTAGCTACGCAGTTGTGGACCCGCTCCAGGTGTATTCATTACTGTTCACTTTGCATCAGACCAACTGCTCTGTCTGTTTGACAATCATTTAACAACTTTTGGAAATAAGTAGTAGAAAACCAAATGCTTACAAGTAAAGAAAATGTGTTATAAATTGTGTTAATAAAATCTAGTATGACCATTTGCCCTATTGCTACATTTTGATTCAACTTATTGAAGATACATGTCTTTTATATACTGTGAAATGTGTTGCCTATGATTTTGCTTGAATTGTACATTTCATGACTTTGATTATTACAGGGCGCCAATGCCTCTGCTCTGGAGAAAGAGATTGGATCTGAGCAGTTTCCGGTCAATGAGCACTACTTTGGGTTGGTCAATGTAAGTGATTCTGACTGTATTAGTATTTGTAATAGTATTTAACTTATTGCTGCTTTTGATTACCTTTGCACTTTCTTTTAGTTTGGAAACACCTGCTATTGCAACTCAGTATTGCAGGCTCTCTACTTCTGCCGACCGTTTCGGGAGAAAATCTTGGCATATCGCAGCCAGCCTCGGCGGAAAGAGAACCTGCTCACATGTTTGGCTGACCTGTTCCATAGTATTGCCAATCAAAAGAGGAAAGTGGGTGTTATACCACCCAAGAAGTTTATTACACGTCTACGCAAGGAAAATGGTGAATATAATAACTGCTTACTTGCACTGAATTTAATGAAATGAGACTTAATATAGTTTTTTTCTGTTTTTCTCAGAACTCTTTGACAACTACATGCAGCAAGATGCTCATGAGTTCTTGAACTACCTACTAAACACCATCGCTGATCTACTCCAAGAAGAAAGGAAACAAGAGAAGACCAATGGCCGTCTTGCCAACGGCACACTGGACTCCCAGAATAATAATAGCAATGCTTCACCTGCTCCTACCTGGGTCCATGAGATCTTCCAAGGCACTCTAACCAATGAGACACGCTGCCTCACCTGTGAAACGGTATGTTTTTAGATTTTGTAATATACTTCGTAAAAATAACATCTTAAATAAGATTATTTTTTCCACATAGATAAGCAGTAAAGATGAGGACTTTCTGGACCTTTCAGTTGATGTAGAACAGAATACCTCCATCACACACTGCCTCAGGTTTGAACAACATTTAATATAATGTTTGTGTAATAGGCAATACAGGTTCACACTGTTTCCTTTGACATATTCCAGAGGTTTTAGTAACACAGAGACACTGTGCAGCGAGTACAAATACTACTGTGAAGAATGTAGGAGCAAGCAGGAGGCACACAAGAGGTCAGTATTCGTCTCTGCTTTAACTAATCTATTGAAGTTAATCTGAACGCATGATTGTGGTCCTGCAATGTAACCATTGGACAGCTGACCTTACCTGAGATTCCGAGCAATATTGGCTTTGTTTGGTGTCCTTTACAGTTTTGCTTTATAGAAAACAATAACACTTTCTTACTATTGAATGCTTTGTTCCAAAGCGGTAGTAGTCAGAGGTTATGCTGGAAAAAACTGTCCTTGGTTTTACTTCTCAGCTGCAGCCTGTAATGCCTCTGTTGTGTTCTGCCTTGTTATGGCAAATAGCAAATGTACATTATATTATACAAATAGTACCCAATCTAAGGTCTGGTTGTGCTCTGCCAACACTGCTCTGTTCATATTGCTTTTGGTAATGGCCCTCCAAGTTCCTGGTCTTGTCTGTGGTCAACCATACTTACACTTAATTGTAATTACAGAATGCGAGTAAAGAAGCTACCCATGATCCTAGCACTGCATCTGAAGCGCTTTAAATACATGGAGCAGCTACAACGATACACAAAACTGTCCTATCGCGTAGTCTTCCCTTTGGAGCTGCGTCTCTTCAACACTTCTGGAGATGCCACCAATCCTGAGCGGCTCTATGACCTGGTGGCAGTAGTGGTCCACTGTGGAAGGTGAGTTTAGAGTGGATATTTTTTAGGCTTACAGATTGGAATTTTGCCTACACCTGGCCACATTTGTAGTTTAAAACAGAAATAAGGGGTATTCTGTGAAACAAGATTAAGCTAAACCTTATCTTTATATAGATGTTTCAGACCAATGTTTTCAGAAGCATGTTTTAGAAAATGAATGATCTATTATTGTTTTTGAATTTTATTAATCAGTTGTTAAATTGAGGTGAAGGGATTGCATGTTACAGAAGTTGTATGTCTTTGCAGTGGTCCAAATCGGGGTCACTACATTGCAATTGTAAAAAGTCATGACTTCTGGTTGCTATTTGATGATGACATTGTGGAGGTAAGAAAATATTCATCTCTACATGATTCACTCAAAAAATAGCTTTTGTTTTCATTTGTATTCTCATCTGTTCTTTCTGTAGAAAATTGATGCACAGGCAATAGAAGAATTCTATGGCTTAACGTCTGAAATCTCCAAGAACTCCGAGTCTGGATACATCCTGTTCTACCAGTCCAGAGATTAAATGTTGAGTGTTTTACAGTAAGCGAGCTCCCTCCTCTTTGTGTAGGGCAAAGGACCCTGCACCACCGCAGGTACTGTTCCTAAAGCTGTATGTTAACATGTGCTTTAGGCCGTCAGCGCTGCCTCTCAGCTGTGGAAGTGTCCCCCTGAACAGCTGTCCCTTCTGGTTCAGTTTTCATCCTGTGTTTCTGGACGCTTTCTGCAGCAGGGACAAAGACACTGTTGAATGAAAACTGTGTCAAGATTGTTCATTGTTTAAACGGACGATGAGTAGGGTTGTACAGATGTAAGTTGGTCATATGAGTGATGTACTAATTTTTGCCTTGGGAGTTGAATGAATGGTTATTTAATAATTCATATGATGTAATATTGGCCTGGTGTTTTCACCCCACACTGTTATACTGCACTGGCTTTTACTCGGACTGGATCAGGTTTATGATCATGGATGTATAAAGGTGGGAAAGGATAGTGTCTCCTCTCTGGAGTACACCATGGGGGTTGTGTCTTTCTACCGTGTACAGAATGGTATTTGTATAAATATTACAAGAAGATATTATTCTCATTGGAAAATGTTAGACATTAAGAAGATGTATTAACACTATGGTGCACTTTTGATACCGTTTTGTAGGTGTTGGCAAATTAAATGTGAGGGTTTGCTTGAAAAGGCCTGTTGTTAAGCGATCATTTTCTGTTTTAAAGAAAAAGAAATAAAACTATAAACATGTCTTTTGGGTGTGCTCCTTTCTATGTTATCCAGGTGCTCACTGATGACTCATAGGTGCTCACTGGTGCCCTCCAGAGGTGATAGCTGGGGAAGCCACGCTCCCGCTATAACGAAAAGTATATTGATGAAGGAATTTATTTAAATGCATTTACACCCCAAATCTCAAGTGTTTGGGGACATCGCGTATGACCGACATAATGCACACGTGATGCGCACGTCAGTGATAGTGCTTGGAGCAGCACCGCACACAAAAAGGCAGGAGATGGAGAGATGGAATCAGGGAGGAGGGGGCTGACACACATCAGGCTACTGTTAATAGCACAGACAGGACCAGAATAGCATGGCGTCGCAGGAGGAGAGTACTCACTTCATCCAGCATCTTGGAATCTGAAATTTGACCTCAGTTGGAGCAGTCGTCAATAGGCCAATATTAGACTAAACTTTAAAAGGAAGGAGCCGGTCAAAACAGGCGTTTCAGTGGATTTTAAGCAACTTTTTGCATACCACTTATTTATATTAAAAATATATATATGTAAAAATAAAAACGTGTCCTTGACACGGTAGGACTAGACGGTTTTTATAACAGTTCAACCGGTCTGGCCCTCCTTCAATATCGACCCGCTCTCCTTTGCCTTCTTACCCCCTCCTCACAGCGCCTGCTCTGAGCTTTGCACAGCCGCAATCCACAGCGCACAGTGATGCTCCGCTAAAGGCACTGCCTTTTCCGTCCTCCTGGCTGCGAGGCTGAGGATTCCGCTCAGCATCCCCATCCTCTCCGGGCTGTGCCTCTGTACGCCGGCGCAGCGCTACCAGCATCCACACCATGGAGAGACCAAGCAGCCATTCTTCCATCTAAACCGAAGGCCAGCCTCGCTGTCAAGGTAAGTTTAGAGCTGATCCTCTTTCGCTTGAACATCCCTATTTTACTGAGTACACAAAGCACAAGCAGCTTTCGTTGATGTGAACCGTTTGCAGTTTTATGCTGCTGCTTGAACTATTTAAACGCGTGTGCATCTAGAAAAACCCTGGTCTTTTGCAGTACCAGTCAATATTAACAGAGATGCCGTTGGTCTTTGACAGCACGAGAATAATGACCGGCATCTGGCCCTCCAGAATGTGCCTCAGGTGGCTTAGTAATTTTCTTTAGCCTTTTCCAAAAGTTAATAATAAATAATGATAAAGACGATTTTTTTATGAAGACTTATTTTTATCTAAGAGGCCATATGCAGCCCATTAGACATAACCTTGAATGTTAATGTTTTGTGTAACACAAAGATGTCTTCCAGTGGCGCTTAGCACATGGATGCATAACGGACGCACAGCAGCAGCCCCCTGCTGATTTCTATATTAGGCCTACACATGTGCCTGATAGTCTACATGTATTAATATTTAAGTCTACTGGAATGTAAAAGCTTCATAGGTTTTTAAGTACTCAATTTCAGAGATTGTACTGTACTTTTGTTTTTCAGACGGGAGCACAATGAGTGAAGAGTCACCAGTCTCCCCCAGTTGGGTGGGCCAGGACCCAACCACATGGGCCAGTGGAGGTGGGGGCCCACTGGATAACAGCACAGATCTGGGCATATTCCCTCAGGAGGACATCTACCCCCCCAGCCAGCTGCCTCTGCTGGTCAACCCCTGGGACATTGTGCTTTGCTCCTCTGGGACCCTGATTGCCTGTGAAAATGCGTTGGTGGTTCTGGTCATATGGCAAAATCCGGCACTGCGGGCCCCCATGTTCCTGCTTATTGGCAGCCTAGCACTGGCTGACCTTTTAGCTGGCCTGGGACTGGTGCTTCACTTTACATGTGCCTACTTGCTCCGCTCTGACTCAGCCCAGCTACTAACTGTGGGGCTGGTGGTGGCCTCCTTCTCAGCATCTGTTTTCAGCCTGTTGGCCATTACTATTGACCGCTACCTGTCCCTGTACTATGCCCTGACCTACAATTCTGAGCGGACTGCCGCGTTTACCTACACCATGCTGGTGCTGCTCTGGGGCCTGTCCCTGTGTCTGGGGCTGCTGCCGGTCACAGGGGTCAACTGTCTGGCAGAGGAGGCCTCCTGCAGCGTGGTGCGCCCACTCACCAAGAACAACATTGCTGTGCTGTCTGTGTCTTTTCTGCTGCTGTTTGGCCTTATGCTCCAGCTCTACGTCCAGATTTGTAAAATAGTGATGCGCCACGCTCACCAGATTGCTCTCCAACATCACTTCCTCGCTGCCACGCCTCACTACGTCACCACACGAAAGGGTGTGTCCACACTAGCCATCATCCTGGGAACCTTTGCTGCTTGTTGGATGCCATTCACTGTCTACTCTCTGATTGCAGACTACACCTACCCTCCTCTTTACACTTATGCGACGCTGGTGCCTGCCACATACAACTCTGTCATCAACCCCGTCATCTATGCTTTCAGGAACCAGGAGATCCAGAAAGCCCTGTGGCTGGTGTGCTGCGGATGTGTGCCCAGCAGTGTTGCCCACAGAGCAAGGACCCCTAGTGACGTGTGAGCCCAGAGGAGAGTGTTTGAGTGAGGCACCAGCTGTGCTTCTCACTGGCCCTACAGTGTCCCAGCAGCAGCACACTTGGGAGAGCATCATGTGGCCAGGGCTATAGCAGCACTTCTGACTAGACGGATGCTACTAGTTGATGCAGTTTTGTTAATTATCAACCGCCCTACCGAGAGGATGGTATTGTGTTCTTTGTTTCACACATCATTGGGCATGGTGTATCACTGTCTTCCCCAGTGATAGCGGCCTTCTGTGAGGCTGCTCCCTTTCGTGCAATCTGTGCCACGCCCTTTTCCCTCGATTCTGCAGAGAACCAGCGTGTCACATGCTACAGGCAGCAGATGTACATAAAGCGTGCATATTTAACAACACCAAGGCCTGGGGTTGACACGTGTTGTATTTTCAGATGGGGGAGGGTTTTTGTTTTGTAATGCAGTGCGTAAAGGCTGTCTAGATATTAAATCCGTGCGTTGGGTACAGTGAGAAACCAGGGCTCATCCACTACGACTGAGATTTCCACGGTAAAAAAAAAACCCGTTTGGAGCAGCATCCAGTCGCTCTGCTGCTGCACTCTGAACGTGCATCGAAAGCTAAACAGCCGCGGAGAGCTAAAAATAGACACGGCGCGCTCTGATCCGCGCCCTGCGTCCTCCACAGACGCCGAGAACGAAATTAAGACGCTCTTTCTCCTCGGCGCTTCCTGCACATCTTTAAACGTTATTTTTCTATGGCGTCTACGTCTTTCTGTTCAAAGGATGCCTGAGAGGCTACTGTCTGTGTCAAAACAAGGTCCAATGGTCACCGCTGTTTCCAAATAACTATTAAGCGTAATAACATCATATAAATCAACCAATCTAAAATGCACGCTAGATTCCAGTGATTTGCATGCAAGCACATAATCCTCTTCTCGTATTTACTGCTGTACTCCAGGCATTGTCATCTTAACGTTATAATAAATTACCTAAATAATTTTACTGAGCTACAGAACTACAGCCTACTTAGGCCGTGTACCTCACATGAATTTCATTGAAAGAGCTAAATCATCACTCAAGTGACATTAAATGCATTGTATTGTAGTTCAGAGATATGCTCTACCAGCTGCTCTGAGTTTGTGGAGTTTAAGTTACAAATCTGTATTCTTTGTCCATACAAATCAGCAATAACAACCCTGTGAGTGATACTAGTTAGTGAAGCAATACTCAGACAGCAATAACATCTCTGTTCCACCAAGACTTATTCCTGCTGAGGTGGGCAAGGCAGAAATGTTGGCCAAAAAGTGGAATTAAGACCTGTGGTGAAAGATTCTCTAGTGCTATTACACCACTGCCTCATTTGGGTCCACCAAAGGCCCTCTAAATTGTGCATATTTGGTCAAGCTGAACTGTTAAAGCGTAGGCTCCTTTGTGTCTGCATTGACTAGTTGTTAGCGTGGTAGCATTTGAACTGCCCACTCCAGGATATTAAACTTGAGACGGTGTTAGTATGAGCTGCATGTCCATTGGATGTGTGCATGTGTGTGTGATTGTGTCCCAGCAACTCAGCAGACTGTGATCCATCCCTTGTGTCGTCAGGGGTTACAAATCGCTGTATTAAGGGTTGCCCTGTGTTGACCCCTAACTTTGTGAATGCTGCCAGTCTTCCTGTGAACTCTGAGAGAAGTGGCCTCGTTATGTTGTTTTGTGATGGCGTTTGCCTCAAAGCATGTAGACCTTTTCACAAATCGTATTTATGAATAGGACACAAATGTTCCAGCACTTCAAGCCAAAGTGAAAGGACTCTAAATTAACAGGATCATAGTCCTACTGTGTTTTATGTTTATGTATGTTTATATTCTCTTGTATTTAAAATAATTCTGGGTTGGTTAAGGCAAGTACCCATTAAGTGACCTCTGAACAATTATATGAGCTAAAATTGGCCACTTCCAAAGACATAAGAATTGCTCCCTCTTCATTTCCTTGCTTAATATGTTTTTAAAAGAGGTGATGCAAGGAAATCAAAAGAGCAGCATTTCCCAGCTTTGGACTGTAGCCGCTATATGTGAACTTGTGCACAGTGTCAGATTGTAGTTTTCTGTGAGCACCAACAGCTCAGGCTGGCACACCACAAAACACCACAAACTTGTATTCCTTTGGAGAATAGTCTATTTTGTTATATTTATTGAATAGTTCTATTTTTTCCACTTAAGTCTGGCTTGAGTACTTTCAGATTCTGATGTTGTATGGCGCTGTAAAGCCTTTTTATGAATGTAGTAATAATCAACACGTTTTCTAAAATCAACCCCCTCCCGTCACAAGTAATTTATCTATGTAAATAAGGCATGCCTAAGAGGAAGGATCACCATGCATGGTGCTACCCGCAAGACTGCAGTAGGTTTGTACCACAGAGAATGAAGTATCGTCAAGGCAGTGGCAATGTAACATTTGTTCTAGTGATGTTCACTTTTCTTGCTTCAGGTTACATGTCAGTGTTGATTAATGGGTAGCCAGGCCTGAGGTTGGTGACAAAACATGGTGTCAGATGAGTGAATGTTTTTGTCACATCACATAGAATTTGTAAAGAGGAAGGTGAGAAAAGGGCTTTGATCCACCTACAATATAGTGAGACTGTGAAACTGGATGTAGTCAGTGCACACTTGTTCATTCATAGAATGGTTTAACTGACGCTACTTCTGTAATATTTGGTGGGTCATAGGGGTGGTTGGTCCATGTTGATAAATCAGTAGTCAGAGAAAAATGGTGACTCTGAATCTAGAGCTAAATATCAGACACTCAAGGGCCTGTGAATGTGTGTGTTTTCATTTGAGGCTTCAGACCAGAACACCACAGTAACAGCATCTTGTGTATATGTATGCGTAGTTTTCAATGTGAAATGCACTTTATTTTTTTGGATGAAAATGGCACAAATTAAGTATCTGCAAAATGAAACATATGATAATCAACATGCACTAACTGAGATATTGTACAGTTTGTGTGACTGTGTTGTCTATTTTTCCAAAGTGTTAGTTGTACTTTTTATTGCTTACATTGATTAGTTCACTCTATTAAGAGATCTTGTTAATTTTGTATTAAAAATGTGCTGTGCATAAAAATCATGCCTTGTCCTCATCCTTTTTCACCCGGCTGTTTCCCTAGCAACTTCCTTCTCAGCTGTTCCGTTTCTGTGGAAACTAAGCCAGGTATGTGTCGTCTCTATGACGACAGTGGAACAGTAAAGACACAATGCTTCATTCATCATTTTATTATTTTCACTATACAGCCATAATCTGTTTGTATAGTGATCAGCAATAAGTTTAAATATCTCTTTGACTTCATCACAGCATTTTATACAGAACATTCTGCTAGTACTTAGTTGCTTCCAGTTACTTTCATGTAGGCTACATGTTAAAAACTTACCTCCTGATCTATGGCTTAAACAACTGTTTCAGTAAAAAAAAAAAAAAAAAACACAATAAAAATACAATTACACTGGTTAGTTTAAGAGGAAAATTTCCAGCATCTCTGAATATATGAGATAAGCTTCTTCTACAGGGTGTCTATAGTGTTTCAACAGGTAGAGATCTGGGATGCATTCACATTGCTCAGTTGTCAGGATTATAATTTTTTAAATATTTGATTTAGTATGATTTCCAGTTCTTATTACATGGTTAGCTTATGTTAAAGAACAGTACAATATGTGAGTAACTGTGATTGTGATTCAGTGGGCATTGCTTCAACATGTGTCTTCAATTATGTGTATACACTGAGTGGTTAAACTATCAGTTTGTACTGTGTTTAGTGTTAATCAGACCAGTCATTCTCCTCTAACTCCGAGTCGTCCTCTGAGTCAGAGTATTCCACAGCAATGCGTCGTGACAGGATCGTGGCAACATCATTTCCAACTGGTTCCCTCTTTGCCTGCTGCTCCTGCTGCTCCTGCACCTTCTTCAGCTGGATACCTAAAACAATTGCATGATTTATGACCAATTGTTGTTTGTGATACATATACAGTATACACAATTTATAGAAATGTATAAATGTGTAACTTTGACACTTACCCATGCGTATGGCAGCCAGTAGGTCACTCCGGGCATCACTGACAACTGCGCTCTCAGCAGGTGCAGATGAGGACATTTTGCGTGTCGTGGAGTGGGGGGCACCAGCAGGGGTGGGAGGTGGAGGAGGGCCAGGGGGAGGTGGGGCAGCCTGTGCTCCAGACAAAGGGGGTGGAGGTGGAGCATAGCTCCCAGCAGCACCCATTGGTCCTGGAGACATGGGACCTCCAGGAGGAGAGGCGAAGGCAGTTTGAGCTGAAGGAATGAGTGGGGCAGGAGGAGGGGGAGGAGGAGTGTTGGCATACCCATCCATACTGATGAAAGACAAAAGACAATGTTAGGAAAGTCCTAAGTTCTCATAGGCCAAAGTTTACAATATGTTCACATGTTCACGACAAGCCACTAGATGGCAGCATTAGCTCATAATTGGCATCCTGTAGTAAAGAACTTGTTAGCATTAGTATCCTTGTGTTAGGTCAGAGCACACAGAGTAACCAGGTGTTCTTTAGATGTGATAAATTATCCTTGCACAACAAGATGGATTTTCACGATATTTGTGAGTTCACAAACTCAAAAGAATCCATCTTGGCCCTCACTGGTGTGACAGGGCTCGACAGGTGGTGGGCGCATCAATCACAGCACAGAACTGTTTGTGCGGGAGTCAAAGCCAAAGCACTTCAACGAACCAAAACAAACATGGCAACGCTGACAGGCATACTTCAGCCTAATGTGATGTCAATACAGACTATTTTGTTTGTGAAAAATACAGAAGAAGCTTTTTGTGCATTTGTGGACAGGAGATGTCTATGCGTTTCTCTCAACTGGATGTAACAAAGGTTAGATTTTTTGGCTTATTCAACTGTTGTGATGCTTCAGATGCAATCAGATTCAAATAGTTGTCACATTGTCATGTTTTTACTATAAGCCATTACAGACTGATAATGTGTTCAGTTCAGTTCAGAATGACACACATATCAGTTGGGCAATGTGGTTGTGTGGTGTATTATACCTGTAGTCTACTGGCGGGAGCGACATGGAGCCTCCGTTCATAGCTTCAGTTGGTGGAGGGGGCAGTGGTACCTGGTGGTGTGTGCGCCCCAGTGTCCCGCTCTGATAGGCCATGGCCCGACCTCTGCCCTCCAGCTCCACCCCTTTAGGGATGTGCCCTGCTGCCATCTGAGCGGCGAGGACACTGGGTGGTGGGCCAGAGTAAGTGTGCGCGTGCCCAGCATGGTTCATGGCATTAGGATACTGATGCTGCTCAAAACCATGAACCCTGAATGACAGAATACAGAGAGTTAATGGGATGGCCAACATGGACAAATGTGAAGGCACATGTGCAGTAGAAATACCTGTTTTCTGGAGACATGGAGCCTTCAGAGGAGGTGGCTCTGTCTCTGTGTATTGTGTGTCGATGATCGGGCCTCAGCTCTTTATCCAAAGCCATCATATTCCACTCCTGACGGCGGTTTCTTGCTTTGCGGACCTTCTTGACCTCTCTCTGTAATGTGCCATCCACACAACGTCTCTGCTCCTTTGGAGAGTTATGACTCACATGTTATGATTAATGAAGCCGTATTAGCCAATTGTTTTGTTTGGATTATAAGATTACCTTTTGCTTCCTCTTCTCTTTCCTCTTGTCCTCTGTGTCCTGCAGCATTTTTTCCTTCCAGAGATCAAAGAAGTAGGAAGGATCTGTGTAAAACTTAAGGGCATCCTTCTTGTCATCCCTGTAAAAACAAATGAGGGAATGGAGGAACAGGGTAGTTGGCAAGAGGAGGATACAGGTATATATGTATACCTGTATGGTGAGAGGATGCTGAGAGGAGGAGGCTTGTCACTCAGATTAAACATGTCAGTAACTGGGTTGGGTATGCTGCTCTTGGACACCACCTGCTGGTCCTGAGTGGTGGAGCTCTTGAAGGCTTTCCTCATGTTGATATCTTGCAAGGAAACTATTAGCCACAAAGAGAGGAACAGGGTTAAAGATATTCAACAAAACAAGAGCTAGAAGTTCATGAACTCTCCAACAGCGGGCGGAAAATGGAAAACAGGCAACACCAGAGCCAAGCATGACCCTATGACCCACCTTCTTCTACGGTAGAGTCCAGCTGTGTAACCTTGACAGCCAGCCGGTCGATACGGTCCTGGAGTGAGTTGGCACGTAGGTAGAAGTTGTTGGCCTCATTAAACAGTTCACCAAATATGTCCTCCGCATGTTTACCTAAACACACAGGAAAAATATCAAAGACAGGCAAGACTTATAATAAGACTTATGAGAAGTACATCTGCAATCCATATCTGGAGCCAAATATGTCTGTGCGGCCTGAATCAATACTGCAGTAATGTGACACAATGTGAAATTCAAGTCTGAGAGGTACTGCAAGGCCATTATTTTCCATTGACCTACACGGAAAATGTACAAACAGGTTTATCCTCAGCCAAGGGCTGCAGGAGAATGTGTTTTTCACCAACAACATCTACCAACTGTGGCATTTTCTGCATTAAGAGGCAAATTTTTCACTTTTTTCACTACACAGATAGTCAAGATTCATTAAATGTTTGGAAAAGGCTATAAACCAGTGATTTTATGTGTTGGGTCAAAGTCAATTATGTTAAGGTATGATTTAAATAACTATAGAAATATAACTAGGAATACATTTTGAATGGAAATGGTTTTGTTTCACTCAAACGTTTATAAGAATGCTCAAATGTAGAGAGCAATGGATGAAAAGGTGTTGTACCAAACAAAAACATGCCAAGTTTATTTCTGTCCCTCCTGCTGACAGGATGGGCCACAGGAAAAATATTTAGAGGAAGGAAGAATCTTACATCCGGTAGTCGGGGCCCATCAGCTTTGAACTCCTATGGGAATTGGTCTGGTCCATAAGCAGCCAGAGGAAAAACAATCTTCCCTAAGGCTAAATTTACTACGAACTATTCCTTTAAATATTGTCCCTGCACAGATAAAGGAATCTTTAAAGCTGGATAATGGAGATAGGGCATTGTCATTTTGGTAGAGATACATTTGTGTGTCATGTCTGTATGTAGTATGTAGACTGGGCCCTCAGGCTTATATTTAACCCACAGCTGCTGTTGAAAGGCCTACTCCCACTGCAGGAACTTGATACAATATAATGGTCAGACTTACAGAGAATGGTCTGACTCATTGGAGTTTGTTGCAAAAACATCTTTGGATTTCAATGAGCCATGTGTTGTACGTTTAACAAAATAACTGAGGTAAATATATCTGTTTTTGCAAATCTCTGGTACAGAATGTATAGGTGAATTATCAAGAATTTGTTTTATTACCAATCTACTTTAGCCTGAAGAATTAGCCTGGTCTAGACCTAGGGTTGTCATTAAATAGTTTAATCAGCTATTGTACTTTTTACAATCTATGGTTATTGTTTATACTGTAGTGTATGTTAAGTTGAAGACACACAGTAGTGGATGCCTTTCTCCAGATCTAAACAGGCATTACAAACAAACAACCACCACACAAAGGCCTTAAAACAGTTGAATATCCACAGCTGCCCTGATGAGTTCATTTTGTGACCATCTAAAAGGATTACATGTCCCGCCCCTGTGTCCCAGTCCTCGGCCACAGTAAGCCCACCGCTCGCCCACTAACCCCAGGCTCCGTAACTATGACAACGACCAAATCAATTACTGGTGCGGGATTAATGATGAAACCATGTGATCTTGTCTCACTAAAAAGAGGCTACACAGTAGATAGTCCTCAAGCTAAAGTCACTGAGCTTACAGTCTAAGGAAATAAAATTGGAACTTTTGGCTTGTCGTTATAATCACTTCAATTAATTGTGTGAGTGTGTGTGTCTTACTGAGACTACTGAGCTGACGAATGATGGCGGACAGGGTATTGTTCATCACACATTCAAGCTCACTGCCGATGCCCTCCGGGAGCGCGCCCCGGCAGAGGTGGCGTGGCTCAATGTTCCTCTTCACCAGTGGCATGGTGAGGCCTCACACCAGGACTGTCCCAGTGGCACACACTGTACAAAAGCAGAGGACAAGAGACGCTATGAGGCAAGAGTAAAACATGTACTATATGAAAACAGTTTGATTTTGAGTAATAACCTTTACATTGACAATCAGTTATTTCACCATTTTAACTTCATAGCACCACTTACCACCAGTTACTTTGGTAAAAGACTGAGTATTGCCATAAACCTCACAATACAATATCCCTAAAATAAGTTCTTAAAAGCTTGCTGAACTGATGTTTTCCTTGCTTAAAAGTATCTTTGTGATACACAGCCCTAGTATCAATATGCAGATTCCCAAGAAATCTGTAATTTTGTCATTTTGAGTACAGCCTTATCCTGTTACAGTAGTAGTGCACAGTTTTGTGTTGGAAGATGTGACTGTGGGTCCATTCCATTTGATTCAATAATATAGTGCAAGTCTTGAATAATAATTTAACAGGTGAAATTCTGTGAACACCTTGAATCTAAATATTTTCTCCCCCTCTTGACTCTGAGCAGTGGAGTTTGCATAACAGGCCAAGGCATGAAAGCTACAACCATCAGTGCTCTAAAGACCAGCAGTGAGATTTAAGCATTAGGAAGATACAGTGTTCCTGTTAATCCCAGCACAGCTTGACAGAGGCCCAGCTGGACCCCCTCACACAAACTGATTCATGACTGTGTTTGGCCACCCATGTTCAGAGGGTGCTCCAAAATTTGTAACAGCATCACACAGGACAGAGCAAACAAAAACTTTTATTTGTCTTTGATGCAGCCCTCATCAGTTCAAAGGTCTTCAGATAATAGTAAAACCAGCTGAGATCCCAATGAGCATCACAGTGGCCATTCTATCGCCACTCCTTCCTGTTTCCTGTTTTCCAATCTGCTCCTGTTTCCTGGTCCTCCCAGTGTCACATCTCTGCTTCCTGCCCAAACACTTAAACAATATGACACAAAGAGAGACGAAGAGGAAGGACGAGGATGCACACACCCAAACTACTGAAAATACACATTAACACATACTGAAAGAATTAGACTACAGTGAAATGAAATGTTCACACTAGAGCTACTACAATATTTATGCAGAAAATATATTTTTAGCAAGTACATATAAGTAAGTCAGTACAATCTAGATTGTGAGGGCTTCACTTATTTCATGATCAATATTTGCAGGGAAAGAAACAAATAAATCACTTTTTCAAGAGTGTCCTGGTCAAAAGGTAACAGCAGAAGTATCCTGAACACTGAAACCTCAAAAAAATCAAAACCTTTCACTGTATAAACACTAAGCCTTAGTACTGTGTTATTACTGTGTGAGAGAGAAAGTCTGTTGTAACAGCTGTCAAAGACAGAGACATTTCTTTCACCAAAGCCAACTCTCACCATCAGAGTTCTGACAAGGCCATGCTGCCCCCTGCAACCACCAGCAACAGCCACAAAACAAAGGCTCAAATGACATCATCAATAAAGCTCAGGAAATGATGGTTAATACTGGGTCGTAAATGATGAGGTTGAATGTCCTTTACTATCTGCCTGGCATAACAATCACTGAGGCGAAATCATGAGCAAATGAAGGTATGGGAGGAGGGAATAAGACTTAACACGGTTTAGAAAAGTAAATGCAAACTAGAAGTACTGGACAGTTCTGAAGCAGGACAAGAGCACTCAGAGTTTCAAAGTGTCAAAAGAGAGAGGCTAAAGTAAAGTTTAGAAGACTGACGTACTGGTGGGTGTGAAAGGAGAAAAAAGGGAGTGTATTGGGGGGAGGGGTACAAACAGGGACCTCGGGAAACCACTGAAAGGTTCCTGGGACAATAGACCTTCGTTCACACGGCAACAGCACCAGCTCTCCCATGCATCCTCCCCCTCATCCTCCTTTAAGGGCCCCTGTACCCTCAGCATGAAAGCCCAATGAGCTGCACTCATTAGAGAAGGAGAGGAAGAGAGAGTACTACATGGCCACGACTAGAAAGTGTCACCCAACACTTGAGCTGTCGCTGTAAGACACAAAAACAGACATACAGTACAGTGTCCATCTCCAGTTTCTATCTTCTCTTTTGTCTGGGTCTGGATACTGGAATAATGACTATAGCACTCTGGGCTTAGACCCACAAGGTAGCCTCTCAAATATCCCATTAGCAGCATGTAAACAGCCTCATCAACTGCAAAAAATGTCTTTGATCCTCGATAGGGGTCACATTCACCCTGCATTCAGGGTACAATGCAGTTCCCTGGTGAAGATACCAACACAGAAACGCTGAGGCAAAGATGTGGGAAGTCCATTAAGATGAATCATTATCAATTTATGAGTACTGCTTCTTGTATGGCTGTTTGCCTTGCTCTCATGCTATGAATAATACAATTTTTATGTCAGGCTTGATGCTGCCTTAAATATGTACATTACTTCTATGTTAATGCAAGGACAATACTTTTCAGCATTGCAGAGACATTAGAAACTATGCCTGAAGGCCATTTTGACCAAATGTCACTGTGGAGTGGATAGGCAATGAGACAAGAGTAGAGACAAGTAGTATTTATACAATTACAAAGATATAACAAGTCTAGTGAAGGCTCAGTGAAGGCATTTGTAGCTTTAGTCAGTTTGGAAATAGTCCCGGTCGTAGAATAACTAATAAGATAGTAATGATACCGTCCGAACATAGATGCAGTGATGAATAATTAGCAATTTATCTTTACTTTGTATACATAACGTGAATCATTCAAATGCAACTGAAATTTTGCTGAACATGGTGTCTGTCACATGCAATGATAACATCTTGGTCATGCTTAAATAGAAGGCTACATCTATGCTATATCTCCATAGGATTTACATAGGGCTTGTCATCACATGGATGTCACACATCACTTCAGTCACTGTGTGTTCACATGGGCTGTCTGTTCGTGGCTCCTCTCAGTTCTGATATCTCTGCTGCCCACTGGCTGTATAATACTGGCATATAGACCTACAGGCTTGAACTAATAGTGCTCGATCAATCACTGTTCCGCACCGCCGCTTCCCGTCACTGACCCACATCCAACTCACAGCGTCTCCCCCACCACCTCTTCACTACATTTACTCAGCATCTTGTTAAAAAAAAATCACGAAAAGCAGGAACAGATATCCAATCAATGGATATCTGTGCTGTTGTAGTTTTTCCTAACCCATAACATTTAAAACATAAAATACTTGGATTGGAAACCGCATGTTTATTATGGTCTACTGGGGGTCCACTCCATTGACCACTCCGTTAGCTAGCTTATATCACTGATATTACTTTAGTTACTCAAACAACAAATGCAAGCATAAATATAATCAATTAATATGCATATAAAAGTAATTTAATCTTACCACAGAGTACTTACCGCAACTTAAATTATCAGTAGAAATGTGTCGGTCTGCATGTCCCGTTAGATACTCCTATTAGCACTGCCATCCCGTCTCCCCCAGCCCGTCTGGCCACTCCACGAAAAAAAAAAAAAAATGCTTTGAAGGTAGGGCGGGGCCTGCTCGGTACACCAACCAATCAGATAGCACAGTAGAGGGTTTTACGCATGATGGACGTTTATTACAGCCAATAGCAACTGTATAAAAATATAATTGACACGGATCGACAACTGTGCTCAATGAACACGGGGTGGGGTTAAGACTGGGCGTGACTGAAGCGCTCAACAATGCTGCATAAAAAATAATGTCATGTGCGTCAAATAGGTGCATTTTCCCCCCTAAATATTTGGCTATCACTTTGCCAGTAACTGTTGTAGTATTGATGTTTTCATTCTAATTAGTGACAGACTACAAATATGGTGTTTCCACTTTTATTGTCTTGATAGTTGCTTCATGTAAAATATTTCAATACAATACAGTACAATGTATGTTCCATGATCTGCCATCTCCAAGAAATTGGTGTTGGTTTGTAAGGCTTACCCACAGCAGCAAAACTCTTCACTGCTTGGCTACACTTGCCATAAAAAGTAATGAAATCAGATTAAATTAAAACTTAAAATTTTTCATTTTTTTCCAATTATTTTCCTTGAGCCCTCCACTGTACTGCTAAAGGCAGTATACATCCTCCAAACATCCCTCACAGCAGCCTGGGTCAGATCGGCACGGCTGTCCTCAACAGTCTATACACTTAAAAAAAAAAAACACACATCTGTCAGCGCTGGCAGTCACATAGCAGCTTTGACACTGGGCCAAACTTGGACAAGGTAACTAAATGGAGAAGAAGGTAACAATGAAGAGGGAAGGGGAGGATGAAAATTTTTTTAAACCTGGCCATTCTGTACTGGTTTTAGACAGACATTACTTTTCAGCTCCTCCTTTTGGTAGCATTTTGCACCCTCACATCTCAAAGTCAAGCACGTGCTCTATTCTTGTAATACTGGGGAATGGCATTTTAGAAAGATTTCAGCCTAGCGAGCTGTCAGGTACTCTCTGTTGTGAGAACAGCAAGGAAGCCCCCCACATCCCTTAAGTACATTCTTTCAGGTGGGCATGTTGAGGGCAATGCTGAATGAGTACTTGCATACAATTTGAGTCTATGTCTCAATAGCGGTGGCTCTGGTGAGAGTACTGGGGAGGCTGTTGGGAGGTAGAGGAGTATCCCATGCTGCTCTGGGGCAGTGATGTGCTTGGTCCAGGGTTCTGGTAGGCAGCATGTGGATTGGAGCGCTGCAAGGAAAACTTCAAAATTAATTTCTATTAATGATCCGTGTTACGTGTTAGTAAGAGCAGAGGAGTATGTACCTGGTAGTCTGAGGTCATGATGAGGCCCCCTGAGGTAGTAGTGGGTGGAACAACTCGCACTTTCTTCAGTGGTGGCCCTTGTGTGTGGCTGTTATCAGGGTTGCCAGTGTGTCCTGCTCCATTTGTGTGGTTATTTCCCTGTTGCTGCTGGTTTTTCTAAAGGCAATGGCAAAATACAACTAAAATGATTATAATAATAGTGCCTAAACATGTGTGAGGACAACAAAATATTCTTGCCTTGTCTGCCTTGTCCTCTGGTTCCTCTTCTGTTAGGAATTCCCTTTTGGGATAGGGAATCTGGCAACCTGCAAACACACTAAATATAGGGGGAAATGTAACACAATTGTATTACTAAGCATTGTTTCTAAAAGCTTCAATTTTTAACTTACTCAGATGTTGGCAATGGTTCTTCTAAAAAATAGGGGTCCTGCATGGCCTGTTCAGATGTGATTCGACGGATGGGATCCATGGTTAACAACTTCTGTAGCTTTAATAAGACATGTTTAATGAGTTAACAAATGTAGGTTCATAATTTAAAATTTTGCTTTTGTAAATCAGTCTTACCAGATGGAATGCTTTGCTGTCTGGTTTGACTTTGTGTTTTTCCATGTACTTTATAAGGCTGCAGTTTGTGTATCTGGAAAATAATAATGTTTACAGTTGCCTTTATGAACACTCACTTTTAGTATTATTATCCTCATTTCATTATTACAAATATAGAATATAAAGAGTCTCCATATCCTGTTATCTAGAGCAGTGAGAATATTATTTAATATTTATTTATTTATTTGAGACAGGGACAGCACACAATTTTTGCATTAACCTTAACAGGAGAGATGCATTGTACCAAGTTATAGCATCAGTGCTAATTTCCACCTGTAGTCCCTGGGCAGATTCATTGATTGATTGTATTTAACTGACCTTGGCTATCAATTGTTATCAAGAAATACAGAAACTCACGTATTTCTTCTGAAGTCTTTCATCAGTGTTGAGTGCTCTGGCATCTTTTTGATGTCCTCCCAATCTTTATCTGAAAAATAAGAAAAGGGACAGTGTCAGTTGTTTAATAAAAAAAGGTAAGCTATATAAATTGTATGACCCATCTGTGTCCCTGGATTCCAAGTAGAGGAGTTGAAATTGGATATTGCTATTACTGAGCACTTGTAATGTTGATATATTCTTAGTTACAAAATACAAAAAAATGGACATGAAGGTCAAGTGATTGATGTCTTTTGACTAAAACAAAAACAAAATGGAAATAGAAATAAACCTCTGACCGCCCCTCTGATCTAAGCTCTCACTACCTAAATCCCAGCCATAATTAATCAGCGCTAGCGCAGCCTCTGCAGTTCATTCAATGAATTTTGGAGGTTCTGACATTTCATATAAAGAATGACATGGTTATACCCCAAGAATGAAGAATTGTAGGTCCTTTTTATATCAATACTGGCTGCACAGGTTTTCAGAGCATTAAAAAACACAATCATGAAAATAAAAGAAATGGTGTTATGAAAAGTTGAGTCAAGTCTTACCAGCAGGAAAGCCCATAACATTAAAGATACGGTCCAGCTGGTCATGGTGGTAAGGATTACTGGTTTTAATGTCCTCTTGGCGACAGTGGAATATAGGCTCAGATGTCAGTAATTCAGCAAAAATACAGCCAATTGCCCAAATGTCTGTGAAAAAGCCAGCAGTCATTTTCATAAACTCAAACTAAAAGCTTTGTGTTCTTTTGTATTTGTAATGAAACAGATTGAATCCAGAAAAATTATTTGTACCAATGGCTTTTGTGTAGTGCCGAGCTCCCAGCAGTAGTTCTGGTGCCCTATACCAAAATGTAACCACAACAGGGTCGAGATCAGCTAAAGGCTTTAATGGTGAATTGAAGAGACGGGCAAATCCCATGTCCGCTGCAAAAAGGAAACAAATAGAAGAGTTGGAAAAATCCTAATTTATAATAGAAATACAAATAAAAAACACATACCAATTTTTACTCTACCCCTTTCTGGTCCCTCTCCCATCACTAAAATATTGGCTGGTTTCTGGAAGAAAATTATGACACATTTCAATAATTTTATACAATTTGGATAACACTTTTTACTTCCATTTAGATCATGTTGGTGCCCTCTAGTGGTCAAAGACAAAACACACACCAGCGAGCAAGTGGATTTAAAAAAAACAAGATCTGTTGTGCCATTTACACTATTACAACACTGTCTCAGGGCAAAAATGCATATCAAATACAATATATTTATCACACAGGCACGAGAAGACTTCAAAATCTGTACACAGTGAAGCAAGAATATGTGGTAGTCATCATGCTCAATGTTCACAGTTTAATATTTGTTGATTTATATTTGTGTGGTGTGTATATTTTTCTTTTGTGTTGTTCAGTCTGTCCTAATCCTCTTACAAGGTCTCGATGAAGGACCCAGTTGGCGTGGAGGTAATGGATGCCATCCAAGATTTGGTAAAGCAAAGACTTGACCATTCCTCTTGGAAGCTGAAGAGGTTTCTTGTTAGCCTTGGATGCTCTATGGAACTTAATTATGTGCTAAAAAGGAAGACAAAAATAAGTAAAATATAAAAATTTTTGCTTATTAACATAATTAGAACACTGACTTCACATTAAAGCTTTGAACCATGTTACAGTGTTACAGAAATACATCATAATTCTTTCACATTTCTTGAGAGTTCATAAAGTTTTCCCTCACCAACTGATGTTACACAGTACTAATCCAGAAATGCTCCCCTAAATTTATCCCTGTCCTTACAGCTGCATCATTCTTTGTGATTATTTCAGGGCCCAAATCTCTTCACTATGAAGCTCACCAACTTCAATGCTAACAGCTAGTATTTTTAGACAAAATTTAAACTACTTAACTCTTAAACGCACGGTTTTACCCACGGTTATTTTTTTCAGACAGCAGTGAAAAGCAGCGCAGAGCACCCTCGCACTGATTCAACCAGTTTTCATCTTTATGTGTAAGGGTTCACCACCTGCTTGTGTTTGTGGAAACATTATTGCTTTGCTTTGTCAAGAATCTTCCACGGTGTGGTATTACACTTATCCATCTCAATGGAGAAAAAAAAGTGATGCTACCAGGTCGTACATGTGGAGAGCCCACTCACAGTAAGAATGCATGTTTGTTTTGTGGGTGTTTTATTGCAAAAAAAACCCACATATAAATGAATAATACAATGAATAAGATAATGTTCTACTGTGGAACATTCCTGACACTCCACAGGTGACAGACCTGCCACCGTGTACCTTTAAGTCGTACATGAAATATAACCTCTAATGTACCATATTTGCTACGAACTAATAATATTAAGCCAACAATGATAGAACTGTGTCTACTTTACCCAAAGATCATGTTCAGCGTAGTCAAAAAGCAGCCATACTTTGCGGTCTGCATGTGACAAAAAAACCTTCTGCAGTGAGATGACATTGGGGTGTTTTAGCTCTCGCAGAAGCTGAAAACAATACATTTAGAGAAACATAACAATACAAATATATTAAAAGAAGTAATGCTGTATGAACTGCTTAGCAACACATTGTGCCTCAAAGTATCAACAAAAATATGATTAAAAACATATTCTTACAGCAATCTCTCTACAGGCAGACATAGAGATTCCAGTGCCTTCAATCTGCTTCAGGGCGTAGTCTTTATCATCCTTCCTACAAAACAAAAGTAAAGTAACATCAACAAGAGGACCCCCAAAATCCCCTCACAAAAAAACTGAACCAAAACATTGTATTGTAGTCAATAATTACTGCACACCTGCCTGTTACGACGCTAAAATGCAATGCATAGTGAAGAGTAACTAAATTTAGATCCTAAATTCAGACGTGCAACGTTGCTGTCATCCCAAATTGTACGTGATTCTTAGGATTACGCAAGTTATTGGACTAAACACTGAAAAATAGGGGCAAAAAGAATAAATTATTTTGCAATAATTTATGTATTCATATGGCAGTCAGTGAGCAACAACTATAAAAGTGCTTTTAATGCCAGACTTCCCAGAGACTTTGTCTGCCTCCCTTCGCTGCAGAAAACAAAGCCCTACTCTCAGTTTTTTCAATTTCTGCACGTATGTAGATGGCTAGACGCAGAAATGGTAATTAGATAGTATCTGGTAGCGGGTGGATATTGGGGCAACCGTGCAACGGTTTTTAGCACAAGGCCTTGGTGGTCATCGACTCACCCATCCTTTCTTTTTGCCTTGTAAACATGTCCGTAGGTGCCCCTTCCCACTTTGCATCCTTCGTACTCAAATAGGTCTTCGACTCGTTCTCTTTCGCCAGTAAGTTTTACTTTGAAATCATAGTCCATTTTTACCACTATTTAAGTAAATCTGAGCTCCTTGCTGTGCAGCTTAGGATGCAAGTAGGCTACTTCTTCAACGAGCTCGGATTGATATTTCGGCTCGTCGCCTTTCCCAGTGCGTTCCTTTCTTCCGACACTGTTATTATATGGAGCTTTCCAAAGAATCTGAGTGTTGAGTGGGGCGTTCAGCTAATCCTGCTATGAAATGAATGCGAAAGATATTCCTTTCTCTTGTTGCTGCGCTTCTCAGCCGGTATCTGCCCTGAAGAGACGCACTTTACTCCAACAACGGCTTATTCGAGCACGGCACTGTCGTAAATTGTCGTAAAAGCTAAATGTTGTTAAGCGCCATACATTTGTATATGGAGCTATTAAAGAATGGAAGTCATTAAAATAACAATTGAATAAGTTAGTGGACATAGATAGTTATGCGTGCAATGTACCGTTGAAGTAATACTCAAAAGTACTTTGTCATACCGGAACCGATGTCACTAAGAGGGTGTTTCTGATGGGTGGCGTTAGCGTAGCACCGCTGGTCCCATCTTGATTTGAGCGAGCAGGGTGAACACAGGAGGAGAGCACCGTCCATATTACAGCTGCTTTGTCAGGTACTAATGCCCGTTTACTGTCACTGGCAGCTCTCAGAAACTTCTTCGTGCTAAAGAGTAAACATCTGATAACATATACGGCTACGTTCAAGTCGATTCCAGAACAGTACATCTGAGCTGTTGTGTAAATATTTTAAGCTCGTAAGCGAATAGCTAAACTGGCGACTCTGCTGTCGTTGCTAATGCTAACTTGGCTTGCAACTAGTTAGCACCCATTTGGTTGCGCATTTTAAAATGCCTTTGCTACAACAAACAAGACTATTTGTTAAAAATGTTAAAGCTTATAGCCAAAGTAAAGTAAGAGAGATGTTTCAGTAAACTACGTTCAAATAGTTCCTTTGTCTTTTCTTATGCTAGCCCAGCGTTAACAGGGAGACCTTTAGTATTTTCCAGGCCAGTCTCTACAAAACATTGATTGAATTTTTGACTTGTCGATCATCATTGGATAGTTCTATGACCGGTTCTAATCTAGGATGTTGACCAGACTCATTTTGCTTTTTAAGACATAACCAGTGTCTCAATTTGTCTGAAATTCTCATATCAATAGAAAGTCAGAAACCGTTTTACTATGTAGCAATTGCTTCCTCGTATTGTTCACGATAGTACTTTGTTTGCACATGATCAGTCTGTGTTTATAACTGTAATTGAACAGTTGTTTTAGAATTGTAACGGTGCATAATACAATTTGAAGCCTGCTAAATACTAAGCAAATACTAAGCAAATATATGTATTACTCACACTTCCAATCTCTGACCTTAGCACCTCCCACAGTAATGGACCCTCCTGGTGGGGGAGATGAGCGGCGGAGGCAAGCAGAGCGTCTTCGAAGAGAGGAGGCATACTATCATTTCATAAATGAATTGAGTGAAGATGAGTACCGCCTTATGAGGGACAGTAACCTGTTGGGTACTCCTGGTGAGGCCTACATAGCTTTGTTTGCATTACTTGTTAATAAAATGCACATTTTAATGTCGTTTATTACTTTCCAGGGGAGGTTACAGCAGAGGAACTTAGGCAGCGTCTTGATGGAGCTAAAGAACGTGTATCATCTCAACCTCCTGCTGAGCATCCAGCTCAGAATACCAGTTCTGGAGACCAACAAGGTGGTATTGACGGGGAGGAGAGAGGGCCTGGTGGACGTAGACAACTAGGTATTGAAAGTGTGATCACCCTTGTCTGTTGTTATAACATACTGTCATTGTTAAACTGAAATTGCTTATAATCTCTTATCATAGGAAACGGCGAACCAGGGGGAGAGTCATCAAATGGTGATTCATTACTGGAGTGGCTCAACACTTTCAGACGTACTGGAAATGCAACTCGAAGTGGACAGAGTGGCAATCAGACTTGGCGTGCCGTCAGCCGGACAAACCCTAACAGTGGAGAATTTCGCTTTAGCTTGGAAATCAATATCAACCATGATCAGCCAGAGCCTGGGGAGCATAATGACATCTCTGATCATTCAGATCTACCAGTAACAACCCAAAATACCACATCCATTCGTACATCATCAGCCTTCTCCAGCCATCGGCCTTCTCTAGCACCCAGGCCTGCCCCATATCCCACTCCACGTCCACCTCTTAGTAGGAGGATGCATACTCGTCGCACACGAAGTAACTCCACAGCTCTTTCTACAAATTCATCACCCTTTTTAACATCAGTGCCACCTCAGTCCACTGGTGCAAGAAGAGGCTCATCTTCACACTCTTTAGTATCTTTACAACCTGTCCCTGCACCATATTCAGAGCAAACTGTGACACAAAGCCATGCTGGAATTGAACATGAGCGTGATAATGCAACATCAAGTTTGGATTGTCCTCTTGGGTCACAGGATTCTGGATCCCAGGTCCCATCTGTGGTACATGAGATGCGAGGAAGTAGGACTCGATCTCGTGCACGTACACGTAGGGCTGCTGTTGGAGGCAGCGTTTCAACACGTGTTTCCAGACGAAGCCGTTCTCCTTTGCAGCAAACACCTGTTTCCAATTCTAGTGCCCCATCAATACATGGAGACAATAGCTTCAACCGTCCTGCTCAGCCAAGCAATTCATTAAATCCTGCTCCTCTGGATTCAGGGGGGGAGCATGTAACAGAACCTACAACTGTATCTGAACCAGCCACTGAGACTGTAGAACGTGAGGGAGAATCTCCTCTCACAGGAAACACAGCAGTTAGACGGCATCCAACTATAATGTTAGACTTGCAAGTGAGAAGAATTAGACCAGGAGAAAACAGAGATCGTGACAGCATTGCAAGTAGAACGCGTTCTCGAGCTCGTGTTGCAGAGAACACTGTGACATTTGAAAGTGACAGCGGAGGATTTAGACGCACCATTTCACGTTCTGAGCGGGCTGGGATTCGGACATATGTGAGCACCATACGCATTCCACTGAGGCGCATTAGTGAGACCGGACTAGGTGAACCCAATTCAACTGCATTGCGGTCTATTTTGCGTCAAATAATGACTGGATTTGGAGAGCTGAGCTCGCTAATGGAGACTGAAGCAGACTCTGAAAGTGTTGCACCTTCCCACACAGATGCTGTTGGCATAAACAACCCAGAGAGCCAACACTCAAATGACAGATCCTCTAGTTTAACTGGGACTGGTGGAACAGACCAGGAGAGACCTAGGCTGTCTGAAAATGATGAGGAAGACAGTGATCAGTCCAGACTACCTGGAGGCGTAGTAAGCACCACAGAGGGAAGGGTCAGAGATACCAACAACCTTGTAGAGAATGGTACTTTACCCATTCTGCGTTTGGCGCACTTCTTCCTGCTGAATGATGAAGAAGATGATGAACACCCTCGAGGCCTGACTAAAGAGCAAATCGACAATCTAGTCACGCGCACTTACGGTCAGGCAAGTTTGGAGGGTGAGATGGGCCGTGCTTGCAGTGTCTGCATCAATGAGTATGCACAAGGCAACAAGCTGCGCCGCCTGCCATGTTCTCATGAGTTTCACATCCACTGTATAGACCGCTGGCTCTCCGAGAACAACACCTGTCCAATATGTAGGCAGCCTATACTTGGAGTCCATCATGATTAATTTATTGCAATTGTGATTTGGCTCAAATGAGCAGACCCAAGTAGGCTTGCATGTATATAGTGCTTTTCATGTTACAATTCTTTAAAATTGTTTTGAAAGAAAGAGTGAAGGTGAAGTATGGAAAAAGCTATAATTGCAGAGAATTAACAAGTTTATTTTTTTAGATCTTTTCCCATTGTTTTCATTTTTCTGTGACCATTTGTCTTGGCCACATAAATGGATTGCATTGATGCTTAAGAAGCTCACATAGCTGCTGTTGAATAGCTTCATATTAACTCCTCAGTGTCTGAAATGTGTGAAATTGTTCTAACTGCAACTGGATACCACACCTCAAAATGTAGGCTGTAAATAATTCTCTTAAATTATATGAGGTATTGATGAATCAGGAAATCATGGATTAATTGACCATAATTTTAAGGCTCATCCCTCTTTTTAAGTGTCACACCTTGTTTAGTATTTTATTTGCTTGACTTTATAGTATACATTTAATAAGAAGAAATAAGAGAAAATTCTAAAATATTTATTTGAAACATCTTATTCATTTTTTCCTTTGTTCATTCGTTTACTTAACTATGTCCTGTAATTGCAGAACTCCATTGAGTCACTTTATAATTGCACAGTTCTATTAAATGCAGTTCACACCTGTTAAGCAGGAGGTCGATATGTATATAGATAATTTGTGCAATAAGGAGCAAGAAGAAACAGTATTGTTTGTTGCTTTTCACTGTTGTTTACACTGTATTGCTTAAATATAGTCACCATCCAAATCATCACATTTAAATGCATTTTCTCTTTGCTATTTGCTAATGCGTTGTGTTTACACTTTTGGTCCATTCTGAATGTGAATCATACAGAAGACATGTTGGTTTTAGACTCTTTGGGAAGAGTTAAACTGCTATGAAAGAAAAGACGAATTATTAAGGATGGACCTCTAGAATTGTACATTGTACACAATGGGGATACGTAAACTGCAAGTGCCAGTTTTTCAGTGTTCATTAGCATAATAACAAATTTTAAGAAGTAACTAATAGAAAATCCCACTTATATAATAAATGGGAATTAATTAATAGAAACCCCTCACTTATTATTTAATCAAGCATATACCCTTTGTGACATTTTTACATAATGTAAATAATAAAATGTACCT